AGCAGACACTCACACTAGAGCTTGGCCTCTGCCCTGTACAAGCCCAGCACCCGCCTGCTTCGGGGGGGGGGGAGTACCATTCTGCGCCCTGGGGGCTGGGAGGCAGGCAGGGCAGGCCCTGCGGTGGGCACAGAGACAGAGTGGCACTGGCCAGGCTTCTCCTTCCCTGCTGCAGGACCTAGGTCCCCTGGGGGGCTGACCGAAAGCAGAGCCCCCCTCCTGAGCCCCTGCCCTGGGTGGCTGACGGGGGAGGCAACTGTGCTCAGCCAGCCTCCCCAACCTCAAGTCCAAGGGAACCGGAAGCTCTTCAGCAACTGAGAGCCATGTTCTCACCTCCCAGCACAGCAGGGCCGCTGGGAGCCTCCCGCCTCGGGAGCAAGAGCCGCCACCCCTGGCCAGCATCACAGGGGTGAGCAGACGCAGGGAGCCGACAAGACCCAGGAGGCTGGACCTTGTTGGGGGGAAGGACAGGACCCTGAGGGAGACCTTGTCCTCAGTCTCTGAATAGCAACCCTTGGTTTGTATTTTTTAACCAACTATATTCTTTTTTCTTTTTTTTTGTAATTTTTTAAAAAGATTTTTATTTATTTTTAGAGGGAAAGGGAAGGAGAGAGGAGGAGAAACATTAATGTATGGTTGCCTTTCGTGCGTCCCCTACTGGGAACTGGCCTGCAGGGAACCGGCCTGCAACCCAGGCATGTGCCCTGACTGGGAATCGAACCTCAATTGTCTGGTTCGCAGGCCCACGCTCAATCCACTGAGCTACACCAGCCAGGCCAACTGTATTCTTATATTTGAGAAAAGCTTTAGTTATTATAGTTCATTTGTCCTTCCTTCCACACATCAATTTTAGGATCTGCCTGTCTGTATCTTCAAAACGCTTGCTGGGATGTTTACTGGAATTGTGTTAAAGCCGGACATCCGTTTGGAGGGAACGGGCGTCCTTTCCGCACTGGGTCTCCCTTTGCAAAGGTCTTCTTTGATTTCTTTCATTAGCTTTTCATTTTTGGGCATACGAGTTCCGTACATGCTTGCTTGGGTGTATACCTGTGTGTTTTGTGGGCAGAGAACAGCTGTCACAAATGGTGTTTCTAAAAATGTCTGCTTCTCTGTGTAGGTTTCGAGTCTGCAGAAACTTGACTGGTTCCTGCGGGCAGACCTTGCATCTTGCTGTCATTTTTCAGTTAGTGGTTCTGTGGGTTCCAAGACGCCAGGCCGCTGTATAGGCCAGGCCACCGTATAGCCTGTGACCAGGGCAGCCTCCCCTGGCCGGGTCCCACAGCAGGACTCGGCCTTTCTCCACCGAGGTGGAGCTGGCCACACCCACGAGAGGTGCTCCCCGATGCTCCCCGGTAGGCCGGAGATGTTCTTTCACTTCCTCCTTGGCTGAGGCGGGTCACAGCTTTCTCCATCCTTGGCTGTCGCTCACTGTGGTGTTTCCGCCACGGGGGCTTCCAAGCCCCCTGGGAGCGTCCCAGCACCAAGCCACCTTGATGTTGGTGTCAGGGAGTGCGTTCTCCTGCTAGCAGAGAGATGCCTTCTGTCTCATGCTGAGGAATGTTGCACTTTATCCTGAAGTTGAGTATTTTTGAGGAGCAAACACTTTTCGATTTGTTGTGCGCCTGGGGCTGAATGCCAGAGTGCCAGTGGTTGCTTCGGATGGTTTTTCCCAGTCCCAGCACTTGCGTCTGGGCAGGGATTTTGCCAGTGCCCTCAGCCCTTCATGCTGAAAGCCTGCACTCCCTTTCATTACAAAATTCGCCCCTGCCCACACGCAGCCACACAGTGTCCACAGCGTGGCTGACTCTGCCTCAGCCACGGAGGGCAGAGCAGACACCATCCCTGTTCCTAGAGATTCTGCTTCACCAACAAGTGAACAGATGGCCTTGTTCCCAGTAGTGAAAAGTGCTGTAAACGACTGTACCTAACTTCCACTGTGCACCTACTATGTGCTAGGTAATAGTCTAAGCATTGCAACCCCCACCTCACAGATAGGTGACCAGAAGGCAGCAGCTGTCCTTCCCCCAGTATATCCTACGTGGCCACACAAAGTGCCTCTCACATAGTAGGCACTTACTAATTACGACTCAGGAGTGGCATTTTCTTCTGCAGATGGTGACATTACCTACAGCGGCTCCAGCTTGTGCTTGAGAAGCAAGCTGTCTTCTGACAGTGCCAGTTCAGGGTGAGGCTGCTGCGCTCCTGGTGTAGAGCCAATCCTGACCCCATTCTTCCTTCTTGGGGAGCAGGTCGAGGGGCCCTGGGGCCTTAGCAGACCTCTCACCTTGCCCACAAGTACCAGTGGCTGGAGTAACTGTACAGGTGAGTAACAATGTGGGGAACCACAGGAGCTCCAGCTCCCAGGTGGGAGCCGCTCCTGAGAGCCTCCAGCCCACCCACTTCCTGGTCCCATCTGGTCTCCCCAGAAGCCCCCCCAGGAAGGTGCCACACCACCCCCTTGGGGCCCTGCTTTCATGGCCTGATCAGCGAGAACTTGGACAGAGGCCCAGGAACACTGGAAGGCTTCCTGAGGGTGCTGGAGATCTGGAGAGCCCCGCGGAGGCTGTGGAGTCTCCTGGCAGCATCCCCCTGAAGTCCCCGCAGGCCTCCCAAGACCCTCCCAACCACGGGAGAAGAAAACTGCCCAGCCAGCCAGGCCCCAGACAGCAAAGAGCCAAACTTCCGAAGCTGCAGACTCTCCCTCCCTGCAGGGGAAGTTGGGGCTCCTACCGGGTGAGGAGGCTGGGGGTGGAAGGCTGGTCTCCACACCCGAAAGGAAGTCCATCTCCTTACTGACATGCCAGGGTGTGGCAGGGCCCCTGGCACTGTGGGGAAGTGTTCTGCGGTCGCCCCAACAGGGGCCTCTGTGCCCTGCTACTGGAGAAACCCCCAAACAGCAGTTCTCCACACTCCCACTCAAGTAAACCCCTCTGCCTGTGCCCTGCCCTGCACACCCCACCCTGGCCTTGCAAGCTGCTGGAGGCAGGCTGGAACTGACAAACTGCGATGTTGTCGTCCAGAGCCACCAGAGATGTCAAGGGGCCCCAGTGGGCTTCACCAGTCTTTGAAGGGCCGCGAAGAGCAGGCCTCTGACTGGGGTGCTGGGGCATAGAGCAGCCCCTGGGTACCAGCCAGAGCCCACGTCTGGTGGGAGGGCGGGCAGATAAGCAGAAGCCCCGTCTGTGCGGAGCGAGAGGGAGAGTCGAGGCCGAGGACGGGAGCCCGGCGGAGGCTGGGCTGCGGGGCCTGACCCAGGGCTGTGGGCAGCGGCAGAAAAGGACCGGAAGTGCGGGGGCCACTGTCCGCCGCCCCCGCCGCATGCACAGGCGCTCAGGTGGAAACAGGCGGGACCAGCGGGGGTCCGAGAGGACGGCCGGGTCGGGGAAGTGGGGACAGGCTCTGCTCTGGGACGGGGCGGAGGGTCACGTAACGCCACCGCGCCGCCCGGGCCACCCCAGGTCCGGTGGATGCACCGGGGCTGAACTTCCGCCTCAACGGAAGGCCCGGCCCAACCAGGGGGCGTGACCTGAGTGCCCCCGCCCCCCGTGATGCGAGCGCAGAGAGGGGATAAAAGCTGGCTCGTTCGCGCTTGCGCACAACTGCCCAGCTCACTCGTCGGTCGGCCTGCTGCGCTGTCCTTTGCAAATGGGCTCCGTGGCCTAGCGCCCCGCTTCCCACCACCCGTGATCGCGCGCCGAGGTCCGCGAGGGGTCGCCGCTGAGGTGAGAGCCCTGGATGGCCGTGGGCGGCAGAGACGGCTGGTGCACAACGCTTGGCGGACAGACCCGAGAGGGACCGAATGACTCGAAGACGGGCGGGGCGGCGGGCGCGGGAGGGAAAGCGCGAAGGGCAGGGAGAGGGCTGCGGGGCCGTGCGGGCCGGGTCCCGGGGCCGGGGAAGTGGTGTGGGCTCCGTGTCCTCCCGGAACCCGGCCGATTCCCGGAGGTCCAGACGGCTGCCCGGTGCACAAAGCGCCATTGTTCCACTCGCGCAGCCAGTTTGCGCTGGTTGGAGCCGTAGGCGGTTGGCTTGGCTGGGTAAACAAACCCCGTGCCACCGCCCCTCCCAGGGGTTCAGGGGGCAGACCAGGAGCCCGGTTATTAAGTGGGGCAACCGGTTCTTAAATGGGCTCCCCGCCCCCCCGTGCACAGGTTTCCACCAGTCCACAAGCAAGAGCATGGCAGCCATTCCCTCCAGCGGCTCGCTCGTGGCTACCCACGACTACTACCGGCGTGAGTAACCCCCTGGCTGTGCCCCCGCAGAGCTGCCTAGGGCCCTGCCAGCTCCAGCCCTGGAGAAGCCTTGAAGAAGCCCCGGATGTGCGGGGAGTAGGCTGCGGGCTGGGGCTGACTGCCTCTTCCCCCTAGGTCGCCTGGGCTCCACTTCCAGTAACAGCTCCTGTGGAAGTGCGGAGTGCCCTGCGGAAGCCATCCCCCACCACCCTGGTAAGTGCAAGGTCTGCTTCTCTCAGTCTCCGCAGCCATTGGGAGGGGTACCCAGGAGTGGGCTGCAGCCCGTGACCCCACTATGTTTCTCCCAGGTCTTCCCAAGGCTGACCCAGGTCACTGGTGGGCAAGCTTCTTTTTCGGGAAGTCCACTCTCCCATTCATGGCCACTGTGTTGGAATCCCCAGAGCAGTGAGTCCCCCCGCCGGGGGGCCGGTGTGGGAAGTGGGGGTCCCCAGGGAGCCACCTCTGACCACGCTCTGCTCCCTCCCCAGCTCGAAACCTCCCCAGGTCTCCAGCAGCGTGATCACCTGTGACCTGGAAGCCACAAGGAAGCCACCTGGCAGCCAGCCCAGCAAAGTCAACATTGGGCCTCCATCCTGAGTGGCCGCCAGCAGCCACCAGGCTTCCAGAGGCGCTAGGCTCCTTGAGCCCCTCCACAATCCCTCCTGCCCCGCCTCTCCCTTCCCCTCCCTACCCGGAACAACACGCAGGCTGTGGCAGGCAGAAGTAGTCCCAGCTTCTTTCAGATCAAAACAGCAAAACACCAAAAAGGAAGTTGAGGGAGTCCTACTCTTTACTACCCAAGCCACGTGTGAGCCTTCCCTACATCCCGTAACCTCGTGCCTTGCACCAAGTGGGAAATAAACATTGAGCGGCCAGCGTCCCTGATGGCACCTCTATCTGTGTGTCCCAGGCTGTGGGAGATGTCACCCAGCTGCCCCATGTCCTGGTGGGGGTGGGAGCTGGCCCCATCCACTGGGCCTTGCTGGGGGTGTACTCTGAGGCTGGCCAGGTTCCCCTTCTTCAGGAGCTGTTCTGGTGAGGAGGGTAGGGTGCCTGGGAGCAGGTGCCCCTGCTCAAGAGCTGCCCCTGAGGTCCTGTTGTCTAGGGGACACAGCCCATGGCTCCTTGGCCTCTGGGAGGCAGGCTGGACCTCTGGCTGTGGGTCTGTGACCTATCAGCTGGAGGGGACCTACGCCCTTTAAAGGACCTTGATGAGGCCCCTTCAGCACCAGGGAGGAGGACAGAGGCTGTCCCAACCTTTGTGGGGCAAGCCCTGGGCAGTCTTCCCAAGGTGTCACTTCTAACCCCTTGTAGGGGCTCCAGGCACTCAAAACTAAGGCTGAGGGTGGGGGGGCAGGGGTGCTTCATAAAAGGCACTTTGTATCATGGGCAGCTTGGCTTTGGGCAAAGTCCGACTTGGGGAACTGGGAAGGGCAGTGGGACCGTCTGCCTGCCTTGGGTGCTCTGGCCTCCAGTGGCCAGGGGAGGGCAGCCCACACGGCTCCCCCGCCACTCTGCTGCAGACCCCGAGTGTGTCCATTGAGCGGCAGCAGTCCTGCCTACCCTGTGTGTGTCCACGCAGGGTGGGGCAGCCTCATCCAGGCTGCCCTGTGCTGGGGAGACTAGGCCTGGGTCTCCACGATGGACCATCCCAGAGGGCCCAGCCCTGATCCTGGCTGAGCTGGTAGCTGGGGTCAGAGCCAGGGACAATTCCATTCCTGTCGGGGAGAGGCTGGCCCTGCTCAGACTCACAGTCAATCGGGAGGGCCCGGCACACTCCTGGTCCTGGGGTCTCAGAAGGGAAGGGGTAACCTAGGCTCCAGACCACGAGGGGATCTTCTGCCCAGGGCAGAGCAGTCCTGGCTGGATTCGGGCCCGGTGGCAGGGTGGGCGCTCCCTCAGACAGGGTTCTCGTACCTGGCGAAGCTGGAGAGCTTCTCCTGCAGGGCTTTGAAGCAGGGCCTCTGCCCTGGGTCCCTGTGCCAGCAGCTGAGCATCAGCTTGTAGGTGGTGGGCGGGCACTCCGTGGGGCAGGGCATGCGATAGCCTGCGTCCACCCGCAGGAAGGCCTCGTGGTTGGACATGCCTGTGGAGAGTGGGACGTGGGCACTGGGGGAGGCTGAGGCCCTCCCGGAGACCTGGGGCCATATTTGCCCTCTGCACCCCCCCACGCTCACACCTCAGGCCCTCCCTCTGGGCTGCACCCAGGCACGCAGAAAAGCACCCAGGTGACGCCCCCTCCTGCCCTGCCTGGTCAAGAACACTCCGGTCCTGGTACCTGGATAGGGCACCTGCCCCCTGCTGAAAATCTCATGGAGGAGAATCCCAAAAGACCAGACGTCAGACTTGATGGAGTAGAGGCCCTGGGAGAGCGCCTCAGGGGCCGTCCACTTATAGGGGACGTTGCGGTCACGCGAAAGGTAGATGTCCTCCTGCAACAAGACACGCCGGTTGGGGTGGGGGGCACCTGTGCCCACAGGACGGAAGGCATGGGGAGCTCTGCATAGCCAGCAGGCCCCTCACAGAGCACGGGCACTGTCGGGACACAGGAGACAGACTGGCCTTGGGCCTGGGGGTGGGTGGAGGACAGACAGGTGGCGGCACTGGGAATTGGGGGACAGGAAGAGCGTGGCTTCTCCCCAAGGGAGCCCTGATGGGGAGCTGTGTGAGCCCTAGTGGGACAGTGACCTACAGACGTGTTCACGAGTTTGCAGATGCCCAAACGATAGCTGAGGGGCCACCATCAGACAAGCTCGGAAAAGTGGACAGTCATGGTCTGCCCGCCCTGCTGAGCAGCCTGTCCCCCGCCCATGCTGGGTGGCTGCCCTACCTCTGGTGCTCCCTGGACCCAAGACCCCACGGGGACCCAGCACCCTGCCCCACCGAGGTCCCACCTTGATGAGCCTGGCCAGCCCAAAGTCCCCCACTTTGCAGACATTGTTCTCCCCCACGAGGATGTTTCTGGCAGCCAGGTCCCGGTGGATGTAGTTCTGCAACTCCAGGTAGCACATGCCCTCGGCCACTTGCTCAGCAATGTCCAGCAGCTCCAGGACGGGCAGCGCCTCCTCGTCGGACTCTGTGGGCAATGGGGCCGGGTCAGTGGGCCGGCCAAGGGGATGTTCCATGTCAGCCCACACTCGGCTGTACACATCAGCGTGCTTCCCTGTCAGGAACCTACAGGAAGGGGACGGGACACTGGGAGTGGGTGCAGAGACGCCCGTCACAGTGACAACAGAAGCCTTGCACCCAGCGGTCCACCAGCTCTGTGGCATGGGGTGTGCAGATGGTCACAGGCCCCATTTCTGAAGGACAGTTACTGACCAGGAACACCGCCTGTGACCATCCTGCTTCTGTGAGCCAGTCTGCTTTAGAGTTCCCAAACGCGGGTGGGTGAGTCGACCCCCAGGCGCAGCAGCACGGGCTGGACGGCGCTCGTCCGACAAATCCCACCTGGGCTGTCAGAATGTCCCAGACACGGGGCCACTTGGGGCCCTGGGCCCCTCAGCCTGTCGGCAGCCCTGTGTGCTGGGCAGTTAAGGAGACCGAGGAGACTGAGTTAAGGTGACGAGATGGCGTGGGCAGCCTGGGGCGGGTGCAGGAGACAGGAGGCCCCGTCCCCCGCTTGCCCTGGTTTGCTCTTCCTCAGATTCCCACAGCGGACATGCTGCACTCCCCGCCAGGTGTGTCTCACTTCTGCACACCGCACAGGCCTGACGAAGGCTGTCCGCAGCGGGTGGGGTTCCCCCCTGTCCTTCCAGCACCCTTCCGGCTGCCGTCTGCTCACCCCGCAAGAGCTCCAGCAGGCTGCCCTTGGCCATGAGCTCCGTGATGATGTACACGGGGTCCCCCAGGGACGCCACGGCGTACAGCGCCAGGATGTGCTTGTGCCGCAGCTTCTTCATGGCCTGCACCTCCGACTGGAAGGCCTGCTGGTGCAGCAGGTCATCTGGGGCGGGGGAGGAGCGGCCTCAGTGGGTGCGGCCCCATCCACTCACCCTCCCTGGATGCCTGCTGCCAGGCCGACGCAGCCCAGTCCCTCTGTGCCCCAGCACCCCCCCAGTGACTCCGTGAACCCTGACCATGCCACACCGACCCAACGTCCACCCAAGCCAGGGGTGCCCCCATGCACCCCGGGCCCCTGGTTCCCTCATGGGGGACCCCAACCCTGTGCCTCCCAAGGAGGCTGCAGATGAGCCGTATTTCCCGCAAGCCAGTGATTTTGACGGCTCTCTGTGTACATTAAGAAGGTAATGTACAAAGGGTAACAGGTTCGATTCCCAGTCAGGGCACATGCCCGTGTTGCAGGCCAGATCCCCAGTAGGGGGCGTATGAGAGGCAACCACACGGTGATGTTTCGTTCCCTCCCTTTCTCCCTTCTCCTCCCTCTAAAAATAAATAAAAAATTTTTTCAAATGTTTTCAACTATCAGGAAAACGTCACCCCGTACTGCTTGGGGGCCACATGCAGCCTGTCCCCCACCCCCACACAAGTGAGGTCAGGGGCTCCTGCCGGTGGGACTGGCGGGGCGGGACCACTCACCTCGGGCTATCACCTTAATGGCCACTCGGACCTGGTCCTTCCAGAGCCCTTCGAATACCTCCCCGAAGTAGCCGGACCCCAGCTTCCTGCAGAGTGTGAACTCCTCCCGGGGCCGCTCCCAGTCGGCACAGTGGGGCAGCGGCTCCTGCTCGTGCTGGAGGGACAGGCGGGCACACCCCATGGCCCAGCCTGTCCTGCGGGGGTTCCCTCGGAGCCCAGCAGGGGGAGCCCGTAGCCAATCCTCCAAGGCAGGACTGCACTGGTTTCAGAGGATCCCAGGGGTCCCTCACTGCCTGCTCCGGGCCTGAGACACGGGCCCAGCTGCCGCTCCGTTCCGCTGATGGCGGGGGGCACACGGCCCTCGTGCAAGAAAGCCGCACTGGACGCAGCAGGAGCGTCATGACCCCTTGCCGGCCCACAGGTGAAAGTGACCGGCCAAGGGCGGACCACTCTCCGCTCGACCCACCACTCCCAGTTCTGTGGGGCCCCTGCTTCCAGACACCAGAGTCCCCTGAGTCCCACACCCACCCTGTGTGACCCTGCGTGACGCTGCAGGTCCGGTCACTGAGGAGCCGAGGATGGAGGGCCCCAGGGGGCGGTGAAGGGCCTACCTTCCAGCAGGGCTGGGCCAGCCGCAAGCCATGCGACAGGCTGTGGGCCCGGTGGTGGTGCACGAGCTCCGCCAAGCTGGGGAAGGACACGGCCTCGTTGAGGTGCAGCCGGCCCGCGCGCCTCCAGACCTTGTAGTGCCGGACGGAACCCCTGTCCCGCACTGGCGGGGGCAGAGAGAGGGCGTGTGAGCGGGCGGGCCGGTGGGCACCACCCGGTCTCAGAGAGTGGTGGACAGGCCAGGGGGTGCGTGCCAGTGGGTGCCACTCCCGGCGTCCCACCTGGTGGCCTTCCCAACAGTGACAGGAGAGAACCACAGGGACAGCCGCCACCACAGGGTCTCTGAGACCCCCAGAGAAGGGCTGTGGTGTCCTGGATGGCACAGCCAGATGCAAGGGACAGGCCAGAGAAGCCAGCTCTCCGCAGCCCCAAGGAAAGGTTTAGGGGCAAAAAGACGCCAAGCTAAGCCCAGAGACCCCCGCGGAGCCAGGACGGGGCTGCCGTACCCGAGAGGACGTAGTCGGCACCCGGCTTCTCGCTGACCCGGATCAGGAAGGCCCCTGGCTCGTTGCCATCGGCCTGCAGCCGGTGCAAGGCTTCTGAGCGGGAGATGCGGCCGAAGAACCACCTGCAGGGCCAGCAGTGGGTGGCAGAAGAGGTCCTGAGCCCACACTGAGTCCGGTCTGACCCCTGCCCTGCCCACCCTGAGCCCCAGCTGCTCTCTGATACTTTCTCCCACCCGAGGTGCCCCTGCCCATCACAGAGCCCAGAAGTCCCAAGTGGCTGGTTCTAAATGGCAGGAAAGGCCCTAGTGACCTGGAGAGGGGAGAGCAGGCACCTCCCACCACCCTGTCCGGCGGGGGGGGCACTGTCTGCGGTCAGAGCCCCTGACCCAGGGACCTGCTCTCCACCCACAGGCCCACGCTGATGTGGGTGCTTGTGTGACCCAGGCCACAGATGTGCCCTCGAACCAGGGACCCAAGCAGCTGCTGTGTACCCAGGACAGTGTTCACACACTCACGTCCACACATGCACTTGTGCACACACATTCACACACACGCACACGGCCCACACACACATCTGCACATACATGCATTCACACACATGCATGCAGCCCACACACATGCATTCACACACATGCGTGCGGCCCACATACACATCTGCACACATATGCATTCACACATACACGGCTCACATACACATCTGCACACACATGCATTCACACACATTTGCACGCACGCACACCCTTGCCCAACCCAGCACACCAGCTGCCGGCACGGGACGTGGGTGAGTCTGGACTCCGGGTATCAAGGTAGGGCCCGCAATTCCCCGGGTGACCCCTGCTGCCAGCGGCTCTGACCTTTGCACCCCAACCTCCCTCCCCGAGCTGTGGGAACTCGGGCCCCGCACAAAAGGCCTCTGCCCAGGGCGGCCCGTCCTGCACACCCACAGGGCTCCCTGCTCGCCCTCCACCCAGGCTGCCTCCCTCCACACGGCTGCCCTTGGGGCCCGGGCGTCTCCTCCAGCCAGGCCCACGCTGCACCCCTGCCCACAGTGCTGCCTGCCACGCAGCATGAGCTCGGGCAAGGCGGGCCGACGGGCAGGGACTCTGGGATGGGGGAGCACAGAGGCGCCTCAGGGCTCCTCCTGCGGAGCACCCCTCCCAGGACCCAGCTCAGAGATCATGAGGTCCCCGCACCCCAGGCAGCCCCTCGGGGTGGCTGCTGCCTCCAAAGCCTCGGAGCCAGGGGCAGGGTGGCGGGGAGGCCGAGAGCAGATGCCTGCCGCCCACGCCCGAGAAGGGCGTGTCGCAGCGACCTTCCTCCCTCCCCAACTGGGTCACACATCTGGTTCCAGTTGTCTGAAGGTGGCTCCCCAAGCCCCAGTCCTGCCCCCGGTCCCGCCGACCCCAGCACCGCCAGCTTCAGCCTGTCTGTCCTCTCTGGGTCCTGGCTCCACAAGGTGCCCATGGGGGGCCCCGGGGAGGGGCTGCGCGCCTCTGCTGCCCCCACCCCCAGGTGTCACCCAGCAAACACGCAGTCACACTCCTGGGACCAAGACGTCAGGATCCAACCCCGAGCCCCCACTGTTCCTCATCCCAGCTCCACCCCTGTCCCACCCTCGAGCCTGGCCACCGGGTGGGGAGTGCTGTCAGGGGGCTGCGGGGCGGGGGCGGCAGCTTGGTGGCCCACACAGACCACAGGGACACTCACGGCTCTGACTCCACCGTCTCCTCCTCAGCCAGGTAGTTGTGGGGCACGTAGCCCTCAGCCAGGGCCCCGCCCTCTGCGTCCAGCCGGGTGGCCCACCACCACTCCTCCTCCTTCCTTGTCACCCAGAACAGGTCCCCTGCCCGGAAGCTCAGCTCCTCATCCGTCCGGGCCTCAAAGTCCCAGAGGCCCACGTACCTGGGGCCCCGAGGGGCCTGGTCCCGGGACACCATGGCTGCCGAAGCGGCAGCACCCGGCCACCTGGCCTCCCCACCTGTCACTGGGCTGCTACAAACACGGTGGCTGGGAGTGGTGGGTGGGCGGGGCCGACTCTGACAGGCCACCCTCCCCTCCCCCAACCCCGCCCGGCATCCAGTGTCTTCCCAGGACGGGCGTGACAGGGTGACAGGCAGCTCTCTGCCCCTTGGGCTGTCAGCCCCAGCTCTCACCTGTTCCACCCACCCCCCTCCCTGGGGCCAGGTCTGGGCGCTGCTGTTGCCCACCCGCTGTGGGAAATGTGCCCGCCAAGCAACCGTGGGGTGGGGGGCCTGAGCCCGGAGGGAAGGTCGATGGGGGTGCCCTGCTGTGACAGGACCAGAACCTCAGCAGTGACGCTTGGAGTTGCGAGGGCAGAGTCACGGACGAGCCGCTCCCTTCCTTCTCCTCCAGGGCCACTGGACCCCTGGGGACAGACGGACACCAGGCACAGAGCAGGTGGCTGCTGGAGCCCAGCTGGAGCCACCGCCCTTCCCTCCCTGAGGCACGTCCTGCAGCCTCGCGCCACCTTCACGCCACGGCCCCCGTGCCGCACACTCCCTGACCGCGGCCGCAGCGGGCAGCCCGGGACAGAGCCCGGGTGGGGCCGGGGGTGTGGGGTCAGCCTGCTGGCCTGACCTGAGCTGCGTCCCACCAGAGGGGCTGCCAGAGACTCTGTGCCGGACAGGAGGACAGTGAGGACGGAGGACGGTGACACTCCCTGTCGGAAGCGTCCATAGAGAAGACGGTGACAGCCCCGCACACCCCCTCTCGAGCGTGTGCTGTTTAACAAGGTCACAGACGTGCTGTGCTGGGTGGCCCTGCTCAGTCCTGACCCAGCCTCGTGGGGAGGGGACAGCAGGGACGTCGGTGGGGACAGGGCTCTGCCCTCCACCTGCGCACCAACACCCTGCCCCGGGCCTGGCCTGTGTGTCCACACCCAGGGTCTAGAGTCCCTGGGTGCAGATGTGCAGGGACTCTGCGTCACACCAGGAAGTGAGAGTTTCGGACTGAGTGTCCCGGCTCCGCCCGGAGGCTCTGGAGAGCAAACCTGTCCAGCGTGTGGTTGATGAGACACCCGAGATGACCCCCACGCACGCCTGCCTCTCGGGGCCGTCACCGCGCCCAGCACATGCCTCCCCTCCGAGGCTGCCTGCCCAGCCCTCCCACATTCACAGCAGCTCCCAGCGAAGAGGCTGCACCGTTCCTGGTGGCGGAGCCCTTGCCCAGAGGGGCCCCTTGCTCCCCCGAAGCAGAGGAACTTGCCTCCAGCCCTCACCTTCTGGGGCCCGAGCCAGCTCCTTGGCCCTGCACAGCATGCAGGGGTCAGCGGCTGCAGCCTGGGGTCCCAAGAAACTCAGACCAAACCTTCCTGCCCCCACCCTCCACCCAGGCTGGGGCTCCACAGGGCCCCTGCCGTCCCTCGGCCAGACCTTCCCACCTCGACCTCCGGCTGACCTCTCCACCCCACTCCACCCTGAAGTGCCTCTGGGGGAGCAGTCACTCATCTGCCCTCAAAGGGCCTGTGGCCAGTGGTGCCCCACAGGGTGGCCTTGCCTGCCTCTGTCTTGACAAGCCTCAGGGCAATGGCTGCCAGCGTGGGGCTCTCAGGAGGGTGGGGGCCAGGGGCCCTGAAGTCAGACCCCACGCACCTGGCCCCCTGTGTCTCCACTGTTCATCCGTGGTGACCCCATGGTGTCCAGAGCCTCCCTCCTTACTCGGCGACACCTCCTTTGGCTTGAAATCAGTGCTCCGGGTGTACGCACTGCAGGCACGGTGCTTCTGTCTCCCCAGAGAGCTTGTCACCCAGGGGCCCGCCCCCCACACCACCCACCCTGCACCTGGCCGGCATCCTGGCCTGGGACCACTGAGGCCCGGCCGCCACGGACTCCCCAACCACGAGAGCCACCGGCCAGCCCCCCCACAGCCCCCCAGCCCCTGCCTGACCTTCCTGTGGTCGGACCCAGCGCGCCCTTCCATCTCAGCCCAGGGAAGTGTGTAGGGCCGTCCACACAGCTGGGGGTTCTCTGCCTCTGGGTCCCCTGTCCTGGACACCAAGACGCCCTGGGTGGGGGGCCTGAGCTGTGATAAACCAGCTGGTGGGCCACCCCGTCAGCTCCAGCTCTTCTCCAATCGGGGGCTGAGGCCTGTGCAAGACCCATGTCTGTTCATGTCTGAGTCCACACGTGTTTACTGAGCGCTGCCTCTCTGCACCCACAGGGTTTGCACACAGGTAGCCGTGTGCTCGTGGGAGGTGGTGGCCACGCCCCACTGGGGCCCAGGGCCGGGGTTGGGCTGGGAGCCCCCCACACCAGCCCCTTCAACAAGACCCGGAGGGGCTGTGGAGAAAACTGGGAAGCCAAACCTGCTGCTCTTGACCCTGGGAGGGCCTGGAGGGCCCGGGTCTCTGGACCCAGGCCGGAGGGCTCAGGGCGCCCCTGCCCAGTTCCCCTGAGGCGGGAGCAGACTCGGGCTCCACCCTATCTGCCCATTGAGTCCCGCCCCCTGCCGGGGACACAGCCACGCTGGGCAGAGGGCGCCAGCCTCTCCTCTCCGAGCTGGCGTCTGTGCGCAGGTGTGGCCGGGGGCCCTGCAGGCCAGGGGTCCGACACCCGGGATGAGTTGAGGCAAATGTTGCTGTGGGGAGGGGTGGCGCGGCCCAGCGTCCCCAGCATCCAGCACCCTGGGTCATGTGAGGGTGGGGGCGCAGGTGCCCTCGGAGAGTGCCCAGCCTCTCCTGCAGTTCGGCGAAGGCAGGCTGCTTCCTGAGAAAGGGTTCCCTGGCTGCGGGCTGCTGTTCAGACCGGGCTTGGGGGCAGGATGGCCCTCTAACCCCTGAGACACACGACAGATGGCCACTCCCCACCCAGCCTCTGGGGCATCTTGTGGGCGGGACTTGTTCCTCCGTGCGCTGGCCACCAGGGCTCCGGCAGGGCCTCAGGGGCTCAGGGAGGGGCAGCCCCTGCGACCTACCTCTGCCCCCCACCAGGTCCAGGCGGGAGAGGCATTGCTGCCCAGCCTGGGATCTGAGCCCAGGGCCAGCTGCATGGAAGGGCCTGGCGGAGGCTGGACCCTCCACGCCCTGAGGCAAACCGCCCGCTGCCCAGGTCTCCCAGCACTTCGGGTCGGGCTCGGGGAGCAAACCCCAGCCGGCCGGGTCCCAGAAGGGGGCCCTGGGGCGGGGCCTGTGGGTGGCCTGATCTTTCTGCCCAAGCCTGTCTCCCTTAGCCCGGCCGCTCAGGCACCCAGGGTGGTAACTGAGGCCCAATCCGCACTCCTTCCGCCCCCACCTCAGTCGACACCCAAATGTTCGCTTCCTGTGCTGAGTGAACCCCACATGCAGGCACGAGACTGTCCCCCACTGGCCCCAGAGAGGCAGCAAGTTCTCTTCTCTGCGCTGCACCTTGGGGGCTCCCCACCACACACCTGGGGGGCAGCTACTGTTTACAAACTGGGGAGGCAGCCACACAGTGAACTGGGGCGGGCAAGGGGCCCGAGGGGCCGGCCACTCGGCGCAACTGAGACCCATCCTGTGTGTGTGTGTGGGGGGGCTGTTGTTAAGACATTTACAAACACAGACCTGGGGGTCTGGAAGGGCCTGTGGCGGCCCCTGTCCACCACCTACTGCCCCTGTCCACCACCTACTCCCGGAGTGCAAGCCTGGACTTTGGCAGGCAGGTTTCCCTCCATCCAGATACAAGGCCCCTCCTCCTGGGAAGCCAGGCCCCGCCCATCAGCGCCAGGGGCCTCTGCGGGCTGAGGGAGGGGAGGGTCCACTCTCACTGACGACTCCGCTGGGCACTCCAGGTCAAGCACTGAGAACGGCACACGCAGCCCTCCTGCAGACTGCCCACCCCCCAGAGCGGCGGCGGCCTCGGGCCCTCAGCTCCTTCCTGCCAGGCAGTGGGGCTCTCCTGCTTCCTGTGGCCTCCCGCCTTTGCCCAGCCCCAGGCCTCCTGTCAGCCCCCCTAAGAAGCCCAGACAAAAACCCCCATGGTGGGCTGAGGTCTTCCTCCTCCTCCAGGTGGGCAAGCCAGCTTCTGTCCACCCCTCCTCAAGGTCTCTGTGTCGGGAAGTAGAAACCAACGCCGCCCGCCCCCTGCCTCCCCCAGTTTCAAAAGAACTGGCCTCTGGCCTCTGTCTCCAGGTGATGAGGACAGAGGGAGGCAGACTCCTCCTCCTCTGTGGGGGCAGAGGGCTCTCCGAGAAGCACCGGGCGCAGCCCCGCCCCACAGCTCCCTCCCCCACTCTGCCCTCTGCCCTGCCTGGAGACAGTGCTGATCCGGGTGGGGCGCGGGGGTCAAGTGAGGCGAAGGCGCCCGCAGCTCTGTGTGTGGGCGGGCCATAGTGTTCCGGGCTCCCTGGCCGTAAGCGCAAGTGCGGACCTCTCTGCCTCAGTGTCCCATCTGTCAGGACACCTCGCACACAGCCACACGGCGAGGACGCAGACCAGGTCTGCTGGGCTGAGCAGGGGCCCCTGCGTTCTGGCTGAGTACCCCCCACGGGCCACCCGAAGGGGCCTCTGCTCAGGTGTGCTCCCCCCCCACCAGGGCGGTCACCGCCCGCCCTTGGGGCCAGGGTCACTCTGCCAAGGGCAGCGCAGCCTGGTGGCCAGAGGCAGAAAGCAGACAGGGCCGTGGCTCAGAGAGGATGGCCGACCGGGGCCGCACAGCCCACCGGGCGGGACGGGTCCCCAGGCCTCCACATGCAGGGCAGCGCATGCACAAGGCTCTCTCTCCAAGGAGACAGGTTGGGGCTGGGTGGTTGCCAGGGGACGAGGAGGCAGGGGACGGCGGGAGTGGGCACGGCGGGATGAGGCCGGGCATCCTGCCCTGCAGGTCAGCGGCACTGCCCTGCTGTCTCACACCGAGTTTCTGCAAGAAACCGGCAAAGGGCTCCCGGGGGCCCCTGCAACAACTGGGTGTGACCGCAATGATCTCCAACCAAACGCTGAATTGTAGCCTGGCTGATGCGGCTCCATGGGCTGAGGGCCGGCCGGCCAGCCGCACCCTTCTGTCTGGTTCCATTCCCAGTGGCCCACAGGCAAGGGTTGCGCCCAGGGTCCCCAGTAGGGGGTGCAGGAGAGGCAACCACACATGGATGTTTCCCTCTTTCTCCCTCCCTTCCCCTCTCCCTAAAAATGAGTCAATAAAATCTAAAATAAATAAAAAATAACAGTTTAGTGCAGAGGTCCAGGATGCGCCTGGCCCAGGAGGGGGCGCTGCTGTGCGCCCACCCCCTCTCTGCAGGTGGGCTGCAGGGCGGAGGGGGTGGTCTTCCCCACCCTTCCGGCTTCAGACAGCACCCCTTCCAAACAGTCCAGCCCTTCCCCTCAGACCCTTCAATAACAACAGCCCTTATCGCTGCATGAGAGCCCAGGGCAGGGCCAGGAGGGGTCGCCCAGAGGGGTGGGGGTGCTGGGGGGGGGGGCTCTGGCCACAGAGCAGACTGGGAGAGGACTCAAGAACAGGGGCCAGGTCCTGGAAGGGGCCCCGTCTCTGACCTCTGAGGGGCAGGCGACAAAGACGGCATGGGGTGTTCCTGCCTCCTGTCCTCCTCCTCCCCAAGGTGGGCAAGGGGCTCCTGGGGTGTCAGACTGACTGCTGCCGGGGGAGACCCAGGCTGCTGAATATACCTTCAAGGGGCTGCCTGGGGCTTGGTCCAGCCCCGTCGGAAAGGCACCTGAGTGGGACAGAAAGCCTGGGGTCCACTCACTGGGGCGACATGTGCCATCCACCTACCAGTTCTCAGGGTCCCTGCCTCTGGGCAGCTGCCCCGAGGGGTTCCCAGGGCCTTTTGGCCACGGGCAAAGCAGGGGCACCCCTCCAAATTCCCCACAGGCTCCCACCACCGCCCAGAAGCCCCAAGGCAGCGCTGCGCCCGCAAGACCACGCAGGGCCGCTGCGCCCTCAGTTGTTCCTCCCTCAGACTCGCTCGAGCGCGGGGATTTCGGGCCACGGGCGGTGTGTGTCTCCCGGCTCGGCGGAAGGAAGAGAGCGACGCCCAGGGACAGCTCCTGGGAGCCGGGACCAAGCGCGGAGCCCGGGGCAAAGGCCTGGCTGAATCTGGCGGTTCCTCCCGTCGGGGCCCTGGGAGCACGTAGCACGCCCCGCGCCGTCCACTCGCAGCCCCTCAAGGACCCGACCGCGCGGAGTCGCCCCCGCAAGCCCGGAGCCTCCGCCGCCCCCCGCCCCCACCCCAGGACCCCGCAGGACGTCACAAAGGCCATGGATCCCCATGGCAACAGGCTGGATGCCTCGGCGCGACGCCGGGCGCCCCCACTCTCCGCAGTGGAGCCGCAGAGCGCCGCGCATTCGGGGCGGCGGGGCGAGAGGACGCGCGGAGTGGCTGGGTGAGGGCCGGGGGGCGGGGAGGGGCTTCGGTGGGGGGGAGGTCTTAGGGGGTGGGCCTGCGGACGAGGAGGCGCGGCGGGTGCAGAAGGCGGGGCCTCCGGGTCGGCGGGCCTCAGGGCGCCTGGCAACCCCGCCCAGGAGTTCACTGTGAGCTTTTCTACCTGGGAGACTGTTGTGGACCGGAGACACCCCTGACCCGTGGCCAGATCCAGGGGCAAGAGTTCTCTCCAGAGGCCAGAGAAGGACTTAAGGCCTTAAGTCCTGGGGTCCTGGTGGGCGGGCAGCGCACCCCACACACCCTCTCTGCTGTGCTAGGTCCTGGTCCGGTCGCTCTACTCCAGGGCCGTCAGAGGCTGACCTTTGGGGAGGGAGGCAGCGGCCTCCACAGTACTCTGCCACCTAGCGGTGCTTTCGGAAGCTAGCCACTCTCCCTGTTGGGTCTTCCTGCACCTGGTCCACCCTTGGGTTGCTGGGACACTCCGAGCTTTCCCAGGTGAAGCCGTGGGGCTCTGGGGACAGCTGGGACCTGGGACAGCAGCTAGGGAGGATGGCTCCTTCTCCAAGGAGCCCCAGCTTGCAGCGACAGTCCTCATGGCCTTGTGGCCTCCCCAGCTGGGCCTGGGTCCCCAGCTGCACCTGGCAGTGGGGGGCACTGACACCCAGAACCGGGAGCTGGGGGTGCATTGTGGCCCAGAAGGAGGTCAGGCTCCGGGGTCCGTGGTCGGCCTCCAACCCAGCACTGAGGGCAAGCTACAAAGCGTTGGACCCTCTGGCTCCCCATCTGTAAGAAGCCTTGGGCGTCCCCCTGGCGTCGGGGAGCTCCAGGCCACAGCAGGGGCTCGGTGACCGGGGCTGAGGCCTGGGGACACCCCGCCTCCCCGCTGGGCCTGGTCTCCAACTGTGCAGGCTTGGGGTGAGCCCGGCCCTTGTCTCCGTGCGGGCCGTGAGGTGTGGGGGGCCTGGGGATAGTAGCGACCCCACGGGGACCCCGGGGCTGCTCAGGCAGGGTCGCACTGAGGCTCAGCTTCCCCCATTTCAGACGAGGACCTGAGCTCTTTCCCAGACCACACAGCTGGTCAGCTGCTGGGGTTTCTGCCCAGGTCGTTCTGGCCCCAGAGCCCAGTCTGGGGGTCAAAGGGACTGAAGCCACCTGCACACACAGACACCGCCCCCAGGGAGCCCAGGGTGGGGGGTGGTGGACAGTAGAGGCCAACCTGACTGTCCCCTCACACCCCGTCCTCCGCCCCTCCCTGCAGACGATGGCCTTCCAGGTGACGGGTCCGGACAAGGTGCAGCTGAACCGTCTGCAGCCCTTCCTGGACCAGGAGGAGGTGGAGGAGGCGGAGGACGGGCAGCTGCTGGAGCCAGAGGCCTGGAGGACCTACACGGCCCGCCGCAACGCCCTGCGGGAGTTCCTGACCTGCGACCTGAGCCCCCACCTGCTGAAGCGCCACCACGCCCGCATGGAGCTGCTGCGGAAGTGCTCCTACCACGTCGAGATCCTGCCCAAGCACCTGGCCCTGGGCGACCAGAACCCGCTGGTGCTACCCAGCACGGTCTTCCAGCTCATCGACCCCTGGAAGTTCCAGCGCATGAAGAAGGTGGGCACCGCGCAGACCAAGATCCAGCTGCTGCTGCTCGGAGACCTGCTGGAGCAGCTGGACCAGGGCCGCGCCGAGCTGGACGCCCTGCTGGAGTCGCCGGACCCGCGGCCCTTCCTGGCGGGCTGGGCCCTGGTGGAGCAGCGGCGGGCGGACCTGTCCGCGGTCATGGACAGCTTCCTGGCCTTGATGGTGCCAGGGCGTCTGCACATCAAGCACCGCCTAGTGTCGGATGTCGGCGCCACCAAGATCCCGCACATCCGGCTCATGCTCAGCACCAAGATGCCGGTCATGTTCGACCGCAAAGAGTCGGTGGCCCACCAGGACTGGGTGACCCTGCGCTGGTTCGTCACCATCCAGCCGGCGGTGCCGGAGCAGTTCGAGCTGCGCTTCAAGCTGCTGGACCCGCGGACGCAGCAGGAGCACCTGCAGCGCGGGCTCATCCCCGTGGCCGCCTGCAGCTTCGAGGTCCACAACCTGCTGCCCAGCCGCCTCTACAAGTTCACCGTCAAGAGGGCGGAGAGCTACACGCTGGTGTACGAGCCCTGGCAGGACAGCCTCACCCTGCAGACCAGGCCGCGGACCCCGGAAGGGCCCGTCCCTGGGCGGCTGGGCAGGCCGGCCCGCCCCTGACCACAGCTTCCGAGAGATGATTTTTAGTCTTTAGCCGCTAATAAAGAGGAGTAGAAACTCACTCACAGTCGAAGAAGCAAACCTACTTAACGTCCCAGGGGCAGCCACAGCCACAGGCACGCGTCCCCCAGCTTGGCCCACCCCAGGCCCCGCGGCTTCTCCGGGGGGGCCCCCGAGTCTCCCAGGACAGCGCACCCCTGGAGTGAGAAGTCTCAGCCCTGGCGTCTGGGTGCCACAGCCAGTGACGACAGCAGCTCCCAGGGTCTCTGCCCCTTCGGCCTCTCCCCATCCCTGTCACCAGCTGTGCAGCCTCGGAAGGCACTGGCTGTCCCCTCAGGGGGCCCACAGCCCTGGCCAGACCCCGCAGGCAGGCAGGCCCCAGCACTCTCGACCCCAGCTTCATCGGGATCAGGGTCCCTGAGGCCTAAAGGACATTTTTTTTTCTTTTAAAGTTTTTATTTATTTTTAGAGAAGGGAAGGGAGGGACAAGGAGGAAGAGAAACATCAGTGTGTGGTTGCCTCTTGAATGCCCCCAACTGGGAACCTGGCCTGCAACCCAGGACTATGCCCTGACTGGGAATCGAACCAGCGACCCTTTGGTTCACAGGTCGACTCTCAGTCCATGAGCCACACTAACCAAGGCTAGACATTTTCTTTCCAAAATGGCAATAAAAGTCTTATCTTTTCTCCAAATGAAGCTAAAGTTCATCAGCACCCCCATCCTGAGGTGGGTGAGGGTCCCAGGCAAGGAGACGTCCCAGGGACACAGGCTGGGACTTCCTGTTTGGGGGCGGCCCTCCCCCCAACCCCTGGTGTCCAGCTCTTGTGGGCAGCGGCCCCCTGGATGTTGCCTTGATAGCCTGTCCTTGCCCTGTGGTGTGGTCATGTGACCCCGGGGCAGCCGGCAGCTTCCCTCCTGGTGCACATGCTCATTTCCAGATGAAGGTGGTCACGTCCAGCCCCAGGGGGGCCGCACTGTGTGCCCTGGCTGTGGCAGAGGACAGCAGGACCTCCAAGAATCACGTGGCGTGGGACCGGTGGTCAGAAACGGAGCCCCTCTCCCACTGACAGAGAAGTGGTTTGGAGGAGGGTCCCCGACTCTGCCGGGGACGCCCCGGCACCCTCGCCCCGGCTGTGGGCCCTCTGAGTCAGGTGGGGGTTCAGCCTGATGAGGTTCCTTCAGCCTGTCCGGCCCCTGGCCATCCGTGTGCTGGACATACACATGCTTGACATACCATCCAAGGTCAAACCAGACTCCCGCTGTGGCCCTGCATGGCCACGGGACCCTGTCCTGCATGGCTCCAGCACTTCAGACACAGGGTTGGGGGGCAGGGGCCAGGGACTGAGGTCACAGCAGTCCGAGAGAGGGGCTGCAGCCGTGGGGTGCACCCCAGAGGTGCATGCGGGCACCCCAGCAGGGGCTCCCTGGTCCTGGTGTCTCCAGCCGATGGCCTGGTCTCCCGCCCTCACCCAGACTGGCGGCTGCCCAGAGGCAGCAGGCCCCGTTCTGCCAGCAGCTCCCCGGTGCCCTCTGGGTGCAGTTTTTTTAATAAATATTTTATTTATTTATCTTTAGAGAGGAAGGGAAGGAGAGAAGTAGAGAAATATCAATGTATGGTTGCCTCTCATGAGTCTCCTGCTGGGAACTGGCCTGCAACCCAGGCATGTGCCCTGACTGGGAATCGAACCGTGATCATGTGGTTCGCAGGCCCACGCTCAATCCACTGAGCTACACCAGCCAGGGCTGGGTGCAGTTTTCAAGGCCAGAACAATGGTCTGTGCCCAGCTGGCCCGGCTGCCCTGCCCCTCTGGGCCGCCCTCTGCGTGGAGCTGCCTTCCCGCCCTCTGCACCCCCAAGTCCAGCCAGGCTTCCCCACAGCACCCTTGGGGCCCCGACGCCCCCTCCTCTGGGAAGCCCTCCCTGGCCCCAGGCTGATGGGGCCTCAGCTCCCAGCCCGGAGGTGCCATGGCTGCGGCAGCACAGCCCTTGTGCAGGTGAGGCCCCCCGACTCCCTGGAGGCCTCAGTGAACATGCAGGACCCAGAGGTCAGGGACCCCTTTCCCTGCGAGTTCTCTTTTCTGACCTCCCGGCGGCCATGCCTTCCTCTGCAGCCCGGCCCAGGGGTAGGGCGGGGGCACCGGGGGTTCAGCCACACACACACGTGAGCAGCCCAGGTTCACGTGTGGTGCCCAAGGTCAGCAAAGGACCTGCCGGCAGCCTGGACTTAGACTTTGGGTCCAGACCTGCCTAAGGTCAGAGTTCGGAGCGCTGGGCAGGCCTGTGCACCTGGACAGAGCCCGTGCTGGTGGCCTCTCCTCCCGGCCGGCCTTGCTGCTTCCTCTGTCCAGGCAGTTGGCCCTCATCTGGGGCCATGTCCTGGGCTGCGGCCTCACCTCAGAAGCCACGTCGCAGCCCAAAGCAAGAGGAAGGGCCCCTTCTGAGGCCCCAGACAGACCTGAAGACACCCAGAGGTGACAAAGCAGAGCAGCCTTTTAATAAAATTAATGTGCAATCATATAAGATACAAAATTGGAATGTAGAGATTTGATTTGTACAAAACTTCAGCATCGGACATACACAAACATGCCCCCGCCCCCACCCATGGTGAGGAGCCGGGCCTCCCTGGTGTAAACAACAGTTCACAGTGTCCCATAGCCTGTGGGGACAGTAGAAAATTGCACTGAGACCCAGGGGCCCGCAGGTCGAGGTGGGGGATCCCAAGGGGACCCAGGGCAGTGGATCTGAGCGAGCCCCTATGCATGGGCTGAGAACCCTGTCCTCACAGAACAGAAACCGGGTTTGGTTTCTTTCTTTCTTTCTTTTTTAGATTCTATTTATCCATTTTTAGAAAGAAGAGAAGGGAGGGACAAAGAAAAGCAGAGAAACATCACTGTGTGGTCGCTTCTCATATGCCCCCCACCAGGGACCCGGCCTGCAACTCAGGCATGTGCCCTGACTGAGAATCGAACCAGCAACCCCTGGATCCTCAGGCCTGCGCTTAATCCACTGAGGTACACCAACCAGGGCTGGTTTTTTTAAAAACAAAAAATAAAGCTGAGCCCCACGGCTGGCGCCTGGTGGGGGCGGTTGGATGGCAACAAATGCCGGAGAGCTGGGGGCTCCTTCCTGACCCCAAACTCCCCAGCAACACAGCCTACCCCTGAGACGGCCCCTGTCCCCACGGTGGCAGCAAACGCAGGTCAGCGGGAGGGTGGGGACCGGCCCTCCCCCTTCCTCCCAAGTTCACGCTGCCCGCCGGGGACAGCCAAGACCCCAGAAGGTGGTTACCGTGCACGGCCAAAGTGGGCGTGGGGGGCCGGCAGCAACCGCAGAAGGCACGTGAGGTTCCGCTGAGCAGGGCTGAGGCAGCGGGCGGTGGGGGCGCGGTCCCCGCAGCTCCAGGGTGTTGGGCAGCGGAGGCGGGGCTCTCAGGACGGCAGGGCCCACCTCCTCTGGACCCGCACCTGGCCGACGGGCACCAGGCAGCCCTGGGCCTGGCAGAAGTCCACCAGCCGGCGCCACAGGGGGCAGCACCGCAGGAGGAGGTGGTCTCCTGCAAGAGGGGGTGGTCAGCGCTGCCCCGGGCGGGCGGGCAGCCTGCCCTGGGGCGGCCCTTCCCCCGCCCCAGGGCCTCACCAACGATGCAGAGCCCCTCCTGGGCCCGGGTGACGGCCACATTCACTTGGTTGGGGTCCACGACGAAGCCCAGGAACCTCTTCAGCCAGCTCTTCGTGGGCCGTGGGTCCAGGTCGGCCTCCGGGCAGGAGCGGACGGTGCTCACCAGCACATACCGCCACTCGCTCCCTGCGGGCGGGCGCACGGTGAGGCCCGCCCTCCCAAGCCCGCCGGGAGCCCTGCCGGGAGCCCCGCCGGGAGCCCCACCCGGCACCAGCCCGCAGCCTCACCCTGGCTCTTGGTGATGGAACACACGGTCAGCCCAGTGACACCCTTCTGCACCAGGCACTTGCTGATTTCCGCGGCCTGGGCGTTGTAGGGCGTGAGGATGGCGATGTCCTTGGGGTCCACTCTCCTGTCCAGGGTCAGCTGCTTGGCAATGCGAACCTGAGGGGCAGAGGGGAGCCGGTGAGACCCAGCCTGGTGCCTCCCTCAGCTGCTCCACCGCCTCCTCCAGGAAGCCCTCCGGGACCAAAGGGCACCGCTGGACACTCACCACCTCCGCCACCTCGTCCAGGTTGGCCTTGGAGTTCTCGTTCCCTTCATCTGTGGACACCAGCAGGCTCTGCTCGTGGCCCTGCACGTGGCCGAAGATGACCGGGCAGCTCTCCCTGTCCACGTGACCCAGGACGCTGGGTGGTCGCCACAGGCCCTGCCAGGTCTTCAGCTTCTTCTCGTAGAACTCCATGGAGGGGAAGGCACAGATGTCCTTGTGCTGCGGGGAAAAGCGTGAGGCGGGGGTGGGCCCCAGGAGGGGGCCGGGCGGGCGAGGGGGTGGGGAGCGGCCGCAGGCGGGCGGCAGGCTGGCTCACCATGCGGTACTGCGTGTCCAGCATGTGGGCTTCCCGGTAGTACCTCTCGAAGAGAGACTGGTCCAGCCCCAGGCTCTGCATGTGCTCATTCTTGACCACAGGCCGCAGCTGCTTGTGGTCCCCGAGGAGAACCACCTGGAGGGACAAGCAGGTGTGGCCCTGCCCCCCACCTCCGCCGCCCTCCACGCACCCCTGGACCCCAGGGGCCGGCCCCCCGCCCACCTCAGCAACGCCTGCCTGCAGCACCCGGCCCGCACCACCTCACCTTCTCAGCCCCTGGGAACTTCACCAGGGGGATGAGGGTCTCGGGCTCCGTGGCCATGCCCGCCTCGTCCACCAGGATCTGCCGGACGTTGAGGCCCTTGAGGCTGGCCGCGGCGGCGCAGGAGCAGGTGCACAGCACGACCCTGTGGCGGGCCAGCTCGTGCTTCCGCGCCTTCCCCAGGACCTTCTTGTACCTGCGTGGGGAGGCCGGCCGTCACCCAGGGACCCTGCCCCGTGAGGCCACTCCGGGTGGCCGCTCCGGGCTCTGGCCACTTACAGAGCGAGGTCCTCCTCGGAGAAAATCTCCCCTCTCTGCAGCCGGGCGTCGAAAGCCTTGATGTCCTGAGAGCAGGGGTTGGAGGGCTGCCGGATCAGGTGGTGCAGGGTGATGCTCCTGTGGGGGGGCCTCCGTGAGCCCCAGGCTGCCCACGGGCTCGCAGCAGGACCATCCAACAGCTCACCCCCGCCCCACAGACAGACAGACAGACAGACAGAGGGCTGACGGGCTGCACCTGAGGGTCGGGTTGGGCCTTCCCTCCCGAGGGGTCTTCCTGGATGGGCCCCTGCTGCTCACACCGGGCACCAGGAACTCGGTGGCCTCGGCCTGCTCCCCGTACACGCGGAGGGGCTTCAGCTCTGCCTTCCTGCTCAGCAGCATGCCTGGGGGGGGCGGGGCGTGAGTGGCCGTCCTCCGGGCCGGCACGCCCGGGCCCAGCCCCCACCTGGCCGGCCCAGCGCACCTGCCACGACGTCCACCGACTTGTTGGAGGGGCCACAGTAGAGGATGCAGGAGGGGCTGCCGGACGCCGGCAGCTCCTCGTTTAACTTGTGAAACCAGAACACGATGTGGAAGCCCACCACTGTCTTCCCCGTGCCTGTGGGCAGAGAGCGGGTGAGCAGAGCCCCCCACCGCCTGCCCCGGCCCCCCAGGCCCCTCACGTGGGCCCCACCTGGCGGGCCCTGGATGACGGTGAACTGCTTCTTCAGAGCCTCTCGGACGGCTGTGTTCTGGCTGGGGTTCAGCTTGCGGCAGCCTCCGGGCATGTCGAAGGCCTGCAGCTCCAGGAACCTGCTCGGGGTCCCTGGGAAGGGGCCAGGCTTCCCTGAGCTCTGGTTCAGGGCAGGCCGGGGCCAGAGTCTGGGGCTCAGGGACACTGGAGGGCCCCTCACCTACCTCTGCGCAGGGGCTGCTGGCCAGCAGGGTGGCGGGAAGGGTGGCGGGGCAGGGGGATGGGATGGCCCAGGGCGATGTTGATAACCAGCTGGGATGCGTCCTTCAGCCCACGCACGGCTTCTTCCTTGCGGCTGGGGGCATGCGCGGGAAGAGGTGGACACTGGAACTCCCACGGGACCCTCCTGGGAGGGACTGCTGCCCCACTGCCACCCCCTCCCGGAAGAGGGAGCCCTGGGAGTTTCGGGCCCCCCCCCGCCCGCCAGCCTGGCCCTGGCCTCCGGCCCCCACCCCTGCTCTGTAGAAGAGACTCACATGTCAGGTAGCTGCTGGGGCAGCACCTCAATGGTGAAGGCAGTGCCGGGTCTCAGCACCTCTTCTGGAACCTTCTCCATGGCCATGTGGTGGATGAAGAATCGCACCTGCACCTGCTTGGTGAACTCTCGCCGGTCGGCCGGACCGTCTTTATTTGAGTCCAAGTTCTCCGTCAGCCCGTGGGCCACCCAGGTGTAGGTGTCAGGGTCGATGCTCAGGACCGGGCCCAGGCCGGCTTCCGGGAGCACGTCCCGGGCGGCGGCGGGGGGCGCGACCCGCAGGCCCTCGAGCCGGATGCAGAGGTAGCAGTGGTCAAAGTCCACGTCGATGCTGTGCTCGCGGAGGAAAGCGGGGTCCAGGCGGAAGCTGCCGCGCAGCAGCCCCTGCTCCGTGCGCGCCGGGTCCCAGGCCACACGTACCTGCCGCAGTGTGATGGCCTCGCTCTCGCCCACGGCGCTGGTGGCCGACTCCAGGGAGCAGAAGGGCTGCCACACGCGGCAGTAGTCCTCCAGGTGGCTGAAGCTGTCCTGCCCGGCCTGGGGCGCCTGGCCCGAGAAGCAGTCACCCGGCCGTTCCACGTGCTCCAGGCACAGGCTGAGGCCGGGCGCCACGGTCCACAGCTGCAGGGCGGGCGCCAGGATCCCCCGGTGCAGCGCTGCGCTGAGCTGCACCTGCAGCGTGTCCCCGCTGCCCAGCTCCCGGGCCACCTCCACGAAGTGCTTGCAGGCGCTTCGGGACACCTTCCCCAGCTCCCGCTGCGGCTCCTTGGCGGCCTCCTGCTCGCGCACCAGCGCAGCTGCCTCGGGCCACCGCTGCTCCTCCACCAGGGCCAGCAGCTTCTGCCACAGGGCGGCGTCCACGGGCCAGGTGTGCGGGTCCAGCAGGGCACCGGGCAGGGGAGGGCACGGCCCGTTCTCCAGCACGGAGTAGATGCGGCGCCGCCACTGGAGCCGCAGGCCGGGCCGGCGCACCAGGGCTCTCGGGTGCTCGGCCAGCTGCAGGCAGCGGTAGAACACGGGGCAGGGGTCGGGCAGCGTCTCCGGGTTGGCGGGGAAGAACAGCCTGAAGCAGCGGGCTCCCGGCTCCACGTCCACCACGAAGCCCAGCTTCTGCCGCGGCTGGGCCTTGAGCTGCGTAGCCAGGTGCAGGCTGCAGGCCCGGCGCTGGTAGCTCTGGGCACGCCCGTGCTGGCGGCTGAAGTCCTGGCAGAGCTTGTCGACCTCCCGGGCAGAGTAGGAGGAGCCGCCGTGGCCCAGCGCCAGCAGCGCCTGCCGCTGCAGCACGATATCCAGGTACCTGCGGATGGGCGAGCTGGCCCAGGTGTACCACTGCACCTGCAGCGAGTAGTGGCCGGCCGACTGCTGCTCCCCCTGGCTGGAGCGGATGAAGGCGGAGCGGCCCAGGACCTTGCGGAAGTCCAGGCGCACGGCAGCCAGCGAGGGGTGCATGTCGTCCGTGGTGAGCAGGTCCACCAGCAGGTCGGCGTCCTGGACCTGGGCCGCGTGCTGGACGAGCCTCCACAGGGAGGCCAGCAGGTGCAGCTGTGCGTTGGGGGGCACGCGGCCGTGCAGGTGCTGTCTCAGCTGGAGCGACAGGGGCACCAGCTCCCCGTGCTTCTCGCTCACGGTGTCCAGCTGGTGGCTGCTGGGCGTGGGCTGCCACCGCAGCGGCGTGACCGTGCGGGTGTGCTCACTGCCCACCAGAAACTCGGCCACCAGGCTGTTGAACTGGACCATATACTCCTTGACCATGGCGTGGGCCGCACGGAAGCCCAGCGTGCTGTCCTCGTCCGGCTGCTCGTAAGCACAGGCGGCCCGCAGGCGGTGCCGGCGCAGCACCCGGGCGAAGTAGCTCGCGGCCACGACGCAGGCGTCCACGGAGTCCAGGCGGGCGGGCAGCTCCGGGCCGGCCCCCGGCTGCCCCCGGATCACCTGCTCCGCCTCCTCATAGGACAGCTGGCGGTCGGAGCGGACCACCGAGGGCGCGAAGCGCGGGCTCTTGAGCCGGTTGCTGCCCTTCTCGAAGACGAGGAAGAGCGAGATGGCGAAGCGGTCCTGGCCTGGGAGGAGGCTGAGCACGTCGTGGCAGAGGCCGGGGGGCAGAATGGGCGTGGGCTCCCGGTTGGGGGCGTAGATGGCGATGCCCTGCCGGCGGGCCTCCACGTCCAGTGCCCCGTCCCTGGGCACGAAGCTGGCCACGTCGGCGATGTGCACGCCCACCTCGTACCTGGGGCCCAGGTCCCGCACGCTGAGGGCGTCGTCCAGGTTGCCGGCGCCCTGAGGGTCCACGGTGAAGGTCAGGAAGCTGCGGCAGTCCTCCCGGACGCCGGGGGCCCGGCTGAGCTCCTCGCGGTACTTATGCAGCACCTTGGAGACCGAGGCCGGGTCCGGCGAGGGCTCACGGAGGCCGTACTCCAGGTCCAGGACGCGGAGGCCCTGCTCCCAGGTGGTGGCCTCGGGCAGCACCTCCTGCACGATGCCCAGCGGGTAGTAGAAGCGCTCCCGCCAGACCACGATGCGCACCCAGAAGAGCCGGCGGCGGCTGGCCTGGGCCGAGAGCTGCTCGTACCCCACCCTCTGCAGGCTGCCCTTCTGGAGGCGGTGCACCGGCACCCGCAGCGGGTCCTTCAGGTTGGCCACGAAGATCTTGGTCACTGCGCCATCGATGGGGGTCATGAGGCGCGGGTCCCACTCGTCCATGCGGCACACGAACAGCAGCTCGTGGCGCCGCCGCTTCAGCACGCCCAGCACGCGGCCCTGCAGCCGCCCCGACGGGGCCCGATCGCCCCCGAGGACCTTAACCACCACCTCGTCCCCATTGAAGGCCATGCCGCAGTGCAGGCGGCCCCGAAGCTGGATGGGGCCGGGCCCCGCGGCATCCAGCGGCACGGCCGTCGCCCGCTCGAAGGTCTCCGGCACGAAGGTGCACCTGTGGTGCAGCTGGGGCTCCGTGCGCAGCAGCTTCCGCAGCACGTCCGGCGGCAGGTTCATGTACTGCCGGGCCTGCTGTGGGGACGCCGGCCGGGCCACCGTGTCCAGCAGCCCGTCCTCCCGCACCGTCACCATCACCTTCCGGCTCTCGTCCAGCAGCTCCTGCAGCACCGAGTCGTCGGCGTTGAGCTCCCCGTCCAAGGACCAGAAGTCGGACTCGGAGTCCTCAGGGTCATCGGCGTCCTCGCTGTCTGTGGCTGCAGCCCCTGCCACCACGCTGGCTGAGCTCCCTGGGGACGCTACGTCCCCCACAGCTGGGCCCCCTCCTGACTCAGACCCTGAAGCTGTGTCCCCAGCCTCTGCCTCCTGTGTGGCCGTCTCTACGGCCACCGGGGTGCTGGTTGGGGAGGCAGCGCCCTCGGCTGCAGGCTCTGTGGCGGGGGCCGCGGCCGCCCTCTCCTCTAGGACCGTGACCCTGGACACCGCTGCCCCGGCTCTCCCTGCTGGTGAGGCTGCGGCCGTCCTCTCCTCTGGGCCAGTGTCCCCAGGCACCGCTGCCACGGCTCCCTTGGCCGGTGGGGCCACCGGCTGCCGGAGGCGGGCCCAGCGCTGCCTCTGCACCACGGCCTGCTCGATGTGCTCCAGCGACAGGTCCTCGGGGAGGAGGCTGCGGTGCTCCGCGCACTGGCGGAGGAAGCTCTTCCACAGCTTGCTGCAGGCCCCGAAGGAGCAGAGGGCCACGGCGTCGCCCACCGCCACCACCTGCGACTGGGCGCGGGTCATGATGGTGTTCAGCACCCGGGCGTCCGTGAAGAACTCCAGGGCGGGGACGCCCGGGCTCTGCAGGCTCCGGAGGCTGTGGACGGTGCTCAGCACGACCGCCCGGAACTCCCGGCCTGTGGGCAGGACTGCGGTCAGGCTGGGCTGGGCTGGGCTGGGGAGGCTGGGCCCCGTGCCCCCACCCGGATCACACACCTGGCAGGATCTCAAAGCTGCCCACGGACACCTGGCCCAGGTTCCTCCTCCTCAGCTCCTGCCTCAGCGCGCTCACCTGGACAGACACGGCCACATGGGCAGGGCCCGCAGGGCGCAGGGCGGGCCCCCGATAGCCACACCCGGCCGTGGCAGGGCACACAGGGTTCACGCCCCACATGCCCCCGGGAAAAGCGTTCCTTGGCCGCTCGTACAGAAGGGGAAACTGAGGCTGGGAGACCAGGAGGGTGGCTGAGCGCAGTGGGCGGGGCCTACCTGGGCGCCGTGGGACACCACGCAGATGCGCCTCTGCTCCAGGGGGCCCCAGCAGTGGGGCCAGGTGTCGCACAGCTGCCGCACCTGCTCGACCACCTGCGCGACCTCGGCCGTGTTGAGCCAGGAGGTCAGGGACAGGTCGCGCTCCGGGTCGCCGGCCACGTGGCAGAACAGGAGCGGGTAGAGCTGGGGGTGGCGCGGGACCTTGCCGCGGGCGTGGATGGGGGTGCCCTTGGCCAGGTAGAAGTGCCGGGAGACGAAGGTGATGATGGCCTCCGTGGAGCGGTAGTTCTCGTGGAAGATGAGGCGGCTGCGCTGGGCGGTCTCGTGCGTCTGCTGCTGGTAGAACTGGAACAGGCGGTACAGCAGCGTGTGGCCGGCCGCCTGCGCCCGGGCCACGCTGAAGAGCCGAGGCGTGACCTGCATGTGGTCCCCGGCCAGCACCACGCGGGTGCCGGGCAGGGCGTGGCGCAGAGGGGTGAGCGCCTCGCACTCCAGCATCTGGGCGGCCTCGTCCAGGAGGATGTGCGAGAAGAAGCCGGCAGGCACCCTGAGCTCCCGGGCCTGAGAGGTGGTGGCCACCACGATGCGGTGCCGCTCCAGCTCGGCGCGCGTGGGCGGGCGGAAGGCCCGCAGGTCCTGGGTCAGGCAGCAGTACCGCAGGGTGACGGCGTCCGTCTGGCTCGGCGGCCGGTCGGTGTACATCACCCGCAGCGGCGTGGCCTCGGGGTGGCCGCTCGTCACGTAGCCGTGGAAGTGCTCCTGGATGTAGATGTCGGCCGCGCTGAGGGGCAGAGGGGCCTGTGGGACCTTGGCGACTGTCTGTTAAACCACCTACTGTGTGCCGGGTCCCACCTGGAGGCTGGGACTTCCAGCCAGGCGGACGGACCCATCCTGCCCTAGGCGAGCCTGAAGCCGTGCCTCTCTGAAAACACCAGTGGAGCCGTGTCCCCGGAGGCACCGGTGGGCCGTGCCACGCCCTGCCCATGACGCCACATCCGGGGCCCCTGTGGGCGCACCCACGACCCCACACCCAACTGCAGACTCTGATGCCCAGCACACCGGGCCCGAAGCACAGATGTCCCCTGCGACTCTCAGCCAGGACCGGGGCGTCTGTCACGGAGAGTCCCAAGGATCAGACCTACTGGGAGTCACCGGGCGGGGGGCACGGGGCAGCCCAGGCTCTGCCCTGCCAATGGCCCAGGCACACCCGTTCTAGAACGAGGCCGCATGCAGGCTCCCGGTGAACCCAGTACCCAGCCGGCATCCCAGGACCCAGGGCCCCCGTCCTGGGGGTGGCACCACCTGCACAGCACCCGCCCAGCCCAGGCAGCGGGGCCTGCACACGGCGGCTCTGGACTCACCTGTTGGTGTGGGTGCAGATGAGCACCTTGGCATGGGGCTGCCGGATGACCTCCAGGGAGGCCATGGCCAGCGTGTAGGTCTTGCCTGTGCCGAAGGGGCCATAGATGAGCAGAGGGGCGACGGGCCGCAGGTCCCCGGGGCTGCCCGCGGCGATGAACTCAACAGCCAGCCGCTGTTTGCGGTTGCCATGCAGGGCGGGCTGGCTGGGCCGCGGGCGGGGCAGAGTGCAGGCCCGCAGGTCCGGCACCACCAGGCGCTCCTCCGGCAGCGCGTCCACTGCCTCATGCCAGAGGCGGAAGGTCAGCGGGTCGACCTGGAACTGCACCTCCAGCATGGGGCTGGCCCCGGCTTGCAGCCCCAGGGCCGTGCAGCAGTGGACTGGCAGCAGCAGCCAGCGCACCTGCTCCGAGCCAGCCCGGGTCTCCAGCTGCACCTCGAACACCCTGTTGTCAGGTGCGGGCACAGGGGCCACCAGTGCTGTGCTGACCGCCCGGGCCAGCAGGAAGCCCTGGTCCGTGTCTGGTGCCAGGGAGGTGGGGATGGGGACCTCAGCATAGAGGGCTCCCGGTGGGGGAAAGAGCATGCCCAGGGCTGGCGTCTCCAGGGACCTCTTCAGGGACACAGAGCACCGGAGGTTCAGCCTGGTGGGAAGGCCGCGGGTTAGCTGACCACCGCCACATTCTGCGGCCAGCCCCCCCCCACACATGGCCATCTGCCCGCCGGCCCCACGCACTTGGCCACCAGCTGCTGCTGAGCAGCCTCTTCCTCGTACAGAAACTGGTGCATCCTCTTCCGGTAGTTAGAGCAGGACAGCGGGCCCGGGGCCGGGCCGCCGCGGTCAAAGTCCAGAGCCAGCTCAGGCACCTTGTACTTGGCCATCAGGGCGGCGTGCTCTGCGGGGCGCTCCACACCAGGGACCACGTGGCGGTTGCCAGTGTGCCAGCGCTCTAGCTCTTCATGGGGGCCGGGGGCCGGGGTCGCCCCTGGGCGCTGCTCCTGGCCCAGCTGCAGCTCCAGCCTCCGCAGCAGAGCTGGCCGGCGGCCGCAGTCGAACACCACCCACTGCCCGAAGGTGCCGAAGGAGGCGGTCTGCACGCGCACCCCCACCCGGAACTCGGAGGGGCTGCCCGCCACACGGAAACGCTCGCCCTGCGCGTACACCTGGCCTGGCGGCAGGCAGGGGGCCTCCAGCGAGAAGTCGGCTCCCGGCTCCTGCTTGAGCAGGGCCACGTGTTTCAGGGGCTCCTGCGGAGAAGCTGGTCGGTGAGGTGGCCCAGGCTGGCACGGACCCTTCCCAGAGCCCCAGCCACCTCGGCCTCTCTGCAAAGTAGGGTCCTGGGGGCTGCCCAGGGGGCCCTGTGGATGCTGAGTGAGGAGGAGTGGGCAGCACTGGGTCCTGGACTCATGGCGGTAACCAGCCCATCCCCTTGCCCCCTGCCAGACGCCCCACGACACCACCCCACGGGGCCCAGGCCGGGACAGTGCAAGAAGAGGCTGCGGCCCTGACTCCCGCCGACGCGGGGCTACTCAGACCACTCACCTCAGAGTGGACAACAAACGTCCACCTGTGCTGCATTTTCTTCTCCTGGGCCCGATGCACCAAGGGCTGGTGGCAGGTGACAGCCATGCCATCCACGGTCTCAGCCAGCTGCACAAGGGAGCCAGGTGGTCAGCAGGCTGGCCCTGGCCCCTGTCCGCCCCGGTCCCCTCACGAGGCCCCGCTCACCACTAGGATCTCCTCGCTGCTGCTCCGGTACTCAGCCAGCAGCCTCTCCCGGTAGGGCATCAGCCCCTCCTGAAAGGCCGCCTGCTCCCGCTGCTCCGACATCCTCACCCGCCGCTGCCACTCCTGCAGCTCCTGCTCCGAATGCGCCTTGGTGCAGATGCCCCCGTACTCACAGAGGTCTGGCCTGAGAGGAGGAAGTCAGAGGCCGCCAGGGTGAGACCCTGCAGCCCGGGCTGCACGAGCCACCTCTGCGGACCTCCCTTGCCCACCTGAGGCAGACAGGGTGCCAGCCAGTCACACAGAGGGGACACGGAGCCCCCGGTGCTGGCAGAAGGCAGGCCATCCCACTCCCCGAACCCTACCCGCCTATCCCCACCTGGGGCAGAGCTCAAAGGTGGAGAGTCCCACGGGCGGGCTGCGGTGCTCCCAGACCACGGTCTGGTCCAGGGCCACCATCCTCATGTGCTCCGGGGAGGAGCAGTGGTTCTCAAAGTCCTCCTGGGAGTGGCAGGTGACCAGGCAGGCGCTGCAGTACAGCTGGGTTGCAGGGGTCCTGCCGCTGGGGGCCCGGGGGGGCATGAGGAGGTCGGGCCGCCGCAGCCCCTGCAGCTGCTCGGCCTTCCACACGGCCATCTCCACAGCGCTGTGGGCGAACTGGCAGCGGGACGCCCCGTGCCGGCACGGCAGCCCGCCCTCTACATACAAGCAGTAGGCCAGAGGCCGGCGGCTCTGGGGCAGGGGCCGCACCTCCCACACCTGCCACTTGCGGTGGCCCTCGGAGCTCACGTGGGCCAGGACCGAGGGGCAGGCGCCGTGCCTGGGGCAGCGCCCCTCGGGGTCCAGGGGGCAGAGGCAGGGGGGGCGGTGCCGGAAGCAGTAGCAGCAGAGCAGCTGGAAGCGGCCACCAAACTCCTCGAGGATGGTGTCGGCCGGGCTGCCCGGCGTGCGCTGGGCCCCGCCGCCCTGCACCGCGGCCTTCAGCCACAGCCGGTGGAGGTTGTGCTCACGTTCAAAGGTCCAGACCAGCGCCTCCTCGTGGCTTCGGGCAAAGGTGCACTGGTTTCGGTGCCGCCGGCAGCCCAGACCACGGCTGTAGTAGCGGCAGACCTGGTACCGTGCCGGCCGTGGAAAGCTGGGCCTGCGGCCCACCTTGCGCCAGACCCCGTTCTTGGGGGCTTGTTTGAAGCGGGCCAGCAGGACCTCCTGGGAGCAGCCGTGCTCCAGCCGATGCAGGAGGTAGGTGCTCTCGTCCAGGCGCTGGGCGCAGCGGGAGCAGCCCAGGCACAGGTCCAGCTGGGTGTACAGCTTGGCCATCAGGGGATCTTTGGTGGCCGTGGAGCTGGTGGGCGGAGGGCCGGGCGCCAGGGACACCATCTCTGACGCTGGCCTGGCCCTGTGGTGCGGCATTCAGGACTCGTGCTCCGCTGGTTCGCTGGGGCCGAAGCAGCCAGGTGCGAGGTTAGACCACCCCTGCCTGCAGGTGGGGGCTCAGATGTGGGGCCTCTTCCTCAGCAAACAGCCAAGGAAACCAAGCAGGCGGAGAATTCTGGCCACGGGACAGAAGTAGAGTGCTGTTAGGTCCAAGAGGGCTGGCCCACTGACCTTGACCCAGCCCAGACCCCTCCCTTTCTGAAGGGTCTCTGGGCCCTGCTCAGAAGGAGCCAGCTAGCTGTGATTGGAGGGGGTGGGGGGCTTGCCCCAGCAATGGGAACCCTGGAGGCCCAAGGCATTATCAGCTGCACCTCCCGCCCCCTCCTGGGCCGTTGCACCCAAGGCCCTAGAGGTCCCGTCTCCTGGCCGATCTGGAGGCACTGCACCCTTGTCTTGTGAAGGGACAGTCGGCTCTGGAACAGTGCCCCCCAGGCCTGTCTGCAGGGGACTGGTGTCATCCCCTGGGGCAGCGTGGGAGGCCGGGAGGACCCAGCAGCGGCCTGCACAGGGCAGGGGCTGGGGGACCGGCGGGCCCTCTGCCTCAGCCCCAGAGGGACCGGGGGTTTCCCAGGGGGAGCCCTAAATCAGAGAAGGGAACAGGCTCCTAGCAACGCGGCTGCTTCCTCCGAAGGGAACTTCGAGGGGAAACTCAGGCGACACAAAGATGAGGTTTGGAAGGAAGTGACTGGAGGTCAGCGCGGAGTCAAGCGCCCGCCGGCTCCGAAGTGGAAACTTGAGTCCGTCCCCCGCCCCCCAGAGGGGCGGGTCGAGACCCCGGGCGGATTTTCAGAAACTGGAGCAGCGGGTCGGGCGGAGCCAAAGCGCCGGGACCTTGTGGTCCAGCGGTCACCTGGTGGCCCCCCGCCCCCACCCCCGCCCGGCTCCCGCGAGGAAGCTGCGCCGCTGCCCGCGGGGGTCCCGGCTGAGTCCCCATCCCCACGGCTGCCTCGGGGTGCCCGGGCGAGGGCCCCCCGCAGCCCAGCACCGCCGCCCCCGCCCGGTCCCCGCAGCCCGCCCCCCGCACCGGGCGCAGGGCGCCGCCTCCGCGCGGAGACCCCGCATCCCCGCACTTACCCCCTATCTGGCCGCGCCCGCCGCGCGATCACTTTCGATTCTGCCCCCGGGTGACTCAAACCTCTGACGCCCGAGCGCGGAAATTACCTCACTGCCCCCGCCCCGCCCCCACCCCGCCCCCCTGGAGCCGCCCCGCCCGCGGCCGCCCCGCCGGCCCCCCAGGGCCCGGGATTCGAACCCGCGCCCCGAGGCGGGCTCGCCGGGAGTCGGCGCCTGGCGGGAGGGGGCGCCCCGCTGGCCTCGGCGGGTAGCCGAGTGCCCGCGGGAAGGGCGCGATCGGAGTCGGGGGCGGCCCCCGCCCGACAGCCCCACCCCCTGGGAGGCACCGGCCAGTCTGGGCCCCCGGGGGACCTGCCCTCCTACTCCGGAGGCTCCTGCTTCGGGAAATTCTTCCTACCTGGGGAGGGAGGCCCTGAGGCTGTGTATGAGCCTCAGACTCTGGGACTGTGTCTGGGCGGAGAACCCCCCCCCCCCCACACACACACACTGCACCACAGGGAGAGCCGCGCAGGTGTATTTGATGTCACCCCCCCCCCCCCAGCTTTCCTGTGCACGGCCACCCTCACCCACTTGAGAAGACCTTGCACCCTGGTCACTGGCGAAGGCTCAGCGTCTGGCTGGTGGCAAAGCACCAGCCCCTACTGTCACACACAGGACCCCAGGGAGCCCCTCCCGAGACTCACACTGTCACACGGTCCAGCCCCTCCAACCTGTGTGACCAGTGGAAATGACTCCACACTGTGCGGCCCCCGGTCCTGTGGCTGCAGGCCCAGCAGGCCGCAGACCTGAGGCCTCCCGCCCCGAGCCGGCCCCCCGGCGACGACATCTGTGGGGGGTGCAGGCGGCACCCCTGGGGCAACCCCGGACTGCACCCTCGTGGAAGCGCCCGAGCCGCCCCGCCCCCGGGCCTCCCCGAACCTGAGATCACGAATGTCGATTGTTGTTTTAAGCCACCAAGCTCGGGGAGATTTCTCACACGGCCCTGGATAACGGGGACAGCGAGACGTCCCTCAAAGAAGAAAGGAACCTGCACCCACCCTCGGTCAGCTTCCTGTTGGGAGGGACAAAATGGAAGCTTCCGAGTTAGGCCAGGAGTTGTGCGGGACACATCACTCACGGTCAGGCCGGAGGCCTCCGCACCCACAGCCACTGACCCAAACAGAGGAAAACACTGTATAAATAAACACCAGCAGCAACAAAAGAGCCGGGGTAAGCCCAACAAGAAACGCGAAGGCCGGAGTGTTCCTGCGACCACAGCGGAGCCCCAGGGGGGAGGGATGGAGACCCTTCGCCCTGGGCCAGGAACTCACTTCACACGGAGGTGGCGATTTTAGGAGATGGAGCATCTTGCAGTGAATAATGTGCAGTTTCTGCCCCAATTTTTGAGGGAAAAAGAAGGGTGCATATGATACATGGGTAGTACTAACTCTGGGTCTATATACCGTAAAACAAAAGATTTTTCTTTTCCTGAAAGTTTGGGCCAAAAACATGGGTGTGCATTACACGCAGCAAATTATGGCATCCCGCAATTTATTCCAGGAAGGCATTTTTCGTAGACATGGAGGGGAGAAGAGATCCTAAAATCTTCTTGAACTACCAAAGACCCCAAATAGTGGTCAAAGCAGTTCAGAAGGAGGAGGAGCCACGGTTGAGGCCTCCCGCTTCCTGTGTCACAAAGTTAAGGTCATCGGGACCCGAGAAACCAGACCTAAACCGCACATCAACCAGTTTCCCACTGAGTGACAGGAACGCGCAACCGGGGAAAAGGCAGGGCCAGCCCTCTGTCCAGGGCGGTGGGGGAAGGAAACAGGACCCCAGCTTCCCGTCCAGCCCCACCCCCAAACCAACTCCAGACGGATCTGAGGCTGTGAGACCCCACACTGCCACACTCCTGGAAGCGGCCAGGGAGCGAGTCCCTTGGGGCTGGTCTCAGCCTCCGGCGATGCAAACGCGATAAAGGAGCAGGGCCACGTCCAAGGGCCACGGAGCCCGGCGGTGACCTGCCGAGCGAGTGGCGGCCGAACCCTTCATCTCCGAGGCAGCCCACATCCAGCCTGGAGACGGGACTCTTGCGCCGCTCAGTAATGAAAGGAAACGAATAATCCCACTTCAAAACGGCAGTTCCCTGAAGAGGACACATCTTGGCAGCCGACAGGGGCAGGGGAAGATGCTCAAGGCCACTAACCCTCAGGGAAATGCAAACAAACAGGACAAGGAGCCCTGACCCGGGTGGCTCAGTGGACGGGGCGTCGTCCCGCAAAACAAAAGGCCACCAGTTCGATTCCTGGTCACGGTACAGGCCTGGATTTTGGGCTCGGTCCCCCGTCAGGGAGCCAACTGATCGATATTTCTCTCTCACACGGATGTTTCTTTTCCTCTGCTCCTCCCTTCCTTCCCTCCCTCTCTAAAAATAAATAAATGCAATCTTTAAAAATAAAACCCACAATGAGATATCACTTCACACCGGTCAGAATGGCTGTCATCAGAAAAACACAAACCAACCAGGGCTGGCGAGGACCTGCGGGACAGGAACCCTCGCACCCTGTTGGTGGGAACGCAGCCTGGGGCGGCCTCGGTGGGAAGCGGCGTGGAAGGTCCTCAAAAAACCAAAAATAAAACCGACCCGGCGATTCCGCTCCTGAGTGTCCGCCCTCATGAAATTAAGCAGGATCTCCGAGCCGCCCACGGCCCCGGTCGCTGCAGTGCCCTTCACAGGAGCCGGGGTGCGGGCCCGTCTGAAGGCCCCCAGATGAACGAGCAAACAGGGCGCCACAGCCACGAGCACTGGGGGCTCGCTGGGCCATGAGAGGGAGGGAAAGCCGGCCGTCTGCGTGGTGCGGGTGGGCCTGGGTGGGCTGGGCGAGGCCCCTGAGACGGAACAGCCACTGCGTGAGATCACTTCCACTCGGAACCGGCAGGAGCCCAGCCGGCGGAACATCAGCTGATGGAGGCCCGGGCAGCAGAGGCAGCGAGGGCTGGGGAGCGGGGCGCTATTTCGGGACGTAACCCTAAAACGGGAAGAGCCCGTGGGCCACACGGGGAGGGCCCCCAACGAGCCCACGTTGGGGACTTCAGACTCACTGAGAGACTAGACCCCAGGACAGGGTGGCAGCCAGTGCGGGGGCACCAGCGTGTCGGCATCAACCCCTGCGTTGCGCACACCGACTTTAAACGCTGTGACGTGACAGTCACGTGTCAGCCAGTGGATTCTGAAAGAAAAGGAGTAACAGAGGAGACCTGCCTCTCTGACGACTCAAACGGCCTCGGCGTGGGGACGGGACAAGTGAGGTCCTGGGGCAGACCCGGGCCGCGGGGCAGGGCGGCGGAGGGGGGACGTCCAAAGACAGACACACAGCAGCTTCGCACTTGAGGACAGATGACACTTTGGGCCCCTGGGGAGAGGCGGGTCATCCCACAGACCCTGTTAGAACGGCTTCGCTCTAACGATTCTGTCCTGGCGGCGGATGGGCGTCTTGAACCAAACGCACAGCAGAGGTGTCTCCCCCCACACCGCACACCGAACGAGCCAGTTCCATCCGAAGATGGAAACAGAAAACAAAATCGGGAAGCCGTACCGGGTTTGGGCTGTGTTTGTGGGCCGTCTCGGGGTGGGGGCCTCGCTGAGGGCCCCCTGCAAAGGCCCCCTTGCCCCAGGCTCCGTACTCACCTCCCCGTGCTCGCTCCAGACTGCGGGCTGGCGGGTGAGAATCTCTCCTGAAAGCGGCCGCACCACGGAAGCGGAAAGGTGCGATGGGTCGAGGCGCTTCCTCTTCTCGAGAGCTGTGGTCGAACATCTGCTGGCAGCAGAGGCACCGGCACAGCCACCGAGGAGCCCGGCGGGCGGGCGCGGGGGTGGGGGCCTCATGCTCCACCCCGCGTCCCCCCACTAGGTGCTCAGTCACCCGGCCACGCTTTTAGGGAAACGAGAGTCAGCCCCCCAGGACGTTGCCCGCCTCTCTGAGCTGCAAAGGCCAGAGTCAGAGACCGCCTGTGTGCACGGGCGGCCCGGGTCGGAACCGCCAGGCTCGGGGAGGCATCTCGAGTGTCCTGCAGCGAGGTTTTCACCAAGGCGACCCGTGAAGGGACAGCGTCCCGGTGCACAGCAATGCACCTGGGGCTAGAAAAGGAAAAGACGGAGTTCGAAACTAAAGCACAAAACTCAGGTGCAGGGATCAGAAGTCAACAGTGTAAAGTAACTAAATAAAATTTAATATTAAAAAAAATAAAATAAATTGATGTTCTTTAACAAAAAAAAAAAAGAAGAAGTCAACAGTATGAAGGGACACTCACTTGCTTCCTCCCTGGTGACGCGTCTGGTTTCAGTCGAGACCAACCCCTGTTGTCCTAGGTCTGGAGTGTGGGCGGGGCCCCACGGCACCCACAAACCCAGTGGTGTTTGCACAGTGACTGTCCTCTGGCCCCGTGACCGCCCCTCCCCTCCTGGCCTCCAACACCTGGCCCAGGTGTCGGTGCCCGGATTGTGAGCCCGAAGCAGGATCCGTCCCCCAAACTCCAGGCACACCCAGCCACCCTCCCCGCCCCCAAACGTCAGGCAGGCAGGCCCAAACCCTCTGCCCACCCCCAGCTCTCCCGTGCCTCCGGCTCCATTAAATGACACCTCTCCTCCCTGCGCCCGCCCAGGCCCCGGGCCCCTCCTCACACTCTACCTCCATCCACCTGCCAGCGCTGCCAGCCTGGGATCCAAGTCCGTCCAGGACCCAGGCACCCAGCAGAGCCCGGGTTCCTGCCCAGCCCCGTAGCTGGGTCCCTTCACCCCCCGCTTGGTTCACGGTGGTCCTCCTGGGGCTGCTCATCCACATGTCAGTGCAGAGGGGGCACCGTGGGGCCAACACAGTTACGATCAAAACGGAACATTCACGTCATCAGAAGCATCTCCCCAGGACGCCTCCTCGTCACGAAGGAAGATGACGAGTTCATGGTGAGGACACCCAGGGCTCTCCCTCCCCACCCCCTCCCCACCCTCGTGGCGGGCTCAGGTTGTGGAGCCAGGACAGGTGGACCCGCCGGGCCCAGGCCCGCCGAGGGCACAGCTCCGGTGGGCGCTTCCAGGCCAAAATGCAAAACCTCTCAGCCTGACCTCCGGGAAATACTGCAGCATCCAAGTCCAAGGTGACAGGCTTGCTCTTCAAAATGTCCCGGCTGTGAGGACAGACAGGCAGAGCAGCCACCAAGACTGGAGGGCACCGAGGGGCCTCAGGCGGACTGTGGGTGACGCCCATTCGGATAAAACGAGTGGGGGGCTATCGACAGTGAGCATGTGAACAGGGGCAGAGTCTCAGGCATGTCTGGGACCGGGGCCGAACACCCCACTTTCATGACCAGCTGCGTCTGAGGGGAGGGGGCTGTTGGACAACTCACAAGTCAGGTTGATGAGCGACTGGTGAATAGATACATAAGTCTTAGTGCTATTTTTGCAGTTTTGTATGTTTGTTTGAAATGATATCAAATTATAAGGTAGAACACCCAAGCCCCCAACCAGGCCCTCCACCCCCAGCGCATGTCCCAGTGGGCGCAGATCGGCCCCTCGTCCTCTGCTCCTGCACCACCACCCCCAACGGCAGGAGAGGCGGGAGCCCCCCCGTCTGGAGGCCGGGCCTCGGGGTACCTGAGACTTGGTGCTGGTCCTCCCAGCTGGCCCTGGCAGCCTCCAGCCACCACCTGTCTGAACAGAAATGTGACACCAGGCCCCAGCCCTCAGTGACCCCCCCAAGCCCACCCAGGAGCCCGCCCACCCAGCCATAAGGTCACACCCTGACCAGGAGCAGGGCAGTGACTGAGTCTCTGGGTGGGAAGGACCCAGCTTAGCCTAGGGGCAGGGGCACAGCCTTGAGGACCTTTTAAAGTCACCCCCCCTGTGGGGTCATGGGGAGAAGGTCCCAAGGCCAGGAAGGGGCTCTGACCCAGGCCCACGCCACAGGTGCGGCCATCTGCTGTCTTCCTGTCCCCTGCACTCTGACCCCTCCCGGGGCTGAGATGAGCAAAGTAAAGGTTTGGGACAGTCCCCAAACTGCTGGGGAAGCAGCCGCCCTGCCCCCACCCTGCCCCACACCTTGGTCAGACCCCTTCCCTCGTGAGGTCTGGCCATGTCCCCCCAGTGACACCACAGAGGCCAGTCCCCCTGGGCCTTGGCAGCCCCCTGGCCCCAGCATTCTGGGCGCCCCCTCCCGTGGGCGTGGGCACCTCTACAAATTGACCTTCCTGTCACACCAGAAAGGGACCTGCCTCGGGCCTGCCCGGCGTGTGTGGGCGCTTGACTTCCTGCAAGAAAGATGTCTCTCCACCAGCCCAGGTGATTTGGAGAGACGTGTATTAGCGCTGGGGACAGCGAGACAAGGAGGAGCTGAAGGTGGAAGAAGCCACCGGGGCTGCCGCTCTGAGCTCACTGGGGGGTCGGAGAAAGGGGACCTTGGAGGCAGAATGAGGGGGTTGGCCCGGGACGGGGCTGCAAGTCTCATGGGCCCAAGCTTAGGGGGGCCCTCGGCCGGTGGCTCTGTGGGGCAGCGTCGTCCCCACGCGCCCAGGTGGCAGGTTTGGTCCCTGGTCAGGGCATGTAGAAGATGAAACCCATAAACACATGAATAAGTAGAACAACAAATCAATATTCTCTCTCTCCCCCTCCCTCCCGCCCTACTACTCTCTCTGTAAAATAAAAAATAAAAATTTAAACCCCGACTGGGGTGGCCCCTCTGGTCGGGCATCATCCCACAAAGCGAAAGGTTGCCGGTTCGATTCCTGGTCAGGGCACGAGCCTGGGTTTGGGCCTGGTCTGGTTGGGGTGTGTGCGGCAACCGGAAAATGCTTCTCTGCCTCTCTTTCTTCCTCCCTTCCCCTCTGTCTATAAATAAATAAAGTCTAAGATGAATAAATAAGTAAAAATTAGAAACTAAGAAGAGAGTTTAGGAGAGAAAATGCAGGCTGCGCGCCTGAGAGGGAACAGGCGAGGGGCCCCGCTGGGGCCTCGCCTCTCGGGCCCTTATCTGCTTCCTACAGGCGGGAATTTGGGGGGAGGCCTCGGGAGGGTCTCAGCAGAAAATTCATCGGTCGACGCTGATGTGCAATGAGATGGATGCTGGCACAGAGGGCACGAATTGGATTCCTGCTCGCTGTCCCCCGAACCGAGTGACTTCAGCTATTCACCCTCCGGTTGGAAACATGCAAACCGTCCGGTCTTCCTGTCCTGGGTTTGGGGAAAACAGGGTTTCACGGTTCCCTGGGTGACTGTGAACTGCTTGGCTGGTTAACTGTCCATCTCAGTTTCCCTCGTCCACTGGTTCTGGCCGTCTGGCCACCTCGTCCTCTGAGGCAGAGGAAACTGCACCCCGACAAAGCGGGGGTGCTGCTCCTGCTCCGAGCCGGTGGTCTGGAGGGGCAGCAGATGTGGCTCAGGCCTGGCCCCCCGCCCTGCACCTGACCTCTGGGCACCCCGGCCCAGCAGCCTCAGTCCCGACCCCCACCCATGCTGGCCGAGCTCAGGGCACTGCCCCAGCGGAGCAGGGTGTGAGGCGGGGACCTGGTCTCCTTCCTGGAACTCGGTCAGGGACACCACATGGCAGGCTCCTGACGCCCGAGGTTCAGGTCCACCCTCCTGGCCTCCGAGCCTCACCCGTCACCTCCCGGGGAGGCCCCAACCCTGCCAGGCCGCCCACACCCCAGCGTCTGCAGGGCCTGTCCCCTGGGAGGGATCAGTCACGAGGGTGGGACCTTTACTGCCCACGGGCCGGGGATGGCTGGCGACGGGGACTCCTCTCCTGAGGGCCAGCACCTGGGGGCGCTGGACAGCAGAGAGCCCAACAAGCCCAGCCTGTGGCCAGCAGATCTGCTGAAAAGGCCCCAGCTCAGGGCAGGGGGGCAGCCCGTCCAGCAGACAGGGCTGGACGACCAAGTGCATGAGACATGAACGGCACAGAGCAGGAACTCGAGCGGGAAGAACGGCAGAATTTGAAGACAGAAGCCCTGGGGCCAGCAAACTCTCCTTTCAAAACGCACGAAAAGCATGAGTATAAAAGACATGGTTGCCCTGGCTGGTGGGGCTCAGTGGGTTGAGCACTGGCCTGTGAACTATAGGATTGCTGTTTGATTCCCAGTCAGGGCACATGCCTGGGTTGCAGGGCAGGTCCCCAGTAGGGGGCGCACGAGAGGCAACCATACATTGAGGTTTCTCTCTCCTCTCCCCTCTCTGTCTAAAAAAAAAAAGGTTGATAAGCTGGGTCTCCTAAATGCCAACATTTTCTGCTGTTCCAACGCTGGTGGGAGAAAAACAGAGGCCGGCAGAAGACCGAAGGAACGAGGTGGGAATGTGCACCTGATGAGGACCTGCCTGCAGATTATCTTCAACCTTAAAACTCAGTAATTTTTTAAAAGCCCAGTTTTCTTCATTTTTTAAAGATTTTATTTCTTTTTTTTTAGAGAGAGTGGAAGGGAGGAAGAAAGAGACACAAAGAAAGAAACACATTGATGTGTGGTTGCCTCTCGTGTGCCCCCTACCGGGGACCCAGCCGGCAACCCAGGCCTATGCCCTGGCTGGGAATCGAACCAGTAACTCTGTTTTGTAATCTGGTGCACAATTCACTGAGCTACACCAGCCAGGGCCCGTTTTCTTTCTTTTTTTTCTTAAATTATTTTCTCAGTTGCTTTTTTTTTTAAACTGAAACTTTTTTTTAAAAGATTTTATTTATTTATCTTTAGAGGGGAAGGGAAGGAGAGAGGGAGAGAAATATCAATGTATGGTTGCCTCTCATGCATCCCCTGCTGGGAACTGGCCCGCAAGCCAGGCATGTGTCCTGACTGGGAATCAAACTAGGATCCTTTGGTTCCTAGGCCCGCACTCAGTCCACTGAGCTACACCAGCCAGGGGCCCTTTTCTTAGAATGAGCAAAATAGTTGAAGAGACACTTCATGGGGGAAAACATAGAAAGGGCCCAAAGACATTAAAACAGGGCCTGGCGTCACCGGTCAGCAGGGAGATGCCACTCTGAACCTAACGGGGTGACTCGGTATGGAAAGGCTGGCCGTGCCCAGGGCTGGCGAGGACCAGCAGCCACAGGGAGTCTCTGGTGTCCCCAGTGGGGGACGCGAAAGGTGCAGCCGCTTTAAGAGACAGTGTGGTGGTTTCTGATCGAGTTAAATGAACGTCTGCTTAGGACCCAGCAATTCCACCCCTCGGTGTCCACCCAGGAGGAAAGAAAACCCATGCACACTGTTCACAGGGCCTGGTGAAGGTGGGGGGCTCTGCCTGAGGGGGGTCGGGGTGTGCAATCGGCACAGAGACAGAGGCTGGTGCCCGCTGGTTCACAGCGGCTGAAACTGGACCGGGCTCAGAGCCCACCGTCAGGCCTCCGGTCTGTTTGTACAACTCGGTGCGGCACAAGGAGCTGGAAGACAGACACACGAGAGGGAGTGAACCTCACAGCACTACTGAGTGGAAGCAACCGGATGTGAAAGAGTTGTCTTTAAAAAAGATTGTATTTACTTATTTTGAGAGAGAGTGGAAGGGAGGGAGAAAGAGAGAAAGAGACACATCAATGTGTGGTTGCCTCTCATGCGCCCCCTACTGGGGACCTGGCCCGCAACCCAGGCATTTGCCCTGACTGGGAATCGAACCCGTGACCCTTTAGTTCGCAGGCCAGTGCTCAACCCACTGAGCCACACCAGCCAGGGCTGTGAAAGAACGTTCAATGTGTGGATCTGTGTGTGTCTGTGTGAATCACAGGAGAGAGAAACTGCCATAAATCCAGCTCAGGGGTTCGCCCCCCTCGTGATGCAGGTGCCCCGGGCACAGAAAGGCACATGGAGTCTGGCCTGGGAACCGAAGGTTCTGGCTGTGGCTGCAGCTGTGGCCCAGGCCCGTGGCCGTGGGCACCCAGCCTCAGGCAGTCCAGCACAGGAAGCTGCCCAGGCGGGCCTCTTCACTTGGCCTGGCCCCTCAGGCCACCCATCTGTGAGTAGTAGGACCTGCTCTGTGTCACCTGTGGCTCAGACAGAGAGAAGGGAGTCAGGACACAGCATGTCTCACTGTGTGGCTGTACAACAAGTGACCCCAAACTCAGTGGCATAAAATGGGCATTTATCATGCCCCTGAGTTCGGTGGCACCCTCGGGCCCCCCTGTGCTCCATCATGTCCAGAGCCTGACCGGGACGACGCAGACTCTGTGGCTGCAGTGGAAAGACCACTCAGCAGAGAGGGGACGGTCTCTTCACTCACTGGTGCCGGGACTGCTGGACGTCCACATGCAAAACCATGAATCTACACACAGACTGTGCCCTTCACACAGTTAGCCCGGGACGGATCGCAGACCCAAGTGTAAGCCCTAAACCAGGACGCTCCTCGGAGACGACCCGGGGGAAACCTGGAGGACCTGGGGTTTGGCGCTGACTTTTTAGATGCCACAGCACAGACGCGGCCTGTGACAGAGAACTGACGGGCTGGACTTCATTAAAACCAGAACCTTCTGCCCTGCCACGGTTCAATTCCCAGTCAGGGCACATGCCTGGGTTGCAGGCCAGTTCCCAGCAGGGGACACACGAGAAGCAACCATACATTGATGTTTCTCTCCCTCTCTCTTCCCTTCCCCTCTAAAGATAAATAAACAAAATCTTTAAAAAAAAAAAAAAACAGAACCTTCTGCTCTACGGAAGCCACTACCGCGAGAACCGAAGACCAGCCACAGCGGGGGAGGTGTGTGCAACAGACACATCCGACACTGGACTGTGGTCCAAAGCGTACAAAGAGTTCTTAAAGCCGGTGAGCAAAAACCGACTGGGTGGAGAACGGGCTGACACCTGAGCAGACGCTCGCCAAAGAGGACACGCAGGTGACAAATGAGCGAACGAGAAGACGTGCCCATCCCACGGCACCAGGGACGCGCGAACTAAACTTGACGCCACCGCACCCGTCAGAGCGGGCAGATCCCAGAACACGGACGACATCCAGCGCCGGGGAGCCGAGGGGACACTGGGTCCCACCGGTGGGGAGCAGGTGGGCAGCAGGCGGGGCTTTGGAGCCGCTGTGGGAGGCAGCTGGGTGGTTTCCCACAAAACCCAACGGGTGACCCAGCGGCCACGCCCCTTGGTATTTACTGGAGGAGCCGGCAGCTCCGCCCACAGAACGTCCTGCACATGGGCCCCGCAGGAGCTCAGCTCCTGATTGACGGGCCCGGCAGCCACCCAGATGTTCTTCCTCGAGTGGGAAAGTCACCAGGGCCCCTCCAGACAGCGGGACACGGTTCAGAGCTGCTGAGAATCGCACTGTCGAGGCCGAGTCTAAGAATCCGAAGAGGGGCCCGTGACACGCAAGACGGAGTGAAAGGCGCCAACGTGAGAGGCCGCACCCGGTGTGCTCCTCACTAAAAGCAAAGCCGTGGAGACAGGGAGGGACCAGCAGGTGCTGGGGGTTGGAGGAGGCAGGCCCGGGGGAGCCCAGAGGACTCAGGGCAGTGACTGCTCTGTGTGACACCGTCACAGTGGACACACGTCACCACCCCCTCGTCCAGACCCACAGGGCACACCCCTGAGTGTGACCCCGATGCGAATTGTGGACTCGGGGTGGCCGGGCGTCCGCACAGCCTCGCTGACTGACGGCCGCGCCAGCTGGTGGCATGTTGATCTCTGGGCGGCTGGGAGGGTCTCTCTGCACCTCCTCTCACGTTTGCCGTGAGCCTAAAACCCTCTAAAAATGAAGGGAGTTCTGTCGCTCATCTTTCTCAGATGCCCGCAGGTCAGGCTGACAAAGAATAAAAAACGTATAGCATGCCCCCCCCCCGGCCCCCACAGTGAGTGAATTCAAGCCAGCAGGTGAGGGTAGACGGGCTTTTGGTGACAGAAAGTTTGCCAGGTTGTTCACAAGGACTGGAGCGGCACCCCAGAGAGGACAGCACAGGGGATGGGGGTGCCGGGTGGGGGTGGCAGGGGCTCCAGGTGGGCCTTCAGGGTGGACCTGAGGTTCAGCCTGAGAGCAGAGTGTGGCTGAGCTCCGAGGAAGCTGGGGATCAGTCTGGGGCAGGCAAACTGATCCTGATGACCCTGCCGTCCGGCCAGGGGCCGCAGGCCTGCTGGAGGTGGGCAGCTCTCAGAGGCTGAGGGCCAGCGCCTAGCTGGGTGGTGTGGCCCCTCCTGAGACAGGGAGGCAGGGGGACATCGGGAGATGGGAACCAGAGGTCAAGGGCAGGTGATGGGACATGGGAGGGCAGGCCAGGCCCGTGTCCTGGCCTCTGGCCACTCCACGTGAGCAGCCACTGCCGACAAAGTGCTCCTCCTCGTCCCCAGGTCTCTGCCCGGCTCTGCCGGCTCTGCCCACAGGGTGTTTCCTAAGTCCCCTAGGGGGTGGCCTGCAGCCGGTCCTGGGAACCAGTCCCCTGTCCCCACTGGCCATGAGGGCTGTGCCTGTGCCTGCCCACCCTCTCCCAGTCACCAGGAACCGGGGTTTGGGGTGCTTCACAAACTGCTGATGGGTACAACTCAGGCTGGGGGCGCATTCCCCACTCTCAGGGGGCACAAACTCCCGGCTCCCTGCAGGCCCTCGGCCCCACCCCTGGACTTCATTAAAGTCCACCTGCCCTGAGGCTTGGCCCGTCTCCGGTTCCCACCCAGCTGGGGCGACCAGCACACACCTGGCCGGCGCCACAGCCCACAGTCCTCGGGCAGGCAGAGTTGCAGGCCCCTCCCTGTGACCGGGCCCTGGGGCTGGGACTCTGGAGGGGACAGTGTGCTCTGAGTCGGGCCTCACTGCCTTGGTCCCAGAGCTGGATGCACTGGGCCCCCCTGCAAACCAGGGGGCCAGAGGGCGCTTCTCGGAGCACGTCCTCTGTCGCAGCGAGTGAGGGGCTGACCTGCGCCCGCCCCTCACAATTCCAGGGGCACACCACCCACCCGGCTGCTCTGGCCAGCCTCTCGAGACCCCGCCTCCGCCCTCGGGCCCAGCACAGCCTCCTTCCCTGGCCAGGCTGGTCTGAACTGAAGCACACAGGCTCCAGGATGGAGGAGCCCCCCGTGTGTGGTGGGGGCTTTCTTCGTGGGCCGGGGGCACGGCAGAGCAGAGGGCAGGAGACCAGACAGACACAGGGACCTACAGCCCCTTCAGCCATCAGTGCCCGCCCCCCCCCCCACTCCGCGGCACTGGGGACCCCGAGGCGTCGGCGGGGGCGTTCCATGCTGCACAGTGCAGGCCAGATGGGACACTTCCAGGTGTGGGAGGACACCGCCCCCAACGCGGCCGCTGCCCCGACAGGACGCGGAGGGACGAGGAAACAGCCGTGACACAGGCCGCCTGCACACCACTTCCTCCTGAGCAGGTGTCAGAGCAGCCGGGCCCGGCACACCCTTCCCCACAGGACAGACACAAATTACGAAACGTGTTTTTATTTTAAATCAAAGTACCAGGCAGATACTTGCAAAACAACATACAAAGTGAAACTCAGATGCCTGGGTCCCTGGGCGGCCTCTGAGCACCAGTGAGGGAAACCAAGCCCATCCGCCTTCCTGGACCGGAACACAGCTACCACCCAGGCTGGGGGAGGGGCCGGGGCCGGCGGCTGGGGAGTGGAGCCCCCTGCAGCCCAGCAGGGCTCCTGGAAGAGGGTGGACCCTCCACGTGAGGGGTGTGGGGCTGGGCGAGAACTCCGAAGCTGCCTTGTTGGCTTCGAGTGTATGGCTCTGAAGTGCACCCCCCCGGGGCCGTCGCAGGGAGGCCCAGCGGGGGCTGGTGGGTGGGCATGTCTGGCTCTGACTCGGCCAGAGGCGGTTTTCGGCAAATGAGGCTGGTGCACACAGGCAGCAGCTGGGCCTCAGGGCTCCACAGGGTCGCACTCGAACAGAGGCGCGGACGCAAACCGAGAGTAAACCGCGCTGGCACCAGCGGACCCGTGAAAGCAGCAGACAGAAAGGTGACAGAGAAAACAGAGGCGGCCTCGGCAGCTGGGTGCGGGGCAAGGCCCACTGAGGTGGGGTCTGGGGCGCTGGACAGATGAAGGGTGGACGGTCAGGTCCCAGTTCCCTTCAGATGCAAGTGCGGCCCTCCTCGTGGTGGGGACTCCAGACAAGGGTCCTCAGCAGGCCACACCCCTGGGCCACCAGGACCTGGTGCTCAGGGGCTGGAGCCATCCTGGGGACCCTACTGGAGACAGAGTGGGCACCAGGTCTACCCCGTGACCCCACAGTCAGAGCTGCAGGTGGACCCTGCCTGCGTGGGCTCTTCAGGGAGCACCCGGGTCCTCACCATGACCGGCGCTGGCCCTGGCTCTGCCCTCTGGGCAGCCACACCCCCTGGAGCAGCAGGCACAGCCCCGGGGGGCGGGAGGTCCCAGGCAGAGCCTGTCCCACCTCCAGGATCCACATGTTGGGACCTCAGCACTCGGTCACCTTCACACAGGCCGTCCCTACAGCCGCTTTGTACAAAACCCTCTGGAACCCGGAGCAGGTTCCAGAAGCCTAGGCACTCAGCATGGTTTGGGTTGAAAACGCTATAAATCTGACTCTTCCTAAAAGCCCCGCGGTGCATGGGGGCGGCCCCTGAGCGCCAAGCCCCTGCAGGCAGGCGGGCCTGGGGAGCTGGCGCACCGGGCCCCACCACCCCTCCTCGAAGGCGGATGTACCCAGGTCCACACCCCAGACTCTGGGACGGGCCCGGCCCGACACACCACCCGTGCCGGGGCTGGGCGCAGAGTGCCAGCTGCACTAAACCTACAGAAAACTGTGGGAAGAAACCAAATCCATAGGATCCATGGCTTTCCACCCTTGGGGATGGTCCCCAAGACATGTGCTAGTGACGTGCCCCCGGCAGTGCGGGCCACACGCCCTCTCGTCTGGCTCCTGGCCGGGCCCGATGTGTAAACAGTGTTCATAAGCAACAGATGGAAAAATATATTTCCCAGGAAAACAGGGAGGAAGTGCGGAGCACAGGGCCCAGCGGGTCCCAGGCTGCTGCCACCTTCGGTCCCTCTCTCTCCTCTCCACCCGACTGGGCGTCTCCTCTCTTTGGTTCAGCAGCCCCACGTGACACGCCGCGTCCCCAGGACAGGGCCGGACCCTGCCTGCGAAGGGCCTCGCCTCTGGCAGCGGCTACTTGTGCTCCTGACCCTCGGCCACGGTGGCCACCTCGATGGTGGCTGTGTGCTCCTCATGTCCCGAGGCCACCACGGCGCTCTCCATGGCCCCCGTGGGCACTGTCACGATGGTGCTCCCCCCAGGGGACACCTGGGCCACGTTCTGCAGGGCGGGGCCCAGGCCAGGCAGGGTGAGCAGCTGCAGGGGGCTGACCACCTTGACCACCGTGCCGCCGTCCTGCACCGCGGCGGTGCTCAGGACCGTGAGGCTGGACGCGTCCGGGTGGATCTCCACGGTGCCAGGGAAGGAGGTGCCCGAGGAGGCCAGCACCGTGTAGCCCCCGAGCAGCGGTGAGGCGGGGGAGCTGGCGGGGGCCACCTGGGGGCAGCTCTTGCCCAGCGCGGGGGCGGGCAGGGTGGACACCACTTTGCCCAGTGGCAGGCCGGTCAGCTGGGACACAGGCACGCCCGGGCCGAACGCGACCTGGGCTGGCTGGGCGAGCACCTGCGAGGCGACGGCGGCCGGCCCGGAGGCGGCCCTGGCCAGCCGTGGCCGCTTGGCGGGGGGCGGCAGGGCCACAGGCGTCAGCGTCATGAGCACGTTGCTGAGGTGCTGGGACTTGTGCTTGAGCTCCTTGGCCCGCCGGCGGTGCTCGTCACACTGCTGCTCCAGGGCTGCGGGGACAGCGGGGACACAGCATCACCACGGGGTGTGGGGGCAGGGCTGGCCACAGCCCGACCCACCCACATGGCACAAGCCTACGCAGCCGTCACGGAGGCCCAGACAAGCCCCCGCCCCCCCACGGCGGCAGTCCGAGCGTCACACCGTGCCCTGCTGACAGCACCGAGTGCCCTCCTGTCCTGCACGGATGGTGGCCCCACAGCAGGGGCATGGGCGCCCTCCACGCACCGGCCAGGTCGCGGGCGTACTGCTCCCTCGAGCGGTCCATCTGGCACTTGTGGCTGGCCAGCACCTTCTTCACCAGGTCCAGCATGCCGAAGTTCTGCACGATGCTGTTGAGCAGCACAGCGTCTGCAGGCGAGAGGGCGTGGGGAGCTGAGGGGGGCCAAGGGGCGGGACTGGCTGCCCCCCACCCCCGCAGAGGAGCCTTTGGCGCCTGCCGTGTTCGCAACCAGCCCAGCCCCCAGCCTAGCTCTGCACAAAGGGCCAGCAGCCACAGCCTCACCTCGGAGCTGCAGGGGCGGGTCCTGCACCCGCTGCTGCAGGCCCCGCATGGTCTCCACCATCTCTTGGTGGAACTCCTGGATGACCTCGTCCAGCAGTCCGGCATCCTTGAGCCCCCGCCAGAAGGCGAACGTGTCATCTGGGATGGAAGGAGAGGCTCAGAGACGGGGCGTCCTTCTAGGGCCCATTGGGGGCTTCAAACCATGGGAGGAGCAACAGACCCCCAGAGGACACAGTTCTGGAGGTCACTGGTGTCTGAGTGGGGCCTGAGCTGGCCAGGGGGCCAGCCTGGTGGGGACACAGCCCACGAGTACCCGCACCATCATGGGCACTGCTCCCCACCCGGCCTGTCCCCTCAGGGTCTCACCCAGGCCTCGCCCAGGGGAAGCCCGTGGGAAGGAGCCCGTACCTCCGATGGCCGTGGTCCAGTCACCGGGGTCCTCGCAGGTCTCTATGGTGATGGTGGCAGGAGACCCGTTCACTGCAACCAAGGTGGAAGCAGGTGAGCCCGCCTGCCCAGAAGCGTCCTCTGCGTCAGTGCGCAGAGCAACGGACAGGTGCCCTGGTGCTGAGGACCCACCGCCCCCCATGTCACTGCTTCACTGCTTCCTCGCAGGCACCTCAGGCGCACGGGGCAGGAAGAGCCGACGGGAACCCCTCCACACTGGCCCGAGGGTGGGTGAGCCTTGCCACTGCCCAGCCTCCGCGCCTGCCTCCAGCACAGGCCCGGCTCCAGCCCTGGCCCCGGCCACGCGCAGCCCGCCCAGGCCGCCCACACGGGGACGATGCAGGCGGCATCCTGGGAAACAGCTCCACGAAGGAACCACCCGAGAGGGCCCTTAGGCCCTAACGGCACCCTCACTAGGGCTCTGAGACATCTGGGCTGCGCGGGGCATCTGCCCGGCCTGAGGAGGCACCACAGACGTCACAGCGGACCACCGCCAAGGTGGCCCCCAGAGCCCCGGGGCAGGAAGGCAGAGGTCAGTCCCTGGGGGCAGCTGTGTGGGGACACAAGAAGACCCCACCGTCAGAGCTGCTGGCAGCCCACTCGGCTGTCATTCTGCACACGCTCCTTGTAGGAGTTTCTACGTTTTATGACAAAAATGGCTTAGGAAGAAAAAGGGCTGGAGTCACCCCTGCCACCGAAGCAGAGGCTCCGACTTGCACAGTGGCCGGCGGCAGCCGAACGTCCAGCTTGGTGGCTGGGCGGCACAGACCGGGGCGGGGGGTGGCGAGGCGTGTACCGTCAGCTGTGGCAGGTGTGAGCGGGAGGAACTCGGCCGACGTGGGGCTGCTCAGGGGCACGCGGGCGCCCGACAGGTCGATCTTGGTGCTGCGGCAGGTGTTGGAGCAGACCTTGTCGTGCTGGTAGAAGTCCAGCTCCCCGGAGTCCATGATCTTCCTGCGCGGGAGGCAGGACACCGGGGTTGAGCTGCGGGGGCCTCCGCCCAGGCCCCACCCCCGCGTGTCCTCGTCTGCTGCTCTGGGCACGGGCCACACTGGGTGGGGCCCTGCTGCAGCCCCAATGCCCAGACACCTTCTCAGGAACCGGGACCGGCCAGAGGGGCTGAGCAGGACGCTGGGCGCCGTGTCCCGCCGCTCGGGGACAGGAGACTCGGAGGCTGCGGGACCCTGGCCGGGGCCTCGGCCTCACACCACCCAGGGTGCAGCTCCCAAGGAGAGTGACTGGGCCCAGGTGGTGCCCCCGCAGCAGCAGTGGGGCCACAGGAACAGGACCTGCCCCTCTGGGGACAGGGCGTGGAGGACTGCGGTCCGACCTCCGTCTGCAGCAAAGTGGCCTGGCGCCGCACGCAGACACCGCCGGACACATCTCTGGGGGCCGTGGGGTGGAAGGCGGGGACAGACCCACGGGGAGCCCCTTCCAACACGGTGCTAGTGGTGGCGCCAGAGCAGGAAGTGCTGGGCGTTCCCCAGGCCTTGAGCGTGAAGCCTCAGGTCAGAAGGGGTTGAAAGGCCATCGGCGCCAGGCCACACCCTGGCCGTGTGGAGCAGCCGGGAGTTACCGAAGAGTGGAAAGGAAAGGAAGCCTCTGAGGACAAAGAGAATTCCTTACTCCGGGCTGGACGCAGGCCTGGCGCAGCCAAGCACGGCCCAGCCGCCCCACGGGACAGGCCGGGGGCCAGACCGAGCCCCTCGGCAACCTCAGCGGCACAGCGGCCAAGGAGGCTGACCCGCAGCCACTGGACGCAGGCCTAGTCTGGAAGGAAGGCCCGGAGAGGACAGTGTCCGGGCGACGGGCCCAGCACACACCGCAGGCCGCAGCCCAGCGCTCTCGGCGCCCGCCCGGGGACGGCGGCTGAGGGGCTCTCGGCGCTGCTCCCACTGCGACCCACCGCCGCGCCTCCTGGTGAACTCCGGGGGACACAGAAGGGGACGAGAGAAACTGCAGGTGACAGCACCCCGTGTGGCAGGGGACTGGGCCAGGGCAGCCAAGTGTCGGCTCTGCTCGTGTCTAAAACGTACCCCCTGCTCAAACCCCCGAACCAGGGAAAGCGGTGCCCACGCGTTCCCGCCAGGGAGGGGCAACTGGCACCGTCCCCTGCGTGCGCCCGCCGGCGGCCTCCCTCCCCGCAGATGCCCACCTGAGCATGATGCCGTTCATCCGGATGGCCCTCTTCCAGTCCTTCAGGGTGGACTTGCCGGCCAGGTGCACAAACTCCTTGGGGCTGATGACATGCTCGTCATACTGTGGAGGGGACAGAGCAGAGTAGTCAGGGTGCGCCTCCCGCCTGTCCGCTCCCGCCTGACTGGTCCAGAGCGCAGCGGGGGAGGGATGGCTGAGGCAGACGCCACGCACAGAGGAGCCACGCAGGGCCCAGAGGGCAGCGGCCGTGGCGCAGGGAGGGAGCAGCTCCGGGAGACCAAGTGTGGCCCTCCTGCCGGCACAGGGCTGGCCTCCTGCAGCCGCCAGGAGGGACACACTGTGGGCACACCCTCACACAGGACTGGCACGTCTCACAGCGGACTTCCACACCAGCGCAACATGGAGCACAACATGGAGGGCAGCTGCGCCGGCCCACCCTTCTCCCCTCCCCTCAGTGACACACACAAGTCCATGTGGGAGCCAGGGACGGTCCTCCTTGCTCCAGGTGCTGGGCCCACTGGTGCCGCCATGGCTGGAACGCAGGCAGCCCAAAAAGGTCAACTACCATTCGGTCCATTCAAGGAGCAGCACTGGACCCAGAGGATCAGAACAAAACCATGTTCACTCGGGAAACCAGCAGGCCAGGACAGGTGTTGGCAGACCTGGGCGTCCCTGGTCCCCGGCCAGGCAGCCGGGCCCCCAGGGCCTCCAATCCCCGAGGCACTGCCCAGGGAACCCCTGCCATCTGCCTCAGGTGGAACCCAGATCACCCAGCCACTGCCGGGCACAGAGGGCCTCTCTCTGCCTCCATCACACGTGGTCGGTCATGGCCAGTGTGGCCAGCTGGGGACTCCTGCTGAGGGGCCCTCCCCGCACTTCCCAGAGCAGCTGCCCTTCCTCTCCCTGAGTCCAGGGAGACACACGGTCCCATACTCAGCCAGCAGGAGACGGAGGGATCTGGGCCGGGGGAGTCCAGAGCCACGTGGTCTCACTCACACCCCTGCTGACCCGCGGCCACTTGCTGGACCCTTACCAGAACCTCCCTGAGACGCAGCACTGGTGCTGCGGCGCCTAGCGCGCTCCGTTCCCACAGTGTCCACTTCTCCGCTCTCGTGCCTCCTCCACCCAGAGCTCCGTCGGGCCGCTTGCCCTGACATGCACTGGCCGGACCCCGAGCTGGAGCCTCCGGAGGGAGAGTGGTCTGCCTTGTTTTCATTCATCTTTCCTAAGGGACGTTGAGCTCTCATTTACTGCAGTGTTTGGTATTCGAAGTGTTTGGGCCTTTTTTTTGGGGGGGGGGGTTGGCCAAAAAGATCATTTGTTTTCCCCCACGAGCTGGTCACACAGTCCAGGCCAACGAACTCAGCGGCACCAGAGGCTGAGGAGACTGACCTGCAGTCCCCGGACGCACACGCGGTCTGGGCAGGGCGGCCCAGGCTGCAGCAGCACTTGGTTGTCCTCGGCCTCATCTGAAAAAGCCTTGTTAGACGGCCTTGCGACAGCTGTCGCGTCAGCGTGCATTAAAAAGTCAAAACCGGAGAGTTTTTGTGCAGCCATTTTAATGCTGAAGATGGAAGAAAATCTGCAACATTTCGGCATATTCGCCTTTGTTATTCCAACAAAGGTAAAAGCGCAACTGTAATGCATGAGGCTTTGTGCAGCGGGGGGAGAAGGTGCTTGCTGTGACTGACCGGACGTGCCGGAGGTGGTTTTCGAAGTCTGTCGCTGGACGGTGCTGCGTGGTTGCACAGACCAGCTGCAGCTGACAGCGATCCAGTCGAGACACCATTTGAGAATATCAACGTTACGCCACGTGGGAGAGGGCCGCCTCACTCAGAATGTGCAAATTGAGCGCTGAAAACCATTTGCTTGGTTGTGTTTATCACTTTGGTGCTTGGGCTCCACACTAAGAAGTGCCCAGTTTTCCCCTTCTGGAAAACCGGGCAGTCACTTCCGACAAGCACTGCTCCCAGTGAGTCCAGCTGACAGCTGCACTGGACGAGAAGCGTCCAGAGTGAGCAGAAAACACAGTATTCCACCAGGACAGCACGAGACCATGTCTCTCTGGTGACTGGGCAAAACCTTTCCTGGCCTGGCTGGGACGCTCCAACTCATCCCCACATTCACCAGACACCGCCCCTTTGCATTTCCACTTATTTAGGTCTTTACAAATTCTCTTAATGGAAAAAACGTCAGTTCCCTAGAGAATGGCAAAAGGCACCTGGACCAGCTCTTTGCTCAAGGTGGAGGGCGAGGCTGCCGAGAGACCACAGGGGCGACAGGACAGCAGGGCCACTGCGCTGTCCCAGAGCTGACGGTGAGCACAGGACAGGCTTCCTATTTTCACTGAAACACCCAACGGTCTCTCCGGCCCACCCAGGAGAGGCCTGGGGACATGTCTGACCGGAAACGCTCCACGGGAACTTGGCACGCATGTGCGTTCCTGTGCCCTGGGTGAGCCCGCTCCTCACACCTTGTTGCCTCGGGGCTGGTTTGCAAGAGCCTGTGGTCGACGTCGAGTGCGGACTTGCTTCCCATCTGCTTCCTGAAGCCAGGTCTGTCCACAGAGCCCCGTCCGATGCTCAGGAAACCACACGGACCTCCCACCCGGCCGCCGGGCAGCACGCCGGCCCCACTGACGGCGGGAACTGGAGCAGCGCTGGGCATCCTGCCCTCCCAGTCCTCACAGCACACGGTCAGCTCCGCTGCGCACTGCCCCTCAGGGTCTGTCCGGCGTCTTCCCGTGAGCAGCGGAATTCCTGCCTGCCGCGAGCTTCCCGGTGTGGGTCTTGCTGTCCTCGTCACTGGTGGTGTTCTGATTCGAGGCTGTAACCAACTACTCATGGCCGTCACTCCAGGTGCAGCTGTCTGACGCAGCACCTTCCTGCCACCAGGGGGACTCGCCCGCGCTCTCCCCCTGGGCCGAGGCCCCATCTGCCTGAACCGCGCTGATGCCCGCTGGTCCCACAGGGCACAGTCCCCAGGCCTGGCCCTGCAGCCTGTTCACACAGCCTGGGACTCCAGTCTCCTTCCTGGACCACGGGCTGCCTTTCCAGAACCCACTGTCCTCTCTCCAGGACCTCACCTGGCCTCCCCCTTGTCCCTGTGGCCTGCCTCAGGACTCCGCTCTGCCTCTGCCCCTGCAGCAGGGTGGCTCCCCTCACGCCCTTAGCGCGCCCTGCCCATCCTTGGAGGCTGTCCCTCCTCTGCCCCCTGGACGTCAGCCTCCTGGACAGTCACCGCACAGGCCATGTCCCCGGGAGCAGGGAACTCCCTTTCTGGGCCTCTCAGCAGCTGCCCTGAGAGAACCGCCCCCACCCCCCACCCCGACAGCCAGCTCACAGGCCTGCGGCTTGGCTGTGCCGAGACCCTCACCTGCACACACTTCACGTTGATGCCAGGGCACACAAACTTCCTCCAGATCAGGTTGGCTCTGCTGTCCCCACAGGTGATGGGGTACAAGATCTCGGCCTCCAGGTTCTCCCCCTCCTCCGTCACCTTCACTTCTCACCAAGGGCAAGGACAGGGACAGGGTGGGACAGAAAGTCAGTCACAGCCACTCCAGAGCACGTCCCGCCAGAGCACAGTGCAGGTAGCATCGCAGAACCGGAGCTCAGGGTGCAGGAGGGGCCGGGCCGGGCGCAGCCCGCCCACCGCCACCACAACTGCGGCGACGCCGGCGCAGGGCCTTTCACCCACAGGCCACCCAAAGAGCCACCTGAAGACACAAAGGGAAACCTCGCAGGGAGTGACTTCAGGGAAGCTCGTTCGTACTGCTCCAAGGAGTTCCGAGGCCTGCAGCGTGAAGGGTTCCACAGACCCTCCACGACTACTCGGGAGGTCACAAGGGGCAGAGCGACAACACAGGGACTCCCCTGCAGCCAAGGGTGCGTCAGAGTCGGGCCACCCCCACAAGCCCTGCCGCCTGGCTCCAAGGGCCCCGGCCACCTCTCCCACGGGAGACCCGCAGACGCCTACCTAAAACGGCCTCCTTGAGCTGTGAGGACGCTGTGAAGGCAGCCGCAGCCGCAGCCGCCGCGTTCTCCGTCTCCATGTTGTCCTCGCTCAGGTCAGCCCTGGAAGAGGAAGTGGGGGGTGTCAGCACGCCCGACGGCCCTGTCTGGCTCTGCCTCCGCTTCTGCAGCCCTGTCCAGTGTGGTCCGGACGGCCAGGGCCCCTGCAGGTCAGGGGGCTCTGCCGACAGGCACCGCACTGTGACACCCAGCAGGCATTCCTGAAAACAGTCTGTTTTGCTCACGGCTGGGTCCCGGGCGCCCAAACAGTGCCATTTCTTTCCTTGATAAAGTTTCTTATTCCTATTATAATGATTTCATGTAGTTATAGAAACTATCAAAAATCAGTTTTAGAGAGGAGGGTCAAGTCCACAGAGACGCCCTCACTGCAGCCCACTGAGCAGGTGTTTGTCCGGGCCGGACGGGGTTGTGGTGACACCGGGCTGCGCAGGGCTCCCCAGGAAGGGGAGGGGGGTGTGGGCGACAAGGGAGCCTGGCTGAGCCTGGATGGCAAGCACCACAGCAGCAGCAGCAGCAGCAGCGGAGAAGGCAGGGCCCCAGCGGGAGGTGCCCTGGAAACAGATGCCAGGGGCAGCAGTGGCCCAGGGACACAGGCATGAGCCACAGGCCCTGGGAGGGTCCTGAGGGCGCTCAGGGCAGCACCCTAGGGGGTGCAGGAAGATGGCACCCTCTTGGGTGCTGTGTGTGCACACCCTCTTTGCTACAGAGCGGAGCTGACTGGGACCCGTGCCCTCTGGATACACTGACCAGCTGCAGACAGACCTGGCAGTGCCACCAAGGCGTCTCAGCGAGCCACTCCCTGCAGGGCCCACAGTGCCAGGACCACAACCCTCCGACACAGGGCTGGACATGCCCCACTGGCCGATGCCTGGATGGGGCGCCTGTGAGAGTGGCTTTGGCAAGGACCCCTCATGAGGGCCCAGGCAGCCGGCCTTCCCCACGATGTCCTCGTCGGCCCACTGTACTCGTCGAGGGCCACCCCAATGCTGGGGAGGGCGCTGGGGCTCACGGCAGAGCTGCTCGTGCGAGTAGCCGCTGGTGGGGGCCCACCCACAGGGCACACAGACGAGCCACCGGACAGCCACCTGGAGGGAAAGCCCGCGGGCTCAGTCACACGCACCGGCAGTGAAACCGGAACCCAGCAGGGCGCTGGTACGCGGGAGGAGAGAGAGCCCGGGCCCAGGACAAGATGCACAGCACGGCGTGAGGACGGGGAGGCCCGGTCACACCACGAAGGGCTGCCCTCGAGCTGCGAGGTGTCCACGGGCTGTGCCTGGGTCAGGGAGTGCCTGGTTGGGGACCGTCCTCCAAATGTCCTGCTGGACAGTGGGGAGGCTGAAGCCCACCCTTGTGGTCAGTGACACGCTGAGGTCAGTCTGAACAAGCCACACACAAGACAGCAAAGATGACCCATGGGGGCCGGCCAGTGCAACCCCTCGGCCACAACAGGTGACACAGGGGAGCCCCTCTGCCACCACGTGACAGCCCCCACAGGGACAGCCAGAGGGGGCCAGCAGTTCGTTCCCATGCCAGCTTCCAGGCCAGCTGACATTCTGCCTGACGTCCACTGTGAAGATGGGGAAGAAAACACTCAGTTACCACGAGGGGTGTCGGGAAAATACTGGCTCTAAAATGCCATTTTGAAAAACGGTTCCCATTGTCCCTACTGTCAGTCTTATGAGAAGCAGCTCAGGTCTCAGGAAGTGAACCTCATGCCCGTGGTGATGCAGACCCAAGGACAAGGGTCAAGCGTCACGTCTGTCCTGGGGATATGACATCCCCATTCCGGCTGCCCGCCTGCACTGACTGACTCCAGGCAGGTCCAGAATGACTGTGAGGGAGGGGCAGTGCCCACCACTCGCCCCGCCAGGCGCCCCAGCCACCCCGGGTGCAGCTGCCCTCACCCGTGAGCAGCCAGGTTGGTCGTCACCAGCACTGTCTTGACCTCCTCCATGCCGCTGCCGTCCACCGCGGTGTCGGGCGTTGTCACCACCACCACCTCTTCCATGTGCATGCTGACGTCGGGGGTCGCCATGGCTGGGCCGGGGTCTCCCAGGGTCAGTCCTAGAGGGGACAAGGACAGGGCACATGCTCGACTCCCGGTCCCAGAGCATAACTCTGCCAGAGATGACGACGAGAAGAGCTGTTCCCAGGCCACTGTCTGGTGGCAAGGAAGGGCACAACTGTCCGCCCTGGCCACTGTGAGGGCTGAGGTCCCCAAACTGAGCCCCGGACCGGCACCTGGTTGAAGACTCAGAGTCAGGGCCGTGGTGGGGAAGGAGGCCAGGCTCCTGGCAGACTCCCTGCCGGTAAGTCTCCAGCTGTTGCCTGCTGCCCCAGGCCCCGGCCACGTCCCAGAGCTCTCTCTGCAGAAAGCAGTCATAGCCTTGGCCATTGGAGCTCAGTGGATTGGCGCATCATCCCATCAACCGACAGGTCGAGGGTTCAATGCCCAGTCCGGGCGCATGCGGGAGGGGACCGATCAGTGTGTCTCCCTCCTTCCCCTTGTTCTAAAATCAGTGAGCGGGTCCTCAGAAAAAGAAGGCAGTGCAGATGTGCCCTGTCTCTAGGCTGGGAAAACGAGGGGCACGCCCACAAGACCAGCTGGGAGGGGGCCTGGCGTCTGCCGTGAAGGAAGTGTCCTCCTCCTCCCAAGTGACTGGTGACCCCGAACACCTGTGGCCAAAATGACTGTGAGCCAGGGCTAACACGGACCCACATGCAAGAAGGGGACCGGCCACATGCCCATCAACAGACGAGGGACACACAAAACACAGTCTGTGCGCACAGGGAACAGGACTCGGCCTGACCAAGGACTGGGACTCCGTGTCTGCCGCAGGGTGGAGGGACCCGACAGCACCAGGCTAAACCAGGGGGGCCCGGGGTCAAGGGACCAATGTCACAGGGTCCACGTATGTGAGTAACATGCGCACAAACATTCAAATCCTACAGATGGAAAGCAGAACGGAGGGTCCTGGGGACTGGGGACTGTGGGGGGGCAGTGCTGGATGGTGACACAGTGTCAGCCGGGAGGCGCCGGCCGCACGGCAGTGTGAGGGGACTCGACAGCTCTGAACCGCGCCCTCAGCCATGGCATCGCGGGGCAGTTCCGTGCTGTGTGTGTTTTGCCATGTAATAAAAAAACCTCTTTAATGCTCTTGGAGCAGGCTGCCTTATTAGGACTAGACAGAGGCTAGAAAGTAGAGAATATTAAAACTCACTAAAAAAAAAAAAGAAAGCAAAGCAGCCCTTTCAGAACTTCATTTTACACATCACCCGCCCAGCCCTGGAGGGGCGCCCACCCTCCCCTGCCCTCCCAGCAGATTCACCCTAACCCTAACCTCCGGCCAGAGCGCACTGGCCCGGGTTCCATGAGTGGTTCTGAAACGTGGCCACCAGGGCCCCAGTGTCTGCATGTCCCACGGCTGCTGCTGCCGCACTGGGACACCCTCAGGACCATCTGTCTGCTGAGGACAACGAAGGCCCTACCGCCCCCGGCTTCTCCCATCTCGGGCCTACACGGCGCCTGCGGCAGGTTCTGCTCCCCCCACACCAGGAATGGCCCCGACAAACCCTGCGGAAGCCATGGGCAAGACAAGCCAGAGAAGGGAGCGAGGGCTTCCCGGACCCACCTCACATGACAGCAGTCTCCGGTCACTTCCACCACGACCGGAGATGCACAGGACAGAAGTGTAGGGGCGTGGGGGCATTAAATCCTGCTGAGGGAGGCTTCCTTCTCATCAGACAGGCAAGGAGAGCCAGGAAGCAGCCCACAGGCACCCTGGCCTTGCAGTGGGAGCTGGCAGTGGAGCTGGGGAGAGGCCGGCCAGAAGGTCAGGGTCAGAGTGTGACAATCGGAAACACAGGGACGTCCCTCTGAAGGCCCTGCTCCCAGATGAATGCATCCGCACGGCGGAGCTGATGGCCAGATGCCCGGACGTCCTCCTCCTCTCTATTTAGGAGGGCACAGCGAGGGAAGGAAAGGCAGAGTAAAAATTCGGGGGGAAACCATATTTAAAAACCTCGGATGGTCCTCACACAGGAGCCATTTCCCTGCTGACACCTAGCAGCCACGTTAGCCCCGCCTACATAGGGCGGGGCTGCCGCAACAGAGGGCGGGGCCAGGTCGCAGGCGGTCTGCAGTTGCTTCCTGCAGAAGCTGCGAGGAGGAACTCGTGGATGCTGCCAGACATGCCGCATGAAACGCAGGCTGTGCTCTAGATCACGGCTTTGACACAAAGAGCTTTAAGCAACATGAATAAATTGCACAAGATATTACTGACCTGTGCATCTCAGGGTTCAGCTCTCTCACTAAGGCGCCTCCTTTCCCTGAAGGGGGCTCCACAGGGACCACCAGAGTTCTGCTCCCACCAGCAGGGGCAGAAGGGCCCAGGTTCAGCCCCCAGGCAGTGGCCCTCACCCCGACTTCAAAACCGCAGCTCACCGAGTTGTGTGAACACACAAAACAGAATCCCTGCTTCTCACGGCCACCGCAGTGGAGAAGTGACTCCACAAAAAAGTGCTGGGGTTTAGACAGAGACCAAGTCTCTTCCCTGAGCACCAGCTTCGCCTGCCCAGCCCACACCATCCTGGGTACTAGGCTGGGCTCCTTACAGGTGGAAACTGAGCCCCAACTAATTTAGAGGTAAGTAAGATGAGAAACTGTTATTAAAATCATTCTCTGGAAGGAAGAGGATATAAGGGTGATAAATGGTAATAAATGATGATAAATGTAAAAAGTACAATAAGAAATAAACTATTAGTCCTGGCACTCTGGACTGAGTGCCAGCCTGTGAACCAATAGGTCACTGGTTGGATTCCCAGTCAGGGTACGTGCCTAGGTTGCAGGCCAGGTCCCCAGTAGGAGGCGCACAAGAGGCAACCACACATTGATGTTTCTCTCCCTTTCTCCCTCCCTTCCCCCTCTCTAAAAATAAATAAATGAAATCCTTTAAAAATTATTCTTGGGCATAAGTACGCACGAACAAGACGGAAGTGTGTGTGCAGTCCGGTCTCGGACCCAGGCCAGGCTTCCCTTGCAGCATTACCGGTACTTCCTCTCGAGGACAACACAGTGTGTCTGCAGGCGGCAGCCTCCTTGGGCGGTCTGACCACAGACCCCTCAGCGGTGAGGGCGGGTGCCTGCGCCCCAGGCCTAGGACCTTTGTAGTAAAAGGCCTGTCTTTGCAAAGCCAGGTCAACACAGCCGGCAGGCCCCTCTCAGAACAAGAGTGCGGAACACTCGTGAACCCTGACCTGCCCACCCCCTCCTGGCTCTCTCCCACCCCCCCTGCAGTCCTCTTTCCATTCCCTCCTTGGTTCCAAACACATAAAAGAAGCTGCAAACTGTCATTTCTGGGAAGCATTTTTCTCCGTCTGCTGAGATCCTGCTACCAAGCATATCCTGTATTTGCCTCAAATGAAATTTTTTAAAGATTTTATTTATTTTTAGAGAGAGCGGAAGGGAGGGAGAGTAACGACAGTGTACGGTTGCCTCTTGCACGCCCCCTACTGGGGACCTGGCCTGCAACCCAGGCATGTGCTCTGACCAGGAATCGAACCAGCAACCCTTTGGCTCGCAGGCTGGCGCTTGATCCACTGAGCGACACCAGCCAGGGCTCAAACGAATTATTACAAGACTCCTCCACAGGCCTGCATGTTCCTGCGTGGACACTTGGATGAAAATACCACAAGAGACACAGCAGAGGTCGCACACCAGGGACAAGCACGGTTTCTTGGATCCTGTGTTTCAGATTTTTAATTACTTGCCAACTTTCTCAAAGTTTATGAAGTTCACATTTAAAAAATTAGATTTCCAGCTTCTCTTAGAAAATGTCAAAAGTGGAAGCCCTGGAAAGTGGTTCCTCTGGTCCTGCCTCTCCTGGGCATCCGGGCCTCCATGTCCAGGTCCAGGGTGGGCACCAGAGGCCCCACTCTGGTCCCAGCCAGGCGGCACCAGCACCTGCACACGCAGCCCTATACACAGGAATCAGTCTGTGCCCTGAAAGACACTTGAGCAGCGTCCCTCCCAGCTCAGGCACAAAACAGCTTCCGTCTGAACAGAGTTTTCTAAATTCACAGACACGCCTGCATGTTTGTACATACACGTGCAAGTTCCTCCGCGATCCAGTGTGTCTGCTCACAGGTTTTAAGACACTGCCTATGAAGAAATGATTTCTGAACAAGCAGTCTACTGAATTGGCTATATTTGGGGTTTATTTAATCCATCTGGATTTACCTTTAATGAGACTGCTTTGTGCACAGTTGGTAGGAACGCCAACTCGTGTGACCACTATGGAAAACTGGGTGGTTTCCTCAAAAAATTAAAAATAGAACTAGCCCATGATCCAGCCATCCTGCTGGTATTTGTCCAGAGGAGATTAAATCAAGATACCTGTACCCTGTGTTCAGGGCAGCATCACCCACAGTATGGAAGCAGCCTGAATGTCGTCTGATGGCTGAACATAAAAACATGTATCTGCCCCAAATGGTGTGGCTCAGTGGCTTGGGTACTGTCAGTTCAACTCCCAGTCAGGGCACATGCCTGGGTCACCAGCCAGGTCCTCAGTAGGGGGCACTCGAGAGGGAACAACACATGATGTTTCTCTCCCCCCCTCTCTAAAAATACATAAAATCCTAAAAAAGAAAACGTGGAGTGTCAGTGGAACATAAGTTAGCCTTAAAAGAGGAAATGCTGCTGCTTGTGACAGCATGATGACAAGGAGGACATTATGCTAAGTGGAGCAAGCCAGACACAGGAAGACAAATATTGACTCCATTATATGAGGATTTGGGAGAGCCCAACTCACGGCAGGAGAGCAGAGTTGGGGGGCGAGTTTATCGGAGTCCAAAGTTTCGGCTGTTCACTATCATCCTGGAGCACACAGTGCGTCTTGGCCTATGGCTAAGGACACTGCCAGGTACACTGAAGAGCTTGTGAGAGGGTGCACCGTATGTCAAATGCTTTCTATAGCAAAGTAAGGATACATAAGAGGGTGGGAGTTGATGTACACGATTATGGACCAGGCTGCGGTTTCCGAGTGGGTACTCATCCCCGAACTCGAGTCGTATACATCACTTATGTGAGGCTTTTTCTACGTCCAAAAACAAGGGGGAAACTGATAGCATCGAAACTTGCATTTGAAGTGTCAGCAAAGGAACAGACTGGTTCAGTGGAACAAGTCAGCCAACTAGAGGGATTAAAAAGTTCACCCAGTACATAGCAGGTCACTACCACAGTGGGCCCGCGGGGACACGGTTCCACCGGGGAAGGGGGCCCTCGAGGAAGCGTTTCCCACCCGGGGCCTCGTGGACACGGATCCCAGCGGGGGAGAGGCCCAGAGGAACACGGCTCCCACCCGAACCCGCGGCCACACCGCGGGCCAAGCCCTGCGCCCTCCGCCTTCCGGCAAGATGGAGGCGGGTGCGGCCGCCGACGCCGCCTGACGCGGGCCCGTGACGCCCGTGACGCCCGCCGCGCGCCGCCGCCCCTCCCCCGCTCCCCTCCCCCCGCCGTAACGTCCTGACGCTCCGCAGGGACCCCTGACTGGACGGCGGCGCGCGGCGGAGCGAGAGGCCTCGCCGCGGGGGGCGGCGGGCGCTTACCTGGGCCGCGGCTGGGCCTGCGCGGGCGCCGGTGGGCGGGGGGCGGCGGATGCCGGCGGCGGGGGCGGCGGCGGCGGCCCCGGGCTCCGCTCCTTGTTGGGGATTCTTCGGCGGCCGCGGCGGCGGCGGCAGCGCGGGCGCGCGCTTTCTAGTGACGCAGGCGGCGGGGTCGCGCACGCACGAGCAGGGGCGGGCCTGGGGACTTACTTGGTGCTCCGCGGAGACGGGCGGTGCCGTGAAATAATGCCTAGGGAAGCGAGACACGCATGCGCAGCGGCACCACCGACCCGCGGCCCCGCCCCTGCCCGGTGTCTTCTCACCTACCTGGTGCTGACGGACCCTTCCGGGGGTACGAGCGAGGAGGGAATGCGGAGGGAGATTGTTTAAGGGAGGAAAGGACGGACTGGGGATGAACAGTGAGCTTCTGAAACCAGATTCGGGCCCTTCAGTCCCCTGCAGCGAGAGAGGAGGTGGGGGGGCGGGGGCTGCTGTGAAAGAGCAGCCAACCAGTTCGTCCTTCGTCGCGTGTAGTGCGGATCCGGCCGCTGTCATCTTAATTTCTTACAGTGAGCCCTAAAAAGTGCCCCTCAGACTTACTTCTGAATCTGCGCAGTGCCGCACGGTGTCCCTGTAAGTGTCGACCCTCTGGTCACACGTGCTCACTTAAGTTTAATTAAAGTTATCTAAAATTCAGTTCCTCGGTCATCACTAAGCCATAAAAGACATCTAGATGTAGGGTTAGGGACGCTCTGAAGATTTCGTTCTTTTTCTCTCTCTAAAGATCAGCAATATAAAGCCCTTGGGTTTCCAGAACGTAGGAACAGAGTCATCGCTCAGCTTTTATGGTTTCCTTTTGACCTGTGAGCCAGGTACAGGTAGGCTTGCTATTCGATAGGTGCAGTGTTGGTTCGCAGGGTTCATCTGCCCTTTCTAGAGCCCGGCGGCAGCTGCTAAGCAAGCAGCTCTTGGCCTGAGGACTTCACCGCCCACACATTCCTTAGTCTGCTGGGTTCCAGCAGGCAGGGAAGGGCCCGGAGGGTGGCTGAGGCTGTCCGTCCGCCCCTGAGCTGTTTGATCTGTCCTTATCACCGCCTTCCCTTCCAGCAGCCGCAGGAAAACGGGCGGGGGACGAAAGGCTGCTGGCCATCCTGAGTGCTCTCGCTCCGGGAACAGAGGCAGGAAACAGATGTCCTGTTTAGGACCAAGCCGTGAGCCTCGTTCGTTCTTCAGCAGGAAGACGACGAAGGCCGTTCCTACAATGGGTTTCCGAGCAAACCCGGTTTCGGCAGTGTTACAAGGAGGAGAGTTGGCACACTTCCTTGTCTTCAGTAGGGTGGAGTGTGCTTGAGCCGATGATGGGGAAAGTCTTCCTTTGAGAAGATAAAGCTGTTAAGCCTGTTACTCAAGCAGAGTGCTCAGCATGTGTCTTTCGTTTATGTGAGTTTCCCTGTCCTCACATTTGCTTCTGGACACAAATGTCAATAAAATCATTGGAGGCCCAGAAGGGCACTGGTGTCAGGGACCCAGCGATGCGGCACCATGCCACTGACATCATGCCTGCACCCAGCGCCTGCTGCCCAGGTCCGGATGAGCCGCAGCCACCAGCCTGAGTCTGAGCACTGGGACTTCCAGCCTCCAAGTTCCACTGCAGCACAAACTCAGGCCCGGCACCTGAACCTCACCTCTTCTGTCTCCTAAAGGGCAAGGGCCCAGCACTGGCTGCTTGTTAGTGGAAGGGTTAGTTCATCCTGGACAGTGGAGACAGAAAGATTTCTCCCCAGGAGCACCCACGGAAGAGGCCCCATCCATGCTGGGCTGCAAGGAGGGGGCTTTCACTCTTAGTTTGTTACAGGCGAGAGGAAAACACTCCTACGAGTCACTGCCTTCCGACCCTCTCCTGAGAACACTTGGACCCCAGAGAGGCAGTGAGACCAGAGGGTCGTTTCGTGGCCCCGGGACACCACAGGCTCCAGACGGGATAGGAGGCAGGGAGACACAGGCCTGGCTCCCCCAGTGCTCCTGTCCCTGAGCTCTGCTCTGCTCTACCCCTCAGGGGTAGGGATTCTGTCCGGGACGAGAGGGGCCAGGCGGCTGACGTAACAGCATGGGCGGTCCCGGCTGGCCTCAGGTCCCATGGCCGCCCACAGAAGGAACCGCTCGTCAGGCCCTGGTCTGGTGCTGAGGACCAGCTGTTACGATACCCCTTGGTCTTCCAGCTACACCTCTTCCTGAAGAGCTGGAGTTTTTCCACATGCTTCCACCACTCCAGGCTTTTCTGGGGAAATTTCATTGTTTTCATTTTATGCTAAAAGTATGATTAAATGAATTTCTATTTTTTTAACTTATGAATTTTTTTAAATTTCTGAGTCCTGATTCCTAATGCCAGTCCACATAACCCACATAAGAAGAGCCCTTTGGGGGTCCTCTGTGGGTCATTAAGGGGGCATGGGGTCCCTGAAATGAGATCCTGGGAGTTTTCTCAGCAGCCCTAGCGCATCCTTAACATAGGTGGCTGTGCAGTCACTGAGGTGACGACATTGGTGACACTTGTGCAGACGGAAGGAGCCAACAGCAGCAGCAACGGTGGACGGGCAGGAAGGCCTTTCCCACCCCACCCCCGCCGACACGGGACACACACCAGGACAGTGCAGCCGTTTCTTAAACACACAGGATTTCTCTTTAATTGTTCGTGTGACTTTGCTTTAAGTTCACTTTCACTACGGGATGAGATGGGCGCATTTACACTAGGCTTCCGCGATGAGAGCTGCCCCGGCGGAGAGAAACCCAGCCCTCGGGTCCCTGTCCGAATCCCTTCCAAGTTCCACTGAAGCTGCAGGTGCGCCGCTGGGCTCTGCTCCTGGCTTGTCACCCCTTCCAGAAGCTGGCTGTCTTGGTGTAGACAAGGAGGGGCCTGGGCTTCTACTTCCCCCGAAGCCTACACAGGGGATTGGCACCCACCTGCTCCCTGGCTGGGCCACCATTGGTTTCTGCAGGGTGGAGGCCGGGGCACTGGGGGCTGCAACCACCTGGGTTCAGAGGCACCGGCTCTGCATCCTGCAGGGACTCAAGTCTGTCCCTTCGTGCTTTCTACCAAGAGGTCAGTCAGCAGGGACCCTGCAGCAAGAAGCCTGCTGTGGGTGGGGCTGCGGGTCAAAGACTAGACCACCCTCACGTCCAGACAGGCTACAGTCCTCAAAGGCGGAGGGAGGGAAGTAGCCCAGTCCAGTGGGGTCTTGGTGGGAGAGGCCTAGAGCCAGGCCTCGGACCTGCAGACTGGCCAGAGGATGGACCCGGTGGAGAGGTGGCTTGGGAACCCTGGCCCCTGCCCCCTGCTGTCTGCTAAGAGCTCTCCAAAGGACACCTGTGGCTGCCACTCACACCTGGCCACACCCGGTCGGAGTGGAGCCTGAAAGCCCCCACCCTGTGGCCAGGAGCACCGTGGGCAGGCAAGGGAAGGGGCAAGACTCCAAAGGGCTCTAGGACAGGCTCACAAAGCTCGGGGGGTGGGGGGAGAGGAGGAATGACGGCTGCTGGGCCTCCCCACAGGTGTGCAGCCGGAGGCTCTCAGAAGGAGGGCACTTCTGGGAGGAGGGGTCAGCAGGGGGTGTCATGCTGCCCACTATTCTCGGGTCCCTGGTGGAGAATGGCAAAGAATGTCCACTCCCCTGAAGACTCGGGCCAGGTCACACCCCATGCAGCCCCCACTCCAGCCACAGGCAATGACCACAGGCTCCCAGGCCAGTGCAGGGTGTCCATCACAGGCCCGGTGGTCTCAGAAGACCCCTGTGTGACCACAGTAAAGGGTGCTGCAGCTTTCACCCACCATGTCCACAAGCTCCGGTGCACACACCCTTCCAAGGCTGGCCCCAAGACAGGGTGACCCTGGCCCCACACTGCCCGGAAGTCCATCTACGTGTGACTCCTCCTCCTCCTCCCCATCCCCTGCTGGGGCGTGTTGTCTGTGCTTGGATGTATTCTAAGTGATGAGGTGCTCATGGGACAGCCCAGCACACGGATCTGCACGTTCCTCCACCACCTCTGGGTTTACTGAGGTCACCACCACACCCACTAAGAGGGCTGCCAAGAGGGGACCCAGCCACCACCCGGCCTGGTGCCTGAATGGAGGGACCCTGTGCCACGCCCCGCGGCCCCTACGGGGAGAGCCTGGGGTCAGCGACTGCCGGGACTGGGCAGCTCGCAGTGCGGAAAGAGAAGCATGAAGCTGGGGGAGCGGGACGAGGGGGGTGGGGGGAACAAAAGTGGCATCTAGACAGAGCTGAACAAAACAAAACCAAAACCCGAACGTGTTCTTGTCTCGGCTCAGGATCCAGGCGCCGCGGTGTCCAAAGCCTCTTAGCCGGACATCTCCTCTCTCTGCTCCTTGTTCCTGCGCACCTCGGCCGCGTGCAGCTCCTGCGGGGACGGGCGCGGTGGGCGGGGGCCTGCGCTGCCCCCCACCCCCAGCACGCAGCCGCAGGGCCCGCCTCACCCTGGCCTGGCCCCAAGCAGGGAGCGCGCGGCGGGGGCGCTGGTGATGCCACGGGGAGGGACCCACTAGAGGAAGGGGCTCCTGGGGTCTTCCCTGGCCCTCAGCCCAAAGCGGCTCCCAGCTCCTAGCGCACACCAGGTGCACTGTCCAAGGGCATCTCCTGTCCAAGTAGCGGCTGCGTCCCAGTGCCCTCCGCTCGCGAGCTGCTGAGGGCGCCCACTAACTGCCGGGTGCGCTCAACCAGCTGCCCCGCCCCGCCACGCCGCGCACCTTCTCGCGCAGCCGCTCGCGCAGCGCCGCCAGGTGCGCCTCGCGGATCTCCTTGCTGAGCTCCATCTTGTAGTTGAGCTTCTCCTCCGCCAGGCGGCTGAAGTTGTTGTTCTCCTCCAAGGCCTTGTGCAGAACCTCGCGCTCGTGCTCGCGCCGCTCCGCCAGCTGCTTCAGCACCTGTGCCTCCTGCGTCTGCGCGGCCGCGGGGCGGCCCGGAGAACACGTGAGCAGCGCCGCACCTCGCGCGCTGCACCGACAACCCCACGTCCCCGCCCGGACCCCCCACCCACGCCCCCAGTCCTGATCCCTGCGCCCCTATCCCGGGCCCCCTCATCCTGGCCTACCGCCCAGTGCCCATCACCCTGCCCCTGTCCAGAGGGACAACTGTCCTCCCGGAGCTCGGGTCTACACTGTCCTGCGTGGGCGAAGGTGACCTCGCCCGGTTGGCCTGACGTCCCGGACGTGAGCACGGAGACCCCTCAGCCTCTCACCCTGTCCGTCTGTCCCGCCGCAGAGCTGCCCCCTCCCTGCTAGGCTGAGGGCAGCCTCCGTCCCTCCCTGTGCTCTCCAAGTCCCGCAGGCCCTGGGGGGGATGTTGGAGCATCGAAGGGAACCTAAACCTGTAGGCTGCCACTGACCCTTCTTGTCTCCCTCAAACCTCCGCCTGCAGAGCACAAAGTAGCTGTTCGGTGCCCGCCAAGCAGTGAGCTTCCTAAGGTGCTGGGGGATGTCAGCGGAGATCAGACTGGAGCCAGGGGCGGGGGTGGGGGGGCTGCTGGCGTCACAGTGTCTGGGTCCTGCTGCAGGAGAGGCACCTGGTGCCCCTCCCCCAGGACAGCCTGAGGCCCCCCGGGGTAATTAACGCCTTCGGCTTCCTTCAGGATGCCAGTCACCTCTGATAGACCCTGGGAAGCCAGGGTCCCCTGGTCTCCCTGGGACCTGCTGACGGGGAGCCGGAGCCACTGCCCGGGCCTGGGGACCGTGCACCAGGACCCACTCTGAGAGCACCTCCTCTTCCGTGGGTTTGCCTCAGAGGGGCTAATGTGGGTGGCAGGGCCCTCCGAGCTCCCAGCAAGTCCAGGTTTGCAGGGCCCCCACAGGGAGGCCTTTCCTTCTCCTCTTGCCCAGGAGAAGGAGGCCAGTCCAGCCTCATGTCTCACCTGAACCCTCCAGGTCAAGGCCAACCCCCGGCCCCGCCCAGCAGTGTCTGGTTCCTGTCTCCCTGGGGCTGGCTGCCACTGGGGACCCTCCCTCCACCCTGTCCCATTCCGATCTCCCAGGAGGAGGCCCAGAAAACCGTGAGACTCTCTCCACCCCAGGCTCCTGCACCTCGGGGACCTTGTCCACAGCTGGCAACACATGCCGGCAAGACACCTTCATCAGAGCAGACGGGGACCCCTACCTTCCTTCGCTCCTCAGCTGCCTCCAGCCGCTTCTGCAACTCCTCCAGGGAGGCGTCCTTCCTCTTGGGGGGAGAGGAGAGCACGGGGCTCTCCGGGGACAGGTCGGAGGGCGACTTGAGGATGACCTCGAAGCTCTGGCCAGAGGCCCTCTTGTCCAGCTGCTTCACCTCCATGTCTGCAGGGCAAGGCCAGACGGGGCTTCAGGAGGGCCGGCCGGGGAGGCGGCACTCCGAGGGGCTGGACCCCAGCACGCAGCCGAAGCAAGGCCCGAGCCCCTGTACGGGCCCCGCCCCCAAGCCAGGCCAACCAGGAGGGTCCAAAGGCCACGGGAGGGGCGCAGGCACACTCACCCCCGTACTGGTAGATGGTGTTGGGGTGCGGCTGTGAGTAGAAGCAGGAGCAGATGAGAGACAGCACGGACAGCTCCTTCATCTTCTCCTTGTAGGCTGTGGGCAGCAGGGGTGGAGGTGGCGGGAGGTGCTCTGAGCAGCCTCGCCCCGCCCTGCCTGTCTCTCCCTCCCCAGGGCCCCTCCCCCCCGGGAACCCCCCCCATAGCTTGGCACCCCGATGCTCTGGGTGTCTCCTCCCCCTCCCACCCTCCTGACAGTGGGTCCGCCTTCCCCCGGGCCCGCCTCCCTATGGGTCGCCCTGCTCCCGTCTCCCGCCCATCCGTCTCCCTCCCCGGCACCGCTGTCTCCCTTCTGTCCTTCCGCGGGCCTCCGCCTCACTCTGTCTCTGTTCGTCCCTCTGTCTTTCTGGCTCTTCGCCACTGTCTCCCTCTCCATGTCTTTATGTCTCCGTGATTTCTCCTCTTCCCAACTTTCACTCCCCCCGTGTGGTGGGGTCCCCAACCACATAGCCCCCCTGCTGAAAACTCACCCCCTGGGGTAGACAACTGTCAGGCCTGGCTGGCACTGTTTGGTCTGTACACGCGGGTGAACCCCTCAGAGCCCCTCCTCCCCCTCCATTTACCCTGACAGGAGGGTGGTCCCTCCTCCAAACCCTGCCCTGGCCTAGAGCCCTCAGGGCCTGTCGTGGCCCTCAGGGAGCTGTCCTTTCAGCACCGCCGCCTGCCGCCCAGCCCTCGGGGCCACAGCCGCAGCTGGCACCTTCGGGACCCAGACAGAAAGGAGGGGGGCCTGGTTTGGGGGCCCTGCGCCCTGCTGGGGGAGGGGGCGCGCCCATTCTCAGAGTGGAAATAATTGAGCTCGTGTGTAGCCACAGAAAGCCCCCTCAACACGTTGGCCACGCCCCTCAACTAAGATGACCTGGGGCCCAGGGGGCGGGGTGACTCGCCCGAAGCTCCGTATTCTTTCCACCATACCAGTGGGTCCCCAAGTCTAGGGGGCTCAGCGCCCCACGTGCCACCAGAGACCCACTCCACAAAGGAAAGGCACACGAAGTCGCCTACAGTGCTCTGCCAAGGGCCACACGAACGTGTGGACAAGTGTTGACATGGGCAAGAGACTCCCCGACCAACGTACACACAGGATGCTCTGAGGCTGAGTTAGCACGGAATCGGGAAGCACCCAGGACGGAAGTGCTCGGGCCTAGTCCGAGGGGGCAGCTCCTGGGAGCAGGGTGCCCCGGAGGCCAGCACGGAGCATGGGGCCGTCTGATGGCCTGACTCTTCCGGAGAGGCCGTGAGGGAGGACAGAGGACCCTGGGCAGGCGGCAGGGAGGGCCGTGGGGGTGGGTTGGAGGGGCGCAGGGCAAAAACACATCCAACTCATCGGCCCCAGGAGGCCGAGAGGGAGGTGGGGGGGGGGGACTCAAAGAGGATTTTGGTCTGACTTGTCAATTTTATTTCTTTACAAGCGGAATTGGTTCATGTATTACAGGTGCTGTTAAAAGTTAGTTTCATCCCTGGCTAGTGCGGCTGAGTGGATTGAGTGCTGGCCTGGCAACCAAAGGGTGTGGCCAGTTCGATTCCCAGTCAGGGCACATGCCTGGGTTGCAGGCCAGGTCTCCAGTAGGGGGCGCACAAGAGGCAACCACACATTGTGTGTCTCTCCCTCTCCTTCTCCCTCCCTTCCCCTCTCTGCAAATAAATAAATAAATAAAATCTTTTAAAAATTTTTAAAAGATTTCTTTTAAAAAGCTAGTTTCAGAGAGGAGGCAGGGTGCCCAGCACAGCGCGGTGCCAGGGGCTGGAGGGTGTAAGACCGGGCAGAGCCAGCTCCCGGGACAGGCCGCCCTGCCCTCAGAGGGGAGAGCGGGGAGGGGCCCGGACCAGCGGGCACCCCTGGGTGCTGGGAGAGGCCAGGCAGGAGGGGGCTCTGTGTAACCCCGCCAGCACCTGCCACCTGGGCAACAACGCAGCCGCACATCCCGACCTTTCAGAGCCTCCAGCTGGGGCGGTCTCAGGGGGCCCGGAACCTGGGGCCACACAGCTGCTGTGGTTCCTCTCTGCCTTGAGTCTGGAAAAGGAGCTGCAGGCTCATTACGGAGGACCGAGCTCATGGACAAGTGCCAGGGGGCTTCCTTGTCACCTCGGCCTGGGGGGCAGTGACTCAGGGAGCATGTGCAGGCATCCGCTCTGCCCGGTCAGGAGGGGGGCATGGGGGTGGCGGCTGGGACCGGGCTGGGGCTCTCAGTCCCAGGCCCCAGCTTTGTGCCCAGGGGACACGTGTCCATGGGGAAACTGAGGGGCTGTGTCCCACGGCTGCGGACAGGGACACAGCTCGGTATCAGATGGCCTGGGAGATTCCGCAGGTTGGTTTCTCCAGGTTCCATCCAGAAGAGCAGGTCCCACGAAGCCAAGCGGGAGGGGCTGGAGAGTGAGGCCCGCCCTGCGGTCCGGCCACACGTCCGAGGGCACTGGCCAGCGGCCGGGGAGCTGAGACAGGAAGCTGTGTTTTCGGAACTGACGGGGCCGAATGGTCATGTCTCATTGTAGAGGGATGGGGTGGGGACCCAGGGCCACCCTGGCCATCTCTCCTCAGACCCAGCTCCAGCCGGGAAGCCCTTCCAGGGCCGCAGGGCACACCCAGCCTTCCCTCCCCTTCGCCAGCAGCCTCCTCCCCCCTCCCCACCCCGGCTTCGGGAAGTCATTAGAGACAAATCCTGCCATCACGTGACTCAATGTCATCTCCCGCTTCCTCTTCGTATAAAACATGAAAAATGCAGAAACACACATGGCGTTCGGATGATCAGATGCTAGGTGGGCACGAGTTAGAAGGCACCAGATCAGCCCACAGCCGCACGGTGACAGTAAGACCGGCGCCCATGGGGGGGGTGCACCACACCCATCCTTCCAACGGACCCCGAGACCAGCCAGCCCAGGCAGACACCCCGGTCAGCCTCACTTGTACAGAGAGGGCAAGTGGCCCACCCGAAGTCACACAGCATGCCAGGTTGGGAGCCCGGACACAAGCCCAAGCCTCTGATGGCACTTTCCTGTTGGGAACCTCATGGGGACAGGGCTCCGTCCAGACCTGGGAGGACGGGGAGGCCCACGGAAGGGCCCTGGGGGCCGCCGCTAACTGCTCCCCAACAGGTAGAGCTGCTTACTCCCCAGGCTGCCCCTCTGTCTTGGGTCAGAGTCCCCTCGAACAGTGCCGGGAGCCCGGCCGGGGAACCTGTTGCACAAGCCACCTTTCTCAGGGCAGGAAATGGGTGATGTGGCCACAGCGGTCCCGCTACTCGGCCTGGACTGGGCCCTCACCTCTTGCTGGGTATCGGGCTGAGCACCTGTCCTGAAATGCCTCGTTCAACCCCCAGAACAAGCCTCGGCGGGCACTATCACCGTCACCCCATCCAGACAGGGGACTCTGGCCCCAAAGGTTTGAGCATTTGGTGGCAGGGGCGAGGCCTTGCAGCCAACGCTTCACTCGTCATCGAGTCCCAGTGAAGCCACCAGTGAGCATGAGCAGACAGGTGGCCACAGCCCAGGAGGCTGGCCGCTGCTCCATTCAGGGGTGGCTTCAGCAGAGATGCCCTGGCTGCAGGTCACGGAACCCAACTGTGGCCACTGTACTGGCACCCTCCCGCAGCCAGTGCCCAGCCCAGTGCCGCGCTGGGCCGCCACCGTGCTGTCCAGTGCTGACAGTGGAGAAGCTGGCGGGCCACCCGGGCCTGTGCGCCTCTGGCCGCTCTCTGTGGAGGGCAGCTCTGGTGACAGAGCAGGAGGGGCCTGGCCCTGATGACGGTGGCCGGGGGCTGTTCCCCTAAGGGATGGCAGCTGGTCTTCAGGGCGGAGGCTGCGCTTTGCACTCCAGAGGCAACTCCGACAGCCCAGGAAAACCGTGGGCTGAGCGAGGGCCAGCAGCGCCCCTGGAAGAGAGGGCTGGGCTCAGGGGTGGCCGGGCCGAGCTCTGACAGCCATCACAGGTGAGGTTTCGGCTGCGTCCTTCCCTAAGGCCAGGTGGAGGGTGGGGCCAGCCCCGGGAAAGGCTGAGAAGTGCCCCTGCCAGGGGCTGCCCTTTGTCCCTCGGCTTGGGCCCGGCTGGTGCGACCAGGACCCTGGGCCCCTCCTCAGGGTGGGATGGGGCAGCACTCTGGCCACGCAAAACCCAGAGCGGTCCTCTGTCGCTGGGGGAGGCCCTCCTTCTGCCCAAGGCTGGTCCCTGTGTCTGTGAAAGAGCAAGAGGCCGGGACGGGTGGAGCCCAGGTGGCCCAGAGGCCAGAAGATGTGGGTGGAGTGCAGTCAGCGACGCACATGGTCCCCCAGACAGGTGCAGGCGGCAGTTGGGACCTGGAACCCACAGGGCCTGACGGGAGGGGGCAAGGAGGGGCACATGAGGTGGGCGGAGCTCTGGAGAGATTCAGGTTGACTAAAGAGAGGGGACAGGCCACCTGCCCCCAGAGCAAGAGGCAAGGGTGGGCAGGGATACGGTTCCCAGTCAGAGGGGTCACGGGGTAGAGGTGGGGGGCCGAGTGCCAGAGACGAAGCTGGTCGGTCATGCACGGGACAGCTGGATGGAGCAGACCGTTCCTGGGGACAACGAGCCCGGCTTCCTCACTCACCGGGGCACCTGGCCGCTCCCCCGAGTCCCAAATGTGCCCAACGACCACCGGAATTCCACCCGGAAGCAGCGGGGGGTGGGTGGTCCTCCGCTCAGGAGGCAGGGGGGAGGGGGGAGGTGCAGACCCCCCCATCCTGGGAAGGCTTGGAAATGGCAGCAGCCCCTCCCACATCTCAACCCCGCTATGCAAAGGGTGGTGGCTTTCTCGACCAGAGCGGGTGGCGCAGTGTTGCAGAGGGTCGTCCCGAGCCTGCTGTGGTGAGGCGAGGGGGCGGAGACCCCAGCTGCTGCTCCTCGGGGTCCCAGCTCCGGCGCCCTCCCCACTGTCGCCCAGTGCCAGACAACCTTCCCGGGTGCAGGGAGGGCCCAGCTCCACCGGCCCTGGGTTGAGGCTCCCACAAAGGGTCCCACCCGATTCCCTTTCCTTTTTCGAAGGCGAGGCCAGACCAGCATCTGCGGGCGCCCCAGGGGGCCCTGTGCGCACCAGTAAGCACGCTCATCAGGAGCACAGCCGGTGTCTGCACCCGGAGAGCCACCCTGCCGCAGTAAAGTCAGGCCTGGAACCACGGCACCCGGAGGGGCAATGCTCCCCGGCGCCCAAGACCCCACCCACGGCGCTGCCCTGGCGCCCCCCGGCCTGGCCAACGCCTGCCGGGTCTGCGCTGCAGTCCCAAAGGGGCACCAAGTCATTCCTGCCGGTTCGACCCGGCCGCGCCCTGCGTCCTCGCCGTGTGCGGGTCTGAGATGGGAAAACAGAGTTCGCCACCGGTCCCAGCAGGAGGCGAGGCTGGACAAGAGCCCTGGCTGAGACCTGCCACCGTTTTCGGAAGCCCGCGCGGCTCGGGCGCCTACCGGACACGGTGCTGGCCATGGTGCTGGCTGCGGCGGGGGCTGCGGAGGCCGGAGAGGCGCGGGCGGTGGCTGGAGCTGCAGTCGGCAAATGCTGCAGTGCCAGGGAGGGGAGGGAGCGAGCGGGGGAGGGAGAGAGAGAGACAGCGCGAGAGCAAGCGAGCCTGGGGTGGCCGGGGCTGCGGGCGTCAGAGGGAGGAGGGAGCGCAGGGACCAGCCGGGACGCAGGGCGGAGCGCTGCAGCCAGGCGCCCATCCTCCCTCCGCGAGGACCGGCCGCGCCTCCCACCTGGCTTTGTGCGGCTCGGGTGGGGGATGGAGACGCCCGTTCTCTGCATGGGCTCAGCAGGAGGGTGGAGGCGGAGCGGTCTTCCCCGAGGCCCCTGCAGGCTGCAAGCCCCTTCTGGGTGCCTAGTTCTGTGCTAAGGGGAAGCGTGTGTGGCCGTGGGTGGGGGCTGGCACGGAACAGGGTGGAGAGGCAACCCAGAGGCGCAGCAGGCCCTTAGGCAGAGAAGAGGGCACGTGGGAGTGGTGACCTGGGGCCTGGGACAAGGGCTTCCGACAAGACAGAGCTGGGTCCAAACGCAGCTCTGAAGGCCCCTCGCTGTGGGACCGAGGGCGAGTTTCTGAACCCTCCGGGCCTCCACTTCCTGGGTGGTCAAGGACAGATGTGCACGCTTGGTGGGGGGGGGGGGTGTTCTGCTTCCCCCTCCTCTGGGCTCAGGGTCCTGGTTTATTCTCACAAAGGGCGATGCTGGCAGAGGTGACAGGACCTTTTGTGCAGCGAGCGCCTCACCTCGCTTTGGGAATAGAGAGTCAGGCAGGCTGTCGCTCCCGTTTAGGGACGGAGCTCCTGGGGCTGAGAGCAGCTCTCACTCCAGGAGCAGTTGAGTCCGGGGGCCAGGAGTGGGGCTGTGGGGAGCCCTGAGGGCCTGCAGGGAGAGGAGGCAGGCTCAGAGCAGCGAAAGGCAAGGACAGACCTGAAGATCAGAGCGGGGCGGGAGGAGGCCCGGCAGGTGTGCGCCCCCAGCAAGTGTGTGAGGGGTTCACATCTGTCCTGTGGGCCTTCCCTGAAGCCCCTGTGCCGCCGGCAGGACTTGGTCTGGCCAGCCTCAGTCCCCTTTCCTCTCATGGGTCAGGGTCAGGTGCGGCACAATGGCATCTCCCTGTCTTGATTTATGGGAGGCTGGGGAGTTCCCGGGCATGATGTGCAGCCAGGCAGCTCAGGCATCAGCTCAGGGGCGTGGGATCCTCATCTCCAGGTTCTGGGTCCTGGCCGCCCCTTCCGTGGGCTTCTGGGGGGATGAACGCTGCTGCTCTGAGAAGATGGGGGGCGTGGAGGTAAAGAGGGCGACTCCTGGCTCTGAGACTTGCTGGCTGCTGGCTCAGGGCAACCTACCAACCACCTGTGCTTCCTTCCTCATCTGTAAAGTGTGGCGCGGAACAGAACTTATCGGCCCTGGCTGATGTGGCTCGGGGGTCTGAGCACAGGCCTGTGACCAAGAGGTGGCTGGTTCCATTCCGGGTCAGGTCACATGCCTGAGTTGCAGGCCAGGTCCCCAGATGGAGTGTATAGGAGAGGCAACTGATCAGTGTTCCTCTTACTCTCTACCCCTCTCTCTAAAAAAATTAATTAATTAAAAAAAAACCACCAAAAACTTATCTCAGAGGTTGTCAGCACAAACCTACCAGAGCCTGCATGGATGGCGGTGAAGCCTGCGGCCAGCGGGTCTTCAGCAAGGGCGTGGCCAGGCGTTCCCATCTTCTCCATGCTCCCCACCCAGAGGCCAAGGTGGACAGACGCTCTCCAGTCCCCTCACGGGAATAGGCGGTTGCCACCTTGTGTCCCGGGCTTCCCCAAGCAAGCTCTCATGCAACAGCTTGGACTCACGCCTGCGGGGAAACATCAGGACGTGAAATGAGCCCACCAGCAGCTCTGCAATCAGCACAGCCAGCTGCCCGTGGACCATTACTGTGACGTCCACTCCTTCCTGGTGCCTTTGGAACGTGCTGGGGGCACCTAGACAAGGACCTCTGACCATGCAGAGCTGTTCAGACCTCTGGGATCCCTGTAGACTTCCAGCTGGTATGAGGTGCTGGGGGTACAGAGAGCCCCGCCCTGGCCAGCGGGGGACATGGACATGAAAAGTGGCTGAATTCGGGGGACAGTTAAGAGAGGGGCTGGTGAGGCCCCCAGCAGCTGGGTCATGTCAAGGGGCAGCCATCTGCAGATTTTAAGGGGAATGATTGGCTTAGACTCAAGTCTTAAAAAGACCACCAGGCCCTGGCCAGGTGGCTCAGATGTTTGAAGGGTTGTCTGGTGCAGCAACAGTTTGTGGGTTCAATCCCTGGTGTAACCCTTGGTCTGACAGGCAACTGATGTTTCTCTCTTTCCCTTCCTCTCTAACATCAATTTTAAAAGGTCCTCAGGTGAGGATTTAATAAATAAACAAACAAATAAAGCAAGCTCTGGCGCACGCAACGAAGGTGGCTTGGCCCCGGAGGGGTAGTGGAATGGAGACTATGGTGGAGATGACGGGCAGACCCCAGGTTACAGCCCCGGAGCGAGGGAGTGCCCAGGTCCCCGGACCCAACGCACGGGTAGCGCGGAACCCCGGGATGGAGAACAGTTTCCGCTGGGAACACCGCCCGGAGGACCGGAACTGAGAGCAGAAGTGACGTTCCGTGACGACTGCGCGCCTCGGCCCGCGAAGTCCAAAGGGGTTGACGGCAGAGGTCTTGGTGGTGGTGCTTCTGGCGGACTGGGGTGAATTCCTGGGACCCCCGGTTGTAGAGGGCTCCCTGCGGAGACAAGGGGACCGAGAATCGCGGAGATCTTGGAACTGGTACTTTGACCCGCCTGTCATCCGAAACTACAGCTCCCGGCTGGCTCCGCGCCGCTCTCGGCCTCACGCCCAGGCGATTTGGCCGCGCTGCATTCTGGGGCCGGTGGTTTTTCTGCGCTCGTCGGCTCTGGGCTCTGGGCGCTTAGCTTTGCGGAATCGGTCCCTTAGCGGTCGTTCCGTGTTGCCGCGCTCTGCAGTCAGGGCGGGCACTCGGTGTTTAGGGGAATGGCTTGTGAGTCCCGGCGTACAGGCGAAACTGAGACCTAGAGACGCTGAGTGATTTGCAGGGGACCACACGGATTCGCCCCTCAGATTAGAGCAGGCACACGTGCCCTTTCGCTGCAGCTGATTGCCCACCTGGGAGAGATGGGTCTCAGCCTCCAGCCAGGGGATCAGAGGGTTGGGAGACGCAGGGGAAGGAGCTTCAGACCCGCCCAGGCTGGGGTGGGACGCTGCTGGAATCTGGCCTCTCAAGTGTGATGGGAGGAAGCAACTTACTATTACAGGGGAGCGGGTGCACCTGTGCCCTCCTTCAGCTCCTCTGGTCTCTGTGACCCTGGCAGCCTCTCCCAGAGCCCGATGGAGCTGGGGGGTGGGGGCACAGAGGAACAGGCAGGGCTGATGTTAGCTTTTTCACCTCCCAGCACCTTGGGATAGGCTGTTACAGGCCCACCTTCGGACCTTGTCCCCGGGAAGGGGCTGCCTGAGGTGACTGTAGTGGCCTGGTCTCCTGAAAGGCTGACTTCAAACAATCTTGTCCCCATTTCTGTGCTGCAGGAGTTCCCTGGAGAGCAGCATCTTGTCCAGGCACCTTGGGCTGGCATCGCCCACCTGCAGTGGCTGGGGCCCTGAAATACTCGGAGGGGGGTTTTGTCTCATGCACCCTCCCAAGAACCGGCCGCCATGCCCAAGATCACCCTGAATGGTGTGACGGTGGATTTTCCTTTCCAGCCATACAAATGTCAGGAGGAGTACATGACCAAGGTCCTGGAGTGTCTGCAGAAGGTGAAGCTTGTATGCGTGTGTGTGTGGGGGGGGGGTTGTCAGGGAGGGGCTTCAGCAAAGACCCCTTACTGCACCTTCCTATTCACTGGGACCTGGTCCTACTGGGTGGAAGGCTCCCTTCTGCACATGGGATTCAGTCATCAGTAGGGCCAAGGGTATAAGAGAGACGATGAACAGGGACCAAGAAAAGGTAACTCCAGATGGCGATGAGTGCTGGGACAAGACGTAAGGTAACCTTTGGGAGGAGGTGGTGTTTGAGCTGAAGCCAAGTGACAGGGAGCAGCCAGTTGCATGTGGGTGTGGAGGACGTATTTCCATGTAGAGGGACAGCCGATGCCCAGCCCTCCTGGTAGACGGTCTCAAGCCTCAGGGGAGTGCCAGGAGGTGGAAGGGGTACAGGCTCCTTTCTGCGGTGCTTCTTAGATGCCCTCTCGTTCCCTGCTCGGGCCACCCGCACTAGCCCGGGGCTGAATGTAGCCAGGCTCGATGCTGCTACTGTGGGCACAGCCCCGCCCTCCTGTCCCCACGCCTCTGGCTCAGGTTCTGCCGCTTGTGCGGCAGCCTGGACCCAGAACCGCAGAACACGCTCCTATTTTGAGACTTGGCACTTAATTAGTCATCTTACTATTTATGTTAGGCTGGAAAATACTCTGCAAATTGTTTGCTAATGAGGGTTGAATTAGGCCACAGCTTTGGCTCAAATTGGACGCCTCCTGTGGCATCGCCCACTGTCGCTGGGGCTCTTGTCGTCTGGTGGACAGGCTCAGCCCAGTGGAGCTGCGGGCCTGTCTCGGGGGTGCGGTGTGGTCCGCAGCGCCTCACCCCCGCACCCTGCTCAGAAGGTGAATGGTGTCCTGGAGAGTCCCACGGGGACCGGGAAGACGCTGTGCCTGCTCTGCAGCACCCTGGCCTGGCGGGAGCACCTGCGTGACGCCATCTCTGCCCGCAAGATCGCTGAGAGGGCCCCAGGGGAGCTCTTCCCCGACCGCCCCTTGTCATCCTGGGGGAATGCTGCCTCAGAGGGAGACGCCACAGGTCAGTCCCTGTCCTGCCCTCTGCAGGGGTGCAGGCACACGTGGAAGGGGGGCGGTGAGCGGGCAGGCGGCGCTATGGCTGCCACGTCACCTCTCGCTGTCCTGGCTGCAAACCTAGGCCGGGGGTCTGAGCCTCACGGCCGAACTAGGACACTGCAGGTACCCCCGTCCCGTTCAGGTCCCAGGGTCAGGCATCCGGTGCTTGGCCATCTGAGGGGCTGAGTTAGCCGAGTGCCCCTGGGCAGTGGCCCACGAGGATACGGGGACACTTTCTCGTGGAGCCACGACTGTCCTGCTTCCTTGTGCCTGGCCAGCTTGCTACGCGGACATCCCGAAGATCATATATGCCTCCAGGACTCACTCGCAGCTCACACAGGTCATCAGCGAGCTTCGGAACACGTCTTACCGGTGGGTCAGCCGGCGTTCCCTGCCTCTGAGTTACGGGGGCCTGGCCTCGGCCTGGTGGCTGATGAGCCTGTGCCTGGACCCCAGCTCAAGGGCCCACCGCGCCCTGCGTGTGGCCGGGCTGCCTCCAACGCCTGCTGCTTGGGGGGAAGCAGCTTTGAGTTTACGTGCTGACCTTGGCTCGCACACCGAGCCCCTGGCAGGCCCTGTGGTGTGTGAGACGGTGTGCGTACGTGCAGTCACACACGTGAGTGGGAGGCAGGCTCTGCCCCAGGCCTGTCGGCAGAGCTGCAGGGGTGCCGGCACCTTGGCTGGCCTCCCTGTGAGCCAGCGTGAAACGGTGTGGACTCTGTCGGGTCTCCCCCTGCCCGGCCCCTGCCTGGGCTCCCTGCTCGCCTGGGGCCAGGCCTGGGAGAAAGCCCCTCCCAGGGGGTGTTCTGGACATGGCCACTCTGCCTGGCTGCCCCCGTGAGCGGAGTGTCCGGTGCTCCCTGCGTGTCCCCGCACAGCCCTTGCTGCGGGGTGGCACTGCCCTCTGGTTCTTGGTCCCCATGGCTGTCCCCCCCCAGGCCCAGGGTGAGTGTGCTGGGCTCCCGGGAGCAGCTGTGCATCCACCCTGAGGTGAAGAAGCAGGAGAGCAACCACCTGCAGGTGCGTCCCTGGTGCCACTTGTCCTTGGCCCGGCCAGGTGGCACTCTCAGAGCCCCTGGGTGGGAGACGGTGGGTGGAGGGCTGGCTGAGGGGCAGGGGCGGGGGCAGCACCCAGATCGGGGGCAGCACCGCTGGCCGGTCCAGTGCTCTGCCCTTTCTCGGCCACCACATGAGCCGGGACCACACCTCCTCCCTACCCAGATCCACCTGTGCCGCAAGAAGGTGGCAAGTCGCTCCTGTCACTTCTACAACAACGTGGAGGGTGAGGCAGCGGCTGGGAGTAGGGCGGGTGCGGGTTTCTCGGCCTGATGGCTGCGCCCCTGGGCTCTCTCAGCTGGGTGAGGCAGGTGCCTGCCCTGTCCCCTAAGTGGGGCCTGTGCTGGACGGCGCACAGGTGGGCCCACAAAGGGCCTGGGGGGCCCTCTCGGAAAGGCCTGCTGGCCAGGCTGGCTCCCCGTGACAGGAGCACGGCTTTCGGGAGGGTCCCCACTACCCCTGATAGGAGGGGCCACCCCAGCCTGAACTGTTGGTAGCCGGCAGGGTGCATGCTGAGTGTCCACTTCCCTCTGGGAGTCTGCAACTCAGTGCCCGTCGGGCAGGGGTGGCCTGTGCACTTTCTTGTCTGTGCTCTGTGGCTCGGGGGCTGGAGGTCCCCTCTGTCCCCTGCCCCAGGGTTGGGACTGAGAGAGACCCTGACCCGGGGGCACGTGGGCCCTGCAGTACTGCCCACCTGGGCGGCGGCTCCCCTCCCAGTGTGAAGCACCCTGCGCCCTGCCCCTTGGAGGGGTGGGTGGGGCATGTGCCAGATGAGGACGTGGCTACGGCCCCCTCGGGCCCCCGCTGCTCGGCTGGGCTCCTGGGACTCGCTCTGGGCCTGTTTGGTTTGCTCTGGTGGCACCGAGGGCTCTCAGAACAGCAAGGCAGGGCGTGCGGCCTGGGCCCAAGAGCCCAGGTGGCCTTGGTTGGTGTCCCGTCCGTGTCAGTCCCGCGGGTGCTGGTGGCACTGACGGCCTTCTTCCTCCTCTGCTTCTGGATCCCGCCCCCCGGCCCCGCCTTCATCCCTCCTGCCTCCGTCCAGCCTGGGCTCGGGCCCTGCCCTGAGGGAAGCCCTCAGGGTGGCCGCCCCCTCTGCCCACTTCATAGGAGCCATTCTGCCCTGGGGCCTGGGGATTCAGAGAGCATGGCTCACTCCTGCCTGTACCCCCAGAGAAGAGCCTGGAGCAGGACCTGGCCACCCCCATCCTGGACATCGAGGACCTGGTCAAGAGCGGGAACAAGCACAAGTGAGTGCCGCCCTCGAGGCCACGCTGGCGCGTCCTCCCGGCGGGGCTCCTGCCACTGCAGACGCGCAGGTTTCTTTCCTGTTTTACTCACGAAACCGACAGTCATTTGAAAAACGGGAGCAGCTCTGGGAAACGGACAGTAAGAGGGGGAACAGCCCCCGGACCCGTGCTCAGCCCACCCACCAGGCTCCCGCGGCCTGTGTTCAGGGCTCAGCTCTGCACCCACCACGCACGGCCCCGCCCTCGCCCCTCTGGTGCTGGCTGTCCGCTTCCCAGCGCACACGGGCTCCATTTGCTGTGACCGATCCCCCAGAACAGGGCTGAGTGGTCTCGTTCCCGTAGGTTTTTGAGTAGGTGACCCACTCCCGGGGATGAGCACACGTCCCCCCCGCCCGTGCGGTGTCCTCCAGAGGACACAGCGCCCGTCCTGGACGCCTGCCCGTGTGCGGCTCACATCCTGTCACTGCGCCCCAGGCTGTGCCCGTACTACCTCGCCCGGAACCTGAAGCAACAGGCCGACATCATCTTCATGCCGTACAACTACTTGCTGGACGCCAAGGTGAGGGCTCAACCGCCCAGGAGGACTTCCGACCTGGGGCGCCCCAGGACCCTCAAGGGGCGTCGGAGCCTCTGTGGGTTCGGGTCCCGGGGTTCAAGACTCCCTCAGAGCAGTGGACATGTGGGGACCCCAGAGTCCCTTGCTGGCCAGGGCTCTCTGAGGCCAGCTTGGGTGGGCGGCAGGGGCAGTGAGGGGACCTCGGGGCAGCCTGGGCTGTCCCTGCCCTCATCCAGCAGCCTCACCGCAGCCCCAGAGCGTCACCACGCTCGGCCTTGGGGACGCTCGGCCCTCCCGTTTTAATGTAGGGGCATCACGCGCCCTGAGTGCAGGGGTTAGAAAGCACTGTGGATGTCCCCTGCCCAGCGCCCTCAGTGTCGATTGGGTCCTGGGTACCACGGTGACAGAGCCACCATGCAGGGCGTGGGTCAGGGTCTGGGAGGCCGCAGGGAGCAAAGCCAGTGCCGTGTGCAGGGCTGAAACCTGCAGCCGAACGGGCACAGGAGCAGGCAGCGCCCGAGGGCTGGGCCACGGGTGCAGCCCCGGGGCCAGTGGGGAGGGGCAGGCACCCAGGGAGGGGCACTCTGGCCCAGAGGGCGGCGGTTTGCCGAGGGCTGCATGTGATTCTCCCAAATCACACTTTGAACGGGGCTGCCAGCTCCCTCCCCCCAGAGTCGTGGTATCGTGACTGACAAGCTGGTTCTGGAGACCCCTGAAAGGCTAACAGTCTCAGAGCAGGACAGTCCCGACAAGGGCTGGTGGGCACTGAGTCCGGGACTGACCCACGGGCACTGGCTCCGTCCGTCGTGCGCTTCTTTCCCAGTGTGGTGCCGGCTTGGCTAGCGGTCTGCTTGGGAAACAGCAGACCTCAGCCGGGACTTGGTGTTTCGAGACCCAGCGGCTGAGCTGCTCAGAGCAAGCCTGGGGGGCTGCTGCAGTCTGGGGGGCCGAGGGTTCTTGGCTCAGACCCACAAGGCACCAGCCACAAAGGAAAAACCTGATATGATACCGTGGTCACCGCCACCCCTTAAAGCCTGGGTCTTCGTAAGGGCCGGGAAGCTAAGAAGGTCAGCGCAGGTCACAGGCCGGGGGAAAGCGCCCCCGGGCACTCACTTGCAGGGGGCCGTGCCCACGTGTGCGCAGCTCCTGTGGCGCAGGCGTGGCCGCTGCAGAGGAGGCTCAGGTGATGCCGCGGGGACCACGGGGGAGGGCCCTGCCTGCCCTCCCGGACGCTGGAAATCCAGAAGACCGGGGCCTAGCACGGCTGGTGTCTGCGAGGCCGTAGCGCTCCAGACGGCAGGCATCGTTGCCGCTGGCAAGGGTCAGGCCGCCCTGGAGAAGCAGCTGTGTCCCTGCCTTGCACGTCCAGCACAGCTGGGGACAGCTCACGTGTCTAGAACAGCAGCGAGCGGTCAGAGGCGCAGCTCAGCAGGAGCTGTGGGCTCGGTCCCCGGGCGGCAGGAGTGCCGTGCTCGCGTGTCTCCACGGGGCACTTTATTTTAGGAGGAAACGTGCCCTTCGGTGGGAGAGAAGCACGGTGCCAGACCGTACCGCCCGTGGCCAAGTGTGCCGGGTGGCACGCGGGGCTCCATCGCCCTCCTCCTTCCTGCGGCTGCGTGGCGTGCCATGCCGAGGGGTCACGTGCCTACTCCCTCCTGCTGCCAGTCACTGGGCTGGACCCCTGACCTCCAGCTCAGTGATGGTGGGCAGTGCCTGGCGCCCTGACCAGCCACCACCCTACAAAAGTGTGAGAGGGCTTCTCCCCGTGTCCCCAGCAGTGTAGGACTCAGCTGGAGAGGGCTGTGCCTTGGTCTCCCCCTCCCTGCCTGGCCTTGGGGCCTCGAGGCCTGTGGCTGCCCCGGGCATCTCCAGCCCTGCACTCTCTCCCCTCGCAGAGCCGCCGGGCACACAGCATCGACTTGAAGGGGACGGTCGTGATTTTCGACGAGGCACACAACCTGGTGAGCTTCCCGGCCTCCCTGTGGCGTGGCTGTCGGGACCAAGTGCCCACTGGCTCCAGGCACCAGCGGCCGGTGGGCCAGATTGGACTCTTGAGAGCAGCCAGAAACCTGGGCTTTAACGGGGGTTTTCCAATCACCGAACGCCGGCTGCTGGAGTCAGTGGTTCTCAAACGCTGGCCTGGGCCCGAGGGGCAGGCTGGGCTCTCTGCGCCCCTCAGCTGGGCACCACCAGCCCGTGACCTGGTGTGCTCGGCCTCCCAGGAGAAGATGTGCGAGGAGTCGGCGTCCTTTGACCTGACCCCCCACGATGTGGCTTCTGGACTGGACGTCTTGGACCAGGTCTTGGAGGAGCAGACCCGGGCGGCGCAGCAGGACGAGCTCCGCTCGGACTTCAGCCTGGACCCCGGCCCAGGTGAGCTCGCAGGCTGGCCGCCCGGGGCCTCGAGGGCGGAGGGGGGTCCACCCGGTGTTCTGGCGCTGTCTGGAGACTTGTCACCCTTGCCGGCTGGCGTTCTTTCCCTCTGCTGAGCCGGCGTGGAAACGGGTTTGTGGACCTCAAGACAGTTTCAGTGACCTGGGAGTGGGGCCCACATGCCACCTACTCACGGATTTGTCCCCAGAGGTTTCCGCGGGCAGCGGTTATCACAGGGGATGTGGGCAGCTTTGGTGGCCTGGCAGTCTGCCCACACGTTATCCGTGGCTTTCCTGGGGGCCAGACCCTCGGAGGTGGGGTCTCCAGCGGTCGCCCTGGGCTTTCTGCCTCGTGCCCCGTGCTGCGCGGGCAGCGTGGTGGCCTCCAGGTCCTCGTCCTTCCTCAGTCACAAAGGTGCACAGGCCCCACGGGCAGCGGGGTCGGGCGCTCTCCCTCCGCCCTCTCACCCAGGGGGCCGCCGTGGGTCCTGGCCGGGTCCCCAGTCTTGGTCTTGAGACGCAGTGTTTGCCGGTGTTGGCCCAGGACCCCGTGCATCCTGGGACTGACTGAACTTGGCTTGTGCGGGCCCATCAGTGGGGTGGGCGCTGCGTCAGCAACGCGAACGGAAACCTTGTAGATGTGTCCACTCGTTTAAACGGCAGCCGTGGGACGGTGGCAACAGTGTCACCCTGAGAGGCTTCAGCACAGAGGCTGAGCCTGTCCCCTGTGGGGCCAGAAGTCACACGGTCCAGGGCGTGGGTTGCAGCCCCCCCCAGCAGGCAGCACCCCAATCCCTCCCTCACGCTGTCTCCCCTGGGTGTCTGCGTCCAGACTTCCCTGTCCCCGGGGGGCCGCCCCAGCCCACTGTGACCTTGTAACCACGTCGTGACGGCAGAGGCCCCTTTACAGAGAAGGTCCTGCTCCCCAGCTTTGCTGACACGTCTCGGGCTGAACCGCGTCCTCCACAAGGGACAGACGCGGGTCCCCCAACGTGGCAGCGGGAGTAACGTTCGTCTTGAAAGACTTTGTGTGAGTGAGAAGGGCCACAGCTTCGCAAGCCCCTTCAGTGTCCGTGGGAACGGGAACGTGGGCCTCACACCTCCTGCCTCTGTCTGACGAGGGCCGCCGCGCTGCTGGGCCCCGTCCCGGCCGTGGCGGTCAGCGCAGACTCCACCCGTCACCATCTCAGAGGTCCCCAAAACACCGCCTTTCTTTGGGGCTCCGGGGAGAACCCACTCGAGGCCTTTCCCAGCTCCAGCTGCCCCGTCCTCCGCTCCCCTCCGACCCTCGCCCCTGCCCCCTCCGACCCGCCGATCCCGCTGCTTCCCCTGCACAGTCCCCGTCTCAAGGGAGGCACACACTCCGGGCTCTGGGGACCAGGGCAAGCCCATGTCGGGCTCACTGGGGGCCTCCGGGATCTGCGTGTGCGTTGAAGAACAAGAGAGAAAAAGGCGCATAGTGCGTTGTGCTTGGTGGTCACTCACAGCAACACTACAGACGTGGGCTTGTCGCATCCTGGTCGGGGCTCGGGGCTGGGCCCCCCGCCCCGCCTGTTTGCCTGCGGCCGAGGGGACAGGCACCCGAGGGGATGGTGGTGCTTCCCGGGGCTCAGCAGAGCTGCCCCGGGCTGGTGGTCGTGGGCGGTCTCCCACCTCAGCACTTCTTCGGGGGTCCTCACTCCGGAGTCGCCGCTTCTCTGAGGGTCTTTGTCTTTAGGGCCAGTCCTTCTGCCATCTCTGTGTGGACTGTTGTGGGTCGGCATCGTCCGCGGTACGACGCGGTTTCCGGACGGGTCAGAGCGGTGCTCTGCGCTCCCCGCCCTTCCGCACTGCGCCCCGAAGCGCGTCTCTCGCGGCCCCCTCCCGCTTCACCGTGGTCGTCCGGTTCGGGTCGCACAGTGGGTTTCCTTTCCTGCTTCATTTTCTTTTTTCATTCTTCTCTGTCTGTGCAACGCGCCCGTGAAACCATCTGTGAGGCGCTCACAGAGCCCCAGTGCGCTCAGGAGAAGGTCCGGTCCCAGTCCCTGCCTTTGGGCGCCGTTGGCTCCCCGCCGCTGACCCCGCTCCCCTTCCGGCTCCCTGCTCTGTCTCCCGGGAGTGCACGCTCGGTTGTGCTTCGCCGTGTTTACTCCCGAGTGTGCCCTGCCTCCCGGCACAGACGTCCTGTTCTCCGGCGCCAGGCTCCCTCCTGCGGCTCTTCCCGGCCCCCCACTGCTTTCAGGGAATTGGGGTCATTTCCCGAACGTTGCAGTCACGGGCAGTGCTGCGGTGGGTGACCTCGTGTGCCTGTACCTGCCTCGAGCGTGAGGTGTTGACTCAAGGGACTTCCCAGAAGTGAGGCCTCGGGCCAGCGGGGGGGGGGGGGGGGGGGGGGGGGCGTGTCTGTGGGCAGGAGGCCAGGCCGTCCTCCCGCCGCAGGGGGAGCGAGGTTGGGGGCAGGGCTGGGTGGGGCCTCAGCCTTTCCCATTCTGGCCACTTTCTTGAGTGAAAGGCGGACCTCTGTCTGATGCTGTTGGCCTTTCTGTAAGGAGTGAGCAGGCCTCTTTTCCTTTGTGTGGGGACCTTGATGTTTTAGGCCAGAGCCGCCCTGGGGCGTGGGCGTGGGCGTGGGCGGGTTCCTGGGTGGGACCGCTGCCCCTCCCCCCCCAGCCTGCTCTCATCTGGGAAGCATCTCAGACGTTGCCTGTTGCTGGTGGCCGTGCCGTCTGGCACAGGGGCTCTGGTGGAGTCAGTGGGTGTTTGGTAGCCTGTCCCTTAGTTGGAACTCTGATGTTTTTCTCGGAAACTTGTCAGCAGGAGTAGCACAGACGTCAGCTGTCCCTTTGTCACTTCCCTGTCAGGGTTCCCACGAGTCACCCCATGCTCCTGCTTAGCACAGCCTGCTCCCGGGGCCGCTCCCCGAGGTGGCCGTCTCCCTGACCCTGACCGTAGCCAGCGATCAATTCTCTGGAAGTGACCCTGGCAGTACAGTCACCCAGAGAAGTCACGGGCAAACTGGACTTTGTCAAAATTTAAAACTCGGTGTTTCCGGGGACAGAACGTCGGCCCGGGGGCCTGGTGGGGGTCCAGAGTGTGTCCGGAGCCCCTGCAGCTCTACAGGGAGATGGCCAGCCCACTAAAAAGGGGCGGGAGTCTCCTGGCTGGGCGGCTGGCTGGTTAGAGCACCTTTCCTTCGCCTACAGCCCGCGGGTTTGACTCTCAGTCATGCCTGGGCTGTGGGTTCGATCCCCAGTCTGGACACATAGGGTGGCAGCCAAATCGAAGTTCCCCCCACCCCCTCCCTCGCTCTCTGGAATCAGTGAAAAATGTCCTCGGGTGGGGATGAAAACCCTTCTTCAGAGACGCTGTGCCGATGCCTGGTGGGAGCACCGGGCTTGTCAGCAGGGAGGTGGACAGGACCTGGTGGGGGGTGGCCACGCGCAGGGTGGAGGACTGGACAGGCGCTGTGAGTGCCGGGGCGGCCAGGCTGCTCCCACGCCACTGCGGGGGGCTGCTGCCCACCAGAGGCCGAGGGTGGGGCTCTCGGGCAGACGGGAGTGAGTGGCGGGTGCTCTGGCCTGGGTGGGGCCGTGCCCGGGGGTGTGCCCACCTCGCCACTCCATCTGCCCACGAGGGTCCGGCTCATGGGCCGGTCTTGCCCCACGTGCTCTGTGCTGACGCCCTTCTTACAAGAGGCTGGACAAGCGCCTCGTTTTCCCCTCTGTTTTCCCAGCTTCCAGCGCGAATGTGCTCTCGGCTATAGGTCCCATCGGCAGGGCATGGGTCCTCCCTGTCGCTGTGGCCACTGTGCGTCTCGTTCCCGAGCGCAGGCGCCCCATCTCCGCTGCGACTTGGGCATCGTGTCCCTTTGGCCCCGCAGCCGTCCACAGGGTCGTGACACCCACCCTCTGTCTTTCCTGCCCCAAGCCCTGGGCGCTCTCAGTGGGAGATGGCGTCCCCAGGCCCCTGCAGGGGACATTCACTGCTCGGGCTGCGCGGACGGAGCCCCTTCTCTCTGTGCGGAGCCGTGTGCGGCCGGTGGGGTGGGACGGCGCAGATGAGCTCACTGCTCTCCCCCCAGGGCTGACCCTGCAGCTGGAGGACATCGCGAAGCTGAAGAGTGAGTGCCACCCGCCCTGTCCCGCCCGCCCACCTGCTGCAGCCGGGAGCTGCCCCTGAGCACCCATGTCCCGCAGTGATCCTGCTGCACCTGGAGGGGGCCATCGACGCCGTCCAGCTGCCTGGAGATGACAGAGGCGTCACCAAGCCGGGGAGGTGAGGGAGTCGCCTGGCGGTGGAGACAAGAGCGGGGTTCTGTCCTGGCGGCGCCGCCCACCCGAGCCACCCAGTGGGTACTGCCGGCCGCCTGCCCCGGCGAGGAGGCCTCTCGGTCCCCGAGGGGCTGTCGGCTCAGCCTGGCCCCCTGCGTCCCCACCTCCAGTGCTCAGCGCCGGCCTGGGCGCACCTTCTGTTGGGGCAGTCACACCAGCCACACGTTCAGGCTGCCAGAGGGCCCAGGACACTCTGAACAGTCCCCAGGCTCCCAGTCTTCTGAGCAGCGGGGCAGTGGGCTCCTTTCCCGTAGGCAGGTACCTGGTCATCACCTGGGGTGGCTGGAACTCTCCTCGCTGCTGCACAGGGGCCCAGACCCAGGGTGTCGAGGGTCAGACTGTTCCGGAATGTTCCAGAGCCCAGGCCGCCCGGCTGCTCAGCTCGCAGGCGCCTCCCAGTTGAAGCTCAGCCTGCGCCTCACCATGGCCCCAGCCCTGGCACCCTCCCTGCAGTCTCTCCAGAGCTGCTCTTTGGGGGCCGGCCCAGAGCCACCACTGCAGGGGTCCCCGGCCTGGGGCCGGACCCTGGGGCTGAGGGGTGCTGTCCCTGGGGTCAGAGGCCTGCCACCTGCCGGCGGCCTACAGGAAAAGAGTTCGGAGCTTGGGCTCTCAGGCCCCCAGAGCCCAGCCGGGTCCCCTCTCGCAGCTTCATCTTCGAGCTGTTTGCCGAGGCCCAGATCACGTTCCAGACCAAGGGCTGCATCTTGGACTCCTTGGACCAGGTCATCCAGCACCTGGCCGGACGTGAGTCCCCGCACAGCCCTGCCCTTGCCCTGCCCTTGCCCTGCCCCCGCCGGAGCTCCCTGCGGGCTGTGAGCTGCCACCCTGCTCAGACACACAGGCATCCCCTGTCGGTGCTGGGGGGGGCGGAGCTCAGCCCCTGTCCCGGGGGTTCGTGGCCCCTGAGGCCCAAACCCTGGTGCGTCCACCATGGGGTGGTCAGTGTCCGCTGCCTCGACAGGCGCAGGGCTGTTCACCAACACGGCGGGACTGCAGAAGCTGGCGGACATCATTCAGGTAGGATGGGCCCGCCGCAGGGCGCGGGCGGCCTCTCTCCTGCTGGGAGTAGGGGCTTCCTTCTGCTCTGCTGCTGGGCCCGCTGATGACACTGGTGTCCCTGGGGCCACGGGATCACAAAGGCCACTGGCAGGGCCTGACCACAGGCCTGCAGGTGGCAGGCAGGACAGGCGCCCCAAGCCCCTTGAACACACGAACTGGGTCGGTGCTGTCCTGGGTGCCAGAAGTCACATGGGGCAGGGGAAGGGCGAGGTGGGGTGCAGGGGTGAGGGGGGTCATGGGCACGTCACCACTGGACACGGAAGCTGGTGGGACTTGAAGCTCCTGTGTGTGACGTCCCTGAGCCAGGGGTGCTGTCGGCTCAGTGGCAGGGGTGGCGCCGGCGATGCCCAAGTGTCTGTCCTACACGTGGGGGCCACTCAGGGGGCCCCGTCTCAGCTGTGTCCTGCTGACATCCCTGCCTTCCAGGTCGTGTTCAGCTCGGACCCGGCAGAGGGGGACCCCAGTTCCACGGGGGCGCCTGGAGCCTCTCAGTCCTACAAGGTAGGGGCTGCCTCTGGGGGGCTCTGGGCAGGGGTCTCTGGTGTGCAGGGTGTCGGGACGCCTGCCCTCTGCCCTCCAGGTGCACATCCACCCTGACGCCAGTCGCCGGAGGACAGCCCAGCGGCCAGACGCTTGGGGTGCCACGGCCGCCAGGAGGCAAGGTATGGCCCTAGGGGGGCGGACAGGCTCCCCCACCTGGCCAGCGAGGAGCCCAGCCCAGCTGGCCTGTGTCCAGCTGTCTCCCGGGGGCCTGCCTTGCTGTCTCAGAGACCTGTGTGAGCTGGAAGGCGTCAGGGGAGACCCATTGGCCAGGTGCAGAGGTGCTGGGTGGGTGCCCACACCACTGGGGACGGTTTTGGAAAGGTGTGTCATGCTGTCCTACCAGGCGGGCCACTGTGGGGAAGCTCTGGCTGAGGCCACCCCACAGGCCTGGAGGCCACATGTGAGGGTTCGCTCGCTGGCCGATGTGCCTCAGGCCCCCATCGTGCCGGTCCTCCCCCCACACACACACACCTGTTATGGCTCAGGCCTGTGTCTGGCCCTGTTCACTCAGCAGCAGCTTCTCCTGGGCCCAGCCCCTGGGGCCGCTGGGGACACTCAGGGCAGGGTCTCTGCCAGGTGCTCTGTGACTCTTGCAGTGGGGGCCTGGACCAGCCCAACACGCATTCTTCTAGTCTGGGCCCGGCTCATGTCCTGCTGTGGCCCCTGGGTGGGGTCTGCAGCCCAATAGGTCCCGGTGACAGTCCTGTGGTCAGGGTCTAGTTCCATCCTGGCCACCTCTTGGCGCGCTGGGGCCCCTTCCACGTCTCCGTGCCCCTGCTGGCCGTCTCTTGGCCTTGCAGGTCCTGGGGTGCTGCCTGCGTGGTGGGCGGCTGCGCAGCGGCCAGTCCGCTCCTTACACAGCATCGCAGTCCCAGGAGGCCGCCTGCGCCGCCTGCGCCGCCCTCCCTGCAGGGCTGGGCCTCCGCGCTGGGGTCCCACGGGCACCAGGGCCAGGGGCCGCCAACCGCGTCTCCGGTGCTGGGAGGGGGCATGTGTGCTCTTGGCCTTGGCCGTGCCCTGGGTGGATGTGTGCAGGAAACCGGGTCGCCCCGGGTCCCCCTGTAAGGCTGGGCGGGTGGGGGGACCTGGCTCACCCCCGTCGCGCGGCCGCACCTGCTCTCACTGTGAGAAATGGCTGAACCGTAGAGCGCAGGCTGAGCCCCTCACCCCTGGTCACGGAGCAGTTACATCGACGGAGCCCTACGGTTACATTGACTCTTCAACGGCCACCGAGGGGTGGACGCGGCCCGGGTGGAAACGCGACCCACTCCCCAGCCGTAGGGTTTGTGTGGGTATCTGAGCCCAGCAGACACAATTGCCCGGAAGCGAAGTCTCAGCAGGTTGTCCCAGCACTTATCGTCCACAGCAGGGTCGGAGGAGGGGGCTGAGGGTCCACAGGATGCTAATGGGGGCTGGTCAGGGGCAAGAGGAGACACGGCGGAGGCCTTGGGGGGATGGCAGTGCAGACGGGATGGGGGTGGTGGCTCCCGGCCCGCCCTGTTGCCCAGCTCGTGCCCTGAGGGGACGGACTGCCCACATTCCGCAGGCGTGTTGTCACACGGTCGCCCCCGCAGAGCACGCCAGCCGGGCCCAGCTGACGTGAAGGCCGGCCTTTGTGGGGGAGGGTGCAGGCCCAGGACGTGCCGCCACCCACGGCTGCTCCGGCTGAACTTGTAGTCAGAACGCCCTGCACATCTTTCCGTCTTGGAGGGTGGGGGCCGCCTGTCGGGTGGGGGGGTGTGGCCCCTCCCATCCTACTTGGGGCTGTCCCAGGACCCTGCTCCCGCCGGCTGGTCCTCTGCGTCACAGGACAGGGCCCATCCCAAAAGTGGAATGGGCTTCTCCGGCCCCCAAAAGTGACCTGTCCTTTTCTGGAAATGCCCTTGCTGACCTGTGACCTAGTCGACTTTGGGTCGTGTCTGGAGTCACTGGGCTCTGTCTGCGTCTCTGGAGCAGACGGAGCCCCGGGCAGTGCAGAGGTGGCTCAGGTCTTCCCAGGGGCCCGGTACTGAGGAGCTGCCACTCCCTGCGAGGGGACCTGGTGGAGGGGGACGTCACTGCTCTCCTGGGGCAGGCTTCCTGCCCCCCAGAGCCTGGCCTCGAGGTTTCCCAGGGGCCTGGGCTGCCCCGAGAGCCTGAGGTGGGCCTGCCTGGCCCCCCTGGAGGTGACCCCGCGTCCGCCCCCAGGGTTTCTCTGGGTCTGCTTCCTGCCTCCCAGGTCCCAGGCCCGGTCACACTGTCCACTCGGCAGGCTCCCTCCATCAGAACTGCGTGTGGGGTGGGCCGCTTGGGGCCCGTGGAAGAGAGACTCTCAAGGGGCAGCCAGGCCCCCCCCCCCCCCATTGGCAGCCACACCCAGCCTCACACTCGCCCCACAGGGAAGGTGCTCAGTTACTGGTGCTTCAGCCCCGGCCTCAGCATGCGCGAGCTGGTCCGCCAGGGCGTCCGCACCCTCATCCTTACCAGCGGGACGCTGGCCCCCGTGTCCTCCTTCGCCCTGGAGATGCAAATGTAAGGCTGCCTGGGGTGGGGGGTCTCGGGCCAGTGCGCCTTTGGCAGAGGGCTGCTTTCGTGAGGAGTGCAGAAGCTCACGTGGGACACCCGCTGCTTCCAGCCCTTTCCCCGTCTGCTTGGAGAACCCACACGTTATTGACAAGCACCAGATCTGGGTGGGGATTGTCCCCAAAGGCCCCGATGGAGCCCAGCTGACCTCCGCCTTTGACAAGCGGTAGGGGGCCTGGCGGGGGCAGGCAGGGGTGGGGGGCAGCGTGTGGGACCCTGCGGCAGCCGCCCTCTGGCTTCCTACAGGTTCTCTGAGGAGTGCTTGTCCTCCCTGGGGAAGGCGCTAGGTGAGTTCCAGGGGCCCCGGCCCAGCATCCCGTCCTGGGTCCCATCCGTGGTGTCTGGGAGGTCGGGGGCCTCAGGGAGCCCCTCCGCTGACCTCGGCTGCTGTGCTTCCAGTGAACTTCGCCCGCGTGGTCCCCCACGGGCTGCTGCTCTTCTTCCCCTCCTACCCCGTCCTGGAGAAGAGCCTGGAGTTCTGGCGGGTGTGTTGCCCCCGCACGTCCTGGGGGTGGCAGGGGTCCCCTGGGCCACCAAGGGAGGCTGCGGGGCAGCCAGTGGCCTGTGGGTCTCAGGATCCTGACACCCCCCACCCCCTCCTGCAGGCCCATGACTTTGCGAGGAAGCTGGAAGCCCTAAAGCCGCTGTTTGTGGAGCCCAGGGGCAAGGGCAGCTTCTCAGAGGTCTGAGCTCGCTGGGGGTCCGCTGTCCTGGGCCGCTCACTGTCCCTCCAGGAGCTCTGGCCCTGGCCCTGGACGTGAGGCCAAGGTCCTGCTTGGCCTTGGCCTGTGGCTTTTGGAGAGTTTGGGTGGCAGTGGTGGCAGTGGTGGCAGTAGACGTTCAGGAAGTGAGGCTTCCCTGCCCCCGGCCCTGGGGCCCTCGTGTTTCCTGGGAAGTGCCGAGCAGGCCCCAGGTGCTGGATACCAGTCAGCCTGGGAACCGGGCCAAAAGAAGCTTCTGGCATGTCACCCCAGCCTCCTGGCTGGGACAGTCCTTTACCTCAAAGGACGAGGCACAGGGTCTTGCTCGTGGAGGTGGGGAGGCCTGGGCAGCTCAGGGGGACCCGCCTTTCTCTGCAGGTGATGGGCGCCTACTATGCGAGCGTCACTGCCCCAGGGTCCCGCGGGGCCGCCTTTCTGGCCGTGTGCCGGGGGAAGGTGAGGCCGGGGTGGGGGGGGTGAGTCTGGGTCCCACCACACTCACTGCCTATCTCCCCACCCATGGGGGCTGACACCCTGGACCTGGGGGCGGGGCAGGCTGGTGTGGGGGGGGGGGCTCTCGAAGATGGCACTGTCCCCAGGCCAGTGAGGGGCTGGACTTCGCTGACGTGAATGGCCGAGGTGTGGTCGTCACGGGTCTCCCTTACCCGCCACGCAAGGACCCCCGGGTCGTCCTCAAGATGCAGTTTCTAGATGAGATGAAGGGGCGCAGTGGGGCCGCAGGCCAGGTGAGCGGCCACCTGGTGGGCGGGGTTGGGGGGCCTGGAGGCGCCTCGTGACTGTCCTCCCCCGCAGTTCCTCTCCGGGCAAGACTGGTACCGACAGCAGGCGTCCCGGGCTGTGAACCAGGCCATCGGGCGCGTCATCCGGCATCGCCACGACTACGGGGTCGTCTTCCTCTGTGACCACAGGTGCGGCCCCTCTCTCCTCGGGGTCTCTGCCTGGGCACTGGGCTGGGGGCCAGGGCCCTGGGCTGACGGCCTCCCCCTGCCAGGTTCGCTGGTGCGGACTCCAGAGCCCAGCTGCCATCCTGGGTGCGTCCCCACGTCAAAGTGTACGACCGCTTCGGCCACGTCATTCGAGATGTGGCCCAGTTTTTCCGGGTCGCTCAGAAAACGGTGAGTCCCAGCTGTCTAGCTGGCCATGTCCTCGGCTTCCCCCCCCAGGGGAGGAGCCGGGTCAGCCCCCCAACCGTCTGTGGCTGTCTAGATGCCGGTGCCGACCCCGCTGGCTGCCTCAAGCTTGGGTGAGGGCAAAGGCCCCACCCCAGGGGCCCTGTCCCTCGGGCCACTCTCGCCCAAGAAAGCCAAGAGCCTGGACCTGCACGTGCCCAGCCTGAGGCGGAGACCCGCAGGTGCGCGAGGCGGGAGGCGGGGCTGGGCAGGCGCTGTTCTTAGGAGGCGGGTGGCTGGCCGGCCTGACTTCGGCCAGGGACTGGCTTGCCCCCTGCAGCCACCTTGGTGGGCCCCACCTCTGGGCTCCCCACAGGACTGCCGGACACCGGGGACTCTGAGGACTCGGAGGGCGGCCTGTGTGTGGAGTATGGGCAGGAGCCGGCTCACGGCCAGCGAAGGCCTGTGGGGCTGCTGGCCGCCCTTGAGCAGAGCGAGCAGTCGGCTGGAGAGCCTGGGGGCCAGGCCGGGCCTGCGGAGGAGGAGGTGCAGGTGCGGGTCCTGAGGGAGGAACAGCCACCGGGCACTGCGGTCTGTTCTCTGACACCGCCACGCTCCCTTTCCCCACGCCCCCGTTGGACGGGCAGGGGGTTCGCAGCACACTCCTAATTCCCTGTGGGTGCTCCCCAACACCCCACTGTGGGTTCTCGCCATGGTCCGCTCAGGGAGCCTGGCTGTGGCCCCACCAGCACCTGTCCTGTGGCGCATGCCCACAGACCCTTCACTAGGGCCAGACCCAGAGACCCTGAGTCCTGCGGGTGCCCCCCTCAAAGCCCAGTCAGTGACTGCAGGACCTCGAGCCCCACCCTGCTCTCAGCTCAGCCCCTAGCCAGCCCTGAGGGAGGCCGCGGTGGGGCTGGGGGAAGGGGCCCAGCGCTGTGGCACTCGGGCTTTGGGGGCCCTGAGGGTGGGGTGGGGATCACAGCTGTGTCACTCTCAGGCACCGTGCGGCTCCGGCTCATCCCCGCCCAGGGAGAAGAGGTCTGCCGGGGAGCAGGCAGGAGGGAGAAGGAAGATCAGGCTGGTTAGCTGCCAGGTAGGTAGGCCACCCACAGGTAACACCGGGGTGGCTTCTGCTTGGAGGCCCAACCCGCATCACTTGACTCTCCTGTCCGCTGGTCACCTTCATCCCGGAGTCCCGGGTGAGGCTGGTTTGTCCCGACAGTTCCCAGACCGGCCTTCCCACCTGCACATCTGTGTTTGTGGGCGCTGGGCCTCTGTCTCCCTTTAGCCTCTAACTGTGGGAGCTGGGAACTTCCTAGTGTGGCACCAGCCTGCACGTCTCCTGCTCAGCGGGTAGCGGCCTCTACCCCCTGAGCTCCACAGACCTGTGGTCCATCGGATCCAGGCCCTGCAGAACCTGGGGCTCCTTCTACAGAAGGCCCCACCCACACCCCAGCAGCAGGGGCCAGGCTCCTGCCCCAGAGGCTGCCGCAGGGTGGGCTGGCAGCTTACGGCCCCTGCCCCCCCACCCCCACCCCTGCCCAAGCAGGGCCGGCTCTGGCAGGAGGTGGGCACCAACATGCCCACATGTGGGGAGGGTCCGTGTTAAGAGCAGCTGAGTGACAGGCTGAGCCAGGAAGCCTCTGGAAAGCCCCGCACGCTGCCTTTGTCTTCCTTCTGGGAAGAGCCAGGCGGTGCCCAGAGCGAGAGGGGGGAGGGGGCGGGTCTGTGGGGCCCCCACCCTTCCTGCTCCAGGGCCCGTGTCAGGCCTGGGGTGCGCGTCGGCACAGAGCTTTGGATTCTTCCCGTCTCTGGGTTTGGGAAGTGCCCCTGCCGCCGGCTGCTGCCCTCTGAGCCAGGAGTGTCCTCCAAGGCCGGGGGAGCCGCTGGTGGGGCCTGGCATCCCGGGGTCTGATCTACTCACATGGCCCCCAGGGTCACGGGGGGCCGTCTGGGGACCTCCCTGTGGGTCAGTGGGACCCCTGACCGCCTGCTGGCCGCGCCCAGGGGCGTGCAGAGGGTCAGTGCTTCTGACGGGGCTCCGGGCTCCTGGCAGGGCGGGCTGGCAGCCGGCGCCCAGGCGGACAGGGCCCAGCTCTTCATGGCGGCTGTGAAGCAGGCGCTGAGCCAGGCCAGCTTCGACCGCTTCGCCCGGGCCCTGCAGGAGTACAAGGGCTCGGACAACCTGCAGGCCCTAGTGGGCCACCTCGGCCCCCTCTTTGCTGAAGACCCGAAGAACCACAGCCTGCTCCAAGGTGCCTTGGGGCCGGGCTGCGGGGCTGACCCCGCCCCTTGCGGTGGGGGGAGGGGCTGTGGCCCACATGTGCCGACCCCCCTCCTCCCAACAGGCTTCTGCCAGTTTGTGCGGCCACACCACAAGCAGGAGTTCGAGGGGCTCTGCCTCCAGCTGACGGGCCAAGGCTGCGGCCCCCTGCCTGTGCAGAGCCGTCCTTGTGGGCGGGGGGCACGGCCAGCCCTGGACCATGGTGGTGAGCAGGTCCTTCCCCAGCAGTACCCTCAACCTCAGACCCAGAGGGCGGCTCCTGGGGTCTTGGCGTGGGGCCCAGCCTCTGGTTTCTCATAGGGGGGCACCATATGGGGGGAGGTATGGGCCCCCAGCTCATGCACAGCATGGGGGGCCTGGAACCCTGCTGTCCCTCCCCTGACAGGATGCCCTACACCCCAGAGCTGGGGAGCCTGTCTCTTAGTGAACAGTCCACCCTGGGCAGGGGCTTCCCCCAGGATAGATGTCATGGGGGCCTGGCTTTGGAAGACGTCCCAGTGCTCTGAGGAGGGGACTTTCCAGCCCAGGAACCGCCGCCCCCTCCTGAGCATGGGCCGCCAGGCGTCCCTGCACTCACCCCTCTGAGCAGTCAGCTGCCACCAGCCTGCACAGACCCCTCCTCCCAGGGACTGCCTAGAGACCCCGGGGCCGGCCAGGCGACTCCCGTGTCTGTCTCTTCAGGCCGGAGGGAGCCTGTCCCCAGGGCGACCCTGTCCCAGGGTGCGGCCAGGCAGCTGGACCCCGGAGGGCAGCTCAACCAGGGCTGGCCTCACCTGGCCTCCAGACCACCACCTGAAGGTACCTGGTCCCCAAGGAGGCTTCTGACAGAACCGGGGGCAGCGCTGGGACCCCAGAGGGGCGTCTCTCCTGGGGGCTGCAGGGGGTGGTGCAGAGGTGCTCTGGGGCCCCACCGAGGTCCGTCCATGTGCCTTCCCCACCAGGAGAGGCCAGCAGCCGTCTGCACGAGGGCTGCCGGGCCCCCAGCCCCGAGAAGCGGAGTCAGCCTGCTGCGCGTGCCTACTTGGCCGACGCCCGCAGGGCCCTGGGGGCTGCAGGCTGCAGCCAGCTCCTGGCAGCGCTGACCGCCTATAAGCGGGACGATGACTACGAGAAAGTGGTGGCTGTGGTGGCAGCGCTGACCACCTCTCGGCCTGAGGACCTGCCCCTGCTGCAGAGCAAGTGTCTGAGGAGGCTTGGGGGGCGGGGCGGGGGGGCGGGGGGGCGGGGGCAGGGCCTGAACGAGTCCTCTCCCAGGGTTCGGCATGTTCGTGCGTCCACACCACAAGCTGCGCTTCCGGCAGACGTGCGCAGACCTGACTGGCCGGCCCACCCCCAACACCCCGGATGCGGGCACCCAGCCACCAGGACCCCAGGACGGGGGCTCCCAGGTGCCTTCCAACCTTATCCTTGGGGTCACTGAGCCAGGTAGGACGCCCTGCCCGGTACCGGGGATCCTCGCTCAGCCCCGCAGGTGAGTGCAGCAGGGCGGGGCCAGGCGCCCTGCAGACTCGCGCCTCTGTGTCCAGGAGCCTCCAAGCCAGAGCGATCACAGAGCGAGAGCTCCTTCCCCGGACAGCGGCTGGCCAGGGGTGCAGAGGGTCCCAGCCAGTCCCCCAGCGGCCCCCACAGGCAGACACAGCCCACATATGGTAGGTCTCGGGAGGAGCTGCTGGGCAAAGGCCTAGGGGCCCCTGGTGGTAAGGCAGGGGACACTACCCTGCCCGTGTCCCTCCTGCACCTGCAGGTCAAGGCCAAGCCTCAGGGACATGGCTCCTGGGCAGCACCTGCTGTGGGGCCAGGTGGTCGAGGGGACCCAGCATGTGCGTCCAGTGCCCTCTGTGTCCACAGGCCCCTGAGAGGACATGCTGTGCGGGACCTGCCACCCCACTGCCAGGAGCAGAGCGCCGTGTGGGTCTTCTGGAGACTCCGGGCTGGGCAGGGCTTCGCCAGCTGAGGCTGCCCCTCCCTGGACACAGAATGGACACTTGCCTGTTGGCGGGCATGGGCCGGGCCCGGTCACCAAGGGGTCCTGCCCACCAGGGAGGCCGGTCCAGCGAGCACAGGGCGCCCCTGAGCCGGTATCCAGGGTCGGACTGCCTGGGAGAAGCCCCAGAGCTGCTGTGCAGGGGTCACAGGAAGGTGCTTCCCCAGGTTTCCCTGGCTGCTGACTTGTGGGTGGGGCCTCAGGGCTCTGCAGCAGGAAGGGCGGCCCTCTGCTCCCGGCCGGGGACCTGCTCTGGGGGACCAGGCAGTGGGCCTGGTCTCAGGGGACAGGCTCTCCAATAAAGCACTGACACCCCTGGATGCTGTCCGTGTGGCCTGAGCTCGGGGGTGGGTGGGTTGGAGGTGCCAGGAAAGCAGGGGGGGTGCCCGCACAGCTCACCCCACCCCCCCTCTCGAGGGCTGAGGAGCACTTTGTCCCAATGGTTCGGCCTCTGTCCTCAGGGCCAGAGAGGAAGGCGCTGGACAGCAGAGGGAGAGGAGCCCCAGTGCCCCGCCCCCGCCGCCAGGCCTGGTCACTGGGTCACGGGCTGTCCCTGGCGCAGGAGGGCCCTCAGGGTGGGCCCCACACTGGATTCCGGAGGGCTGGGCCAGGCACAGCCGGACTGTGACACCACCCACGGAGACTGGGTCAGAAAAGTGCCCCCCAGGTTCTGGCCCCTCCCTGGGGTGTGGCGAGGCAGCCCTTATAGGAGGCTGCCGCGGAGGTAGAGCAACTCCACTGGCTGCAGGTAGCGGTCACTCGGACTGGGTGGGGCGCACTTCCTCGTCCAGTCCCGCTGCCCCGTTCCAGGGAGGACCATGAAGGTTCCCGACAGGCCACCCCTGACTCCGCTATGGGCACTGTCATTCCCGCTACTGGTGCTAGCCACGCGTGGGGTGGCAGAGGATGCGCCCACCTACCCGGTGTGGGATGCGGACGCACAGGAGCGGCTGACGTGCCGCCGCTGCCCCCCTGGCACCTTTGTGCACCGGCCGTGCAGCCGGAGCCGCCCCACGGCGTGCCGCCCTTGCCCGCCGCAGCACTACACGCAGTTCTGGAACTACCTGGAGCGCTGCCGCTACTGCAACGTCATCTGTGGCGCGGACGAGGAGGAGGCGCGCCCCTGCTCCGCCGTCCACAACCGCGCCTGCCGCTGCCGCCCGGGGTTCTTCGAGCTCTCCGGCTTCTGCCTGGAGCACGCCCCCTGCCTGCCGGGCTATGGCGTGGTCGCCGTCGGTGGGTGGCGGGTGCTCCGTGGGTGGCGCTGGGATTTCCTCTGCCAGTGAGGACGCCCCAACTCCCTCTGACCCCAGGCCCCTGTGTCGCCCCTAGGCACTCCCACCCAGAACACGCAGTGCCAGCCGTGCCCCCCGGGCACCTTCTCAGCCAACAGCTCCAGCGCAGAGCAGTGCCAGCCCCATCGCAACTGCACAGCCCTGGGCCAGGCCCTCAACGTGCCGGGCTCCCCCTTCCATGACGCCATGTGCACCAGCTGCCCAGGGTTCCCACTCAGCACGCCAGAGCCAGGGGCGCCGTGGGACTGGAGGGGCGCAGGTGAGCGGGGGCGCAGGTCAAGGGTAACTGGCCTGGGGACAGCAAGCTCAGCGTGTGCCCCGCCCCCAGCTCTCAGGCCCTCCAGCCCTGTGGAGGCAAGGGCCCCGCAGCCCCACTGAGCAGCGTGGACAGTGGCCCTGCTGAGTGTGCTGAGGGTTTCGGTGGGGGCGGGTAACGCCGTTCCCCACCCACCACTGGGAAACTGAGGCCCAGAGTTTAAACAGCTTGCTGGCGACCACAGCAGGTGTCCCATCTCACCCTGAGCTGAGGCCCACCAGCCCCACCTATGTCCTGGGGCTCTCCCACCTGCCTGCCCTCCGACCCCAGGCAGCTGGTCCCTCTCAGGTGCCCACACAGAGGGCCCTGCCTTGTTCGGGCCCCCCCAGGGCCCAGAGAGTGCGGGGAGCCCTCAGCCAGGGCTGGCCAAGTCCCCACCTTGCCCTGACCTTCCTGCAGGGACTGAGGAGTGTGAGCGAGCCCTCGTGGACTTCCTGGCTTTCCAGAACATCTCCTTCCGGAGGCTCTTGCAGCTGCAGCAGGCCCTGACCAGCCCAGGGGCACGGAGACTGCCGCCACCACGGGAGGACCGCGTGTCCTTGCAGAAGCAGCTGTGGCAGCGGCTTACCGAGCTCCGCGAGGCCCGGCCTGGGGAACTGGCAGCAGGGCTGTTGCGGGCCCTGCAGGCTGCGGGACTGTCCAGGGTGGAGCGTGCAGTCCGGAAACGGTTCCTCCCAGCGCCCTGAGCCCCGCCCCCCTATTTATCCCATGGAACTGGCACTTGGTTTTCATAAAGCTGTTTTGTAGAAACTGGTGTGTGAGACTGAATGCCAGGTCAGCTCACTGTGTGGTGGGGACCCCAGTGGCAGAGCACTGGGGCAGCAAGAGGCCCCGGAGCCCTTGGGTCCCTCTGCCCCACATACTAGGACGGGGCTACGTGGTAGGAGGTCTGGGAGGCAGCAGGTGTAGCCCTTCCAGCTGTGGGGGGCAGTTCATTCCAAGATCCCCAGCCCAGCTGGCAAAGATTGGGAGTGTGGGTGCCGGCCGGGCCCAGCTGAGGAGCGGGGCCTGGGAGTCGCTGGAGTCCAGGAGCTCCACCGAGGGTTAGGACCGGGTGGCCTGGCCCCTCCCCAAGACGGCCTCCCTTCCTAGACCCACCCACTCTCTACCAGTGGGGGGACTTCCCAGGAGGAACCAGCCGAAGACCTCTCCCGCCTGGAGACCCAGCAGCTTTCCGGGAGCTGCTCTTCCCTCCTGGCAGAGGGCGGCCCCTCTGCTCCTGGCGGAAACGCAGGAGGGTGGGACTCCTGGCTCTGAGTGGGCTGCCTGCTCCTCCCACAGGCCTAGGACTCCCCCGCCCGACTCTTCCCTTTCCCAACAGCTCCTCTCAAGGCTCCCTGGGGGCGACAATCTGCTGGGACCTGAGCCCAGGACAGGAGGCCACTAGGCCAGGCCATTCCCACCACAGGGAGGCAGCCTGGGAGCCCTCCTGCTGGGGCCACCACAGGGCCCTGGCCACTGGAGGAAGGATGGACGGGAGCTGCTCAGATGCTCTTTATTTTCCCCACATGCCTGCAACCGGGCCTGCTGGGTGTGGCAGCTCCCTAGGGCCTGTGACAGGGGTCCCCAGGACCAGTCCACTTGGAGGGCCTCTGCTGGGGATGCAGGCCTGGGTGGGGACCCATCTCACCCTCAGCAGGGAGCAGAGGCATAGGACACCACCAACAGGGCAGCCTGGGGACCCCAGACCCCGGCTGCCAACCACCCCCAACTGGTGCACCAGAGCGGGGACCCATGGGTGTTCCAGGTGAGTGGTAGGTGTGCTCAGGGAAGACACTCACTTCCCAGGTTTCCCATGTTGCCAGGGATCGGAGTGGTCGATGTTGGGTTGGTGGGGTGAGGTGGTGGTGGGGGGTTGGAACGGGGACACACGAGGCATCCCAGGCAGACAGCACTCCACCCTGAGGCTGCACTGGAACCATGGCTCCCCCCCCCCCCCGCCCCAGGCAGGCAGGCCCAAGGGGGTGGCGGCTTTAAACAGCATCATCCACAGGGCCCCCAATCCTGGCCTCGGGTGGGCCCAGGCCTGAGGTAGCTAGCTGCAGGCCCTGCCACCCCCGTTCCCCCGGCAGAAGCCTCCGAGCGCCCGCACTTTAGGACACACAGAACAGTCCGTCTTAGAAAACAAGGAAATGAAGACCCCGAAGGCATAGCCGGCCCCACACTCAGGTTGGTGGCTCCAGCTGGCAGGCGTCTGGGTGCTGGCTGCACCTACGTGATGTCCCTCTGCCGCGGTGGCCGGTGCACGTTCCGCACGACGCACTTCACCATCCACTCGATGCCCTCTCGCACCCCCTTGCTGTGGAGACAGCGGTGTGAGCTGGGCGGGGCCGCCCACGATCCCAGGGCGGGGCGCGGGCACCACTCACCCAGTGAGGGCCGAGCAGGCCTGGGTCAGGCAGTCTCGCCGGCCAATTTTGGAGGTGCAGTCACTGAAGGCGGTCTTGATGTCCGGAATGGAGAGGCAAGTCTGGGGGTGGGGGGCAGGCTGTGAGGAGCAGGCCCCTCCCTCCTGAGGCCAGTCCCTGGCACCCGAAGAGCAGGTGGGCCGCTGGTCCCTAGCACCGTCCGAGTGTGACGGGAGCTGGGGGATGAGGACAGGGGCGAGGCCGCAGTACTCTCAGACAAGTGGGGCAGGTGGCCGGGCTAATCTAAGCTGCACCTCCACAGGAGTGGGACATGGCTTTTTGGTGGTCCCGGGACCAGTCTCGGTCCCTCCCCAGATGCCCCCGGTTCTGTGGGGTGGGGCCGGCACTGCTGCCAAACCCGAGGGCAGCAGACAAGTCAGGGCAGCGCTGAGGCCCACTCTGCGGTCCCTTTGTCCTTTCTCTCCAAGGCTTCCCCTGGCACGCCCTGGGTCTCCAAGCTGCAGGACAGGGTGTGGCTGCCCCCCAGTGGAGACGCGGTGCCCTGCATGGCCCAGAGAGCTGTGTGTGCCCAGGGCAGACACTGTCTGAGGGAGGTGGGGCCTCCGCTGGAATGGCTGTCCCATGAGAGGGGCAGGCTCACCTCCACGTCCTGCTTGTTGGCCAGCACCAGGATGGGGACGCCGTCCAGAGCCTCACTTGTGACCATCTTCTCTGGAACAGGCAAGGCATCCGTGAGTGCCCTTTGCCCCCTGACCCTGCTACGCCCAGGAGCCCCCACATTCCTGCCGACCTCTCCACAGATGGCAACACTGCCTGCCGGACCGGTGGCCGGGGCCCTTGGACCTGACACACCCAGCTTGGGACCCTCCGGATCCATGGGCTGGACTGGAGCCTCCCCCCTGGGGAACTGGCTGGGCTGCACCCACCAAAAGCGCGCTTGGACTCAGACAGCCTCTCCTCATCCGTGGAATCGATAACATAGATGACGCCGTGGCACTCAGCGTAGTACTGGGGAGGGCAACAGGGGACTGGTTTACAGGCATGGTTTACAGGCATTCAGCGACACCCCCCCCCCCCCGCAGGCCCTTCTGGGCTGCCTCCTGGGCGCAGGGAGGCAGAGCAAAGGAGCTGCACCCTCCCAGACCCCTTCAGAAAGGGTGTGCTGGTCCTGAACAGGGGACCGCCTCCCCTGCCCACTTCCTAGGGGCAGACCCAGAGGTGCAGGGCACCCTCGGGCCCCGTGCAGATGTGGACACCAAGCCAATGCCACATTTGAAGCAACTCCGTCCCTGGTACAGGATGGCAGGGCCAAGGAACCAGCCGGCATCTCTGAGCTGAGAGCTGTATGGTCGGGGCGGGGTGGGCGGTCAGCAGCTCCTGGGAGTAGTGGCCCCCACAATCCTGACCCGCCAGAGCCTGGGTCTGGGCAGAGTGGAGGCGGTGAGGGGAACACGATGTCCCCAGGGGACAGGCACAGAGCAGGGCCCTCTGAGCGGCTGGGCCTGGGACACAGGGCGCACAGGATCGGACCGGGTGGGTCCACCTGGAGCACCGACCAAAAAAAGAGCCCTGAGGACGCCCACACTGTGGGGGCCACCTGCCGCTCCCGTTTGTCACCCAGCACATCCAGGTGCTCTGTGGACTGGGCAGGGTGGCCAGTGGTCAGCTCAATGAAGGATGCTTCGGAACACTCTTGGATGTCCCCCCCGCCCCACCTAGGAGGAGCCGCGGTCTGCACACGCTACAGAGGCGGTGCCGGGTCTCATGGGCTGTGAGTCCCCCACATGGGCCTTCCCACCAGGGGACTCGAGGGCTTGGATTCAGACAGGCAGGCCCAGACTTGCTCTGCCTCAGGGTGGTTTAAACGGCCAAACCTTCTGGCCCCAGGACAGAAGCTGCCCTCTTGGTTGGAACTCCCGGTGGAAGAGATACTTGGGGGGGACCAGGAAAGAACAAATGGACCAGGTGCTGGGATCAGCCGGACATCAGGATCTTGCCACTCAATTCTAAACGCCCAGGCCACCAGACAGTGTTGGGGAGGACGCATCTGAGCCCCCAACACTGGACCCCAAACCTGCGTGCCAGCCCGCCAGGAGGGGCGGCCCAGTGGAAGGCACCAGGTTTGTCCCACTCACTACAGACCCCAGTGCCTGGGACGGACTCCAGCCTGGGCTACATGGGGGAGGGTGCCACTGTCTCAGAAACACCCCAACCCTGTGTCCAAAAAGAAGGTAGTGGCTGTCAGCCTCTGAGGACGTCCCTGCCTGATGAGGAAGGGCCACCACGGAGGCAGGTCCCAAGCCAGAACAGAGAGAAAGCAGGTGGAGAGGTTCAGGCCTGGTGGTGACCTAGTACCAGGCGGGTGCTGTGCCTTCACCACACCTGGTTCTGGGCCCCCTTCTCTCTCGTCCCGGGATCGTTAGCAACACCTTTAAGCCAAAAGGAATCAAGGGGGTCCTCGCCGTCAGAGTGACTCAGAACCCAAAACAGGATTGGAAGGGGAGCCTCAGGAACTTAGGGGTGACAGAAGCTGCTGACAAGAAAAAAAGGTGACTCTGAGGCCTTCTGAGAAAAGGGGTGTGGGAACCAGGGAGACACCTGGTGGGAAACAGCACGAGAGGCTCACCTTGTCCCACAGAGACTGCAGCTCCTCCTGCCCCCCTAAGTCCCAGAACATGAGTCGAGCCTTCCCCACATCCACGGTGCCGACTGGGGAGAGAAGAAGCCCGCTGAGGCTGCTGCACAGCCCAGCCCGCGGCACACACCTCTCGGCTCTCCTGCAGACAGCATGCTGCTCCGACGCCCCAGAGACAGGCCAAACGCTGGTGGCTGCAGATGTCCCCACATCCTCAGGGGACTCCACACCCACAGCCCTCTGGGATCCCCTTACTGTTCAGACCCACGGTGGTGGTGATCTTGGAGAGGCTCATCCCCTTGTAGTTCTTGCTAAACCGGGTTTTTGATTGCTCCAGAAAGGTCTGGGGGAAGAGGGGAGACAGACACCGGGCGCTACAGGGGACTTCAAGGAGGCTCCCCTGACGCCCCTCCTCAGGCCCATTCCGAGAGGAGACATTGTGCTTTCAAAGCAGTGGGGAGGTGACTGTCCGGCAGCCTCTGACGGGGACTGGGTCCTGTGAGGGTGGTGGGGGTGGGCAGGGCCAGACGTACCGTCTTTCCTGCATTGTCCAGACCCAGGATGAGGATGCAGTACTCGTCCTTCTGGAACACGTACTTGTACAGCCCCGACAATAGCGTATACATCCTGCAGAACGGCGGAAGATGAGTACGGAACTAGGGGGCAGCCCGGAGCCCCCAGCCGAGGCCCCGCCCCCAGCCGAGGCCCCGCCCCCAAAGTGCCGCCCACCTCGCTACTATCTCCGGGTCAACCGCAGGCGCCCGCCTCAAGACTTCACTTGCTAACGGCAGCCAGCCGGGGTCGCAGCACCTTCTCCCAATCTGGCCACGCCCCTAGACAGCACTGGGCTCACGGCAGGGCCCCTGCAGGCGACATACGGGCACGCCCCGCTTTATAGAGGCAGGGGTGCGCGCGGTGGTGGGGCGGCCTAGTGCCGGAGGCAGAAGGTCCCGGGGTCCAACCCTGCCCAGACCCCGCCGTCCAGCCCCGCCCGGGAGGCCGCGACCCAGCCCCGGCGTACCTGCACCTGCCCGGGCCGGAACCCGCGCGCGGAACCCGCTGACCCTACACCCACCTGCGCCGCCCCGCGGGGCGCCCGATGCGACACGGCCGGCCGCCTGGGGAGGGTCGCACCCGTCCCGGCGGCCCCCGCGCGACGCCTCCCGTCGTCCCCTGCGGCAGGCACGTCCGCAGCCAGCAGCTCCCGGAAGTGCCTATAAACTGCGAGGGCGGAAGCCGAGCGCCGCTCTAGCCGGTGAGTTTGGCGGCCTCTCTATGGCGCGGCCCGGTGACTGCGGGGAGGAAGTTCCCGGCCCTAGGCGAGGGGCGCGGTCTGAACTACTGGGTCGAAGCTGACAGGTCGGGCGAAGGCCAGCGGGCGGGGAGGCTGGGGCGCGGGGCCGAGAGGCTCTGCGGCCTGGCGGCAGGACCAGGTGGCGAGGAGAGGAGCGAGGCCACTCGAAGCCGGTAACCTCCCCGCCTGTTTCTCGTCCCTGAAACGGGGGGAGGAGCGCACAGGGTTCCGCGGGCCACGGTGAGGACTCCGTGAGGTCTCGGGGCAGCAGTCGGCCGCGGGCTCCGTATCAGCCGTGGCGGCGTCAGAGCCCGGGCTCACAGAGCTCTTCTTCGCAGCTTTGCGCCCACCAGCTCCGTGAGGACTCGGGAGCCGCCGCGGGATGGACGAGGAGAGCCTGCAGAGCGCGCTCCGCACCTACGGCGCGCAGCTGCAGCAGGTGGAGCTGGCCCTGGGAGCCGGCCTGGACCCCGCCGAGCTGGCCGACCTGCGCCAGCTCCAGGGGGACCTGAAGGAGCTGATCGAGCTCACTGAGGCCAGCCTGGTGTCCGTACGGAAGAGCAAGCTGCTGGCCACCCTGGATGCAGAGCGCGCGGCGCAGGACGACGCCGAGTACCTGGCCTTCCCGGAGGCCCTTGCCGAGGCGGTGGAGGTGCCAGGAGCACCCAGGGCGGAACCGGACACTGCTGCTGAGACGGAGGATGGGCCCGCGCCCAGCCAGTCTGGGCGGGAGGACGAAGGGGAGGACTCCGAGGATGACGGAGGGCTGAGCGGGAGGAAGGTGAACGCCCCCTACTACAGCTCCTGGGGCACTCTGGAGTACCACAACGCCATGGTCGTGGGTACGGAAGAGGCTGAGGACGGATCAGCGTGCGTGCGTGTGCTCTACCTCTACCCCACGCACAAGTCCCTGAAGCCCTGTCCGTTCTTCCTGGAAGGCAAATGCCGCTTCCAGGACAACTGCAGGTAAAGTGCTGCCCCCCCCCCAGAGGTCGGAGGCCCCCGGGGACTGTCCTCCAGTAGGTGCTTCCTGGGATTTTCTCGGGTAAATCGGGGGAGGGGGCTTGTGTTGAAAAGAAGGACCCCCCATCTCCAGTTTTATTCTTCAGAGTTAAAACTCAAAAATTCACTATTATTATGGAAATCTGCCACCAAATGCAAAATTGGGGAGGGTGGCATGGCAGCCTCCCACGCTGTCCTCTCACTCGGTCACTTGTCATCTTGCTTCCTCCGCACTCCCAGCCCTGCTCGTCTCCACTGGACCCTTCACAGCAAAGCCTGGGGGTTCCTGCGGGTTCACCTGTGAACACTGCGGGATGCGCCTCTCCCCTGACGGAGACGGCGTCCTTGCTGTCGTGGTGCCTGCGGGGCTTGGGGGCAGTGCTGTCTCTTCATTCCAGTGTCCGCAGTCACGTCACCTCCTTTCTCTCGGTGCGTGACCTGGGCTTCGCTCCTTTTGCCTGTCCCTGAAAGGGGCCTGTGCTGAAATTCCTAGCAGGCAGCTTACTTTTTTTAACCAACAGTCCAGAGTAACTTTCACTAGGTTTTTGATCATCCTTTTTCTGTAAAGGAAAAATATTTTGTCCTCACTTGAGGATATTGCCATTTGTTTTTCTAGAGAGAGAAAGGGAAAGAGAAACATCAGTGCGGAGAAGCTTTGACTTGTTTCATGCGCACCCAGACTGGGGACCCACGCCGGGACCAGGGCCTGAGCGTGTCCGCTCCAGGGGTTGCGTGGGCCCGGACTGGAATCAGGCCCCTGAGGTTCAATTATTCCCCAACCATGGAGCTGCCCTGGCTGGGGCATTCATCTGTTTCTTAAAAAGACTTTTGGTGGGTCCAAAGTCTCAGCAGATGTCACCTTCCTCACTCCCTCCTTCCTTCCTCAAAGTGCAGCGTCCATGTAGAGAAGGGCGTCAATCAGAGCGTGCTCCACGGCAGCGCAGGTGGCGGGCCAGAGAACTAAGCCTTTTACCCTCGGTGCCCGGAGTCCCTGTACCTGCCTGTGTGACGGCCAGGCCAGGGCAGAGGCTGCAGGTCCTGGCTGCTCCCTCTGGGCCAGGCTCTCAGTGAGCGCGCTTCTCCCTGTGCAGCAGCCGCCGAGGCTGCCCAGTGTCAGGGCCCGCTGACCGTCCTGCCGGTATCCAGGACTGGCAGTGCTTTTCTTACATTTGGTCTGGATCTTCAAAAACAGTAAAGCAGCTGGCATTGAAGCACTGTGGGACCCTTGGTCTATCCTGGTGCCCTTCCTGGCAGGTGGCAGCACAGCTTGTGTCTTTCTGCACAAGTAAAACCGGTGGGCAAGTGCTGGCTTTTGCCCACTGTCTGGCCCACTGTGTCTGCGTCCTGCCCAGTGTGGCTGTGTCCTCTCCGCTGCCGTCCCTGGCCTCCCATTCTGCTGTTCCTTTCCGTTGAAGGACCTGGCCTCACCCCTGGCTAGGCCTCCAGGTGCTGTTCTTGCATCAGGAGGCCCTGCTCACCGGCTTTTCTTTGTCCTGGTAGCAGCTGGGCAATGCTCAGGGACGTGTCTGCCTGCCCATGGGGACTGCCATGCGGGGACCCTCTCGTTCTGGCGGTTCCCTTCGTTCATTCCCTGACACATCACGCGGGGACGCTCTCCCTAGTCTATGCTCTGGCTGCTGAGTGGCATGGTCACGTGGAGAAGGTGGGGAAGTGCTGGGGGTCTCTGTTTTGTTTCCTTGCCTTCCAAGATAACTCTTTGTTCACCCTGATAGTGAAGACCCATTGGTTTTAGACACACTCAAGGAGCTTCTTCTATCCATCTCGACTCTGATCCTCACTGAGGCGCCAGCTGTCCCACCTTTAGCAGGTGGGACCCTCCGCAGTCTGGTGCCTTTGTCCCTTTGGCTCCCATCAGTGGTGGGGACCCCCCCATCACTGTTTTCCCTGCCCTGCCTGGACTCAGCGACCCTGCCCCCCAAGAGCCCTGGGTACTCTCAGTGGGAGATGATGGGGGGCAGCACACTAATAAGATTTTGGGGGTTTTGGAGCTTATTTAGCATTTTCTGTGTATGCAACTACATTATCAGCCGACAGAGATAAACCTCCTTCTTCCAGTCTCACCAGTGAGGGGGCCTGTCCCGGGCTTCCAGGTGCACCTTCTCCGGTGGAGCGAGGTCCCTTTCACCTCTCATCGGTTGGGTTTGTGTGAGATGAAGGGTGCTGGCTTTTCTTTGGCGCCCTTGTGCACCCGTAGGCACGAGTGGGAGTTCTTCCCCATCCTGATGTGCGTGTTCCGTGGAGCATCTCACACTAGGGATCCCGTGTGCTCCCGGTCACGGTGCAGGGCCCTTTAAAGGGCTGCCGGGCTTGGTTCGGGAGTTTCGTGTTGAGGATACTGCCATCTCTCCGTCCCCAGAGGCTGGGGGTCTGTCATATCTGTGTCTTGTGATGTCATCGTCTGGCTTTGGTGTCAGGGTGCCGGTCTCATATGGTGAGTTAGGAGGTGCCTTCTAATCTTGGGGAACAGTCTGCGGAGGACTGGTGTCCAGGGAGTTTGCCAGTAAAGCCGTCTGGGCTTAGATTTCTCGTCGTTGGAAGTTCTTTGATTGACAATGCTGTTTGTTCTGGGTCTGGTCTGTTCACCTTTTCTGTTACTCCTCAAGGCACTTTTGGTAGCCTGTGTGATTTTAGGGACTTGCCCTTGTCATCTGTTCTGGAATTTGTTGGCCTGGGCCCACCCCGGCCCCTCGAGCCCCTGCACTTCTGCAGGTCTGGAGCAGTGGCCCCTTCTTTCTGGGCTCGGGCTCTCAAGCGCTCGCTTCCTTTTCAGCCAGTTGAGCTAAAGGTTTGTCGGTGTTATTTTGTTTCCTGGCCATTAACTCTGTGCTGTTTTTTCCTTCTTCTGTTTCGTTTATTTCTGCTCGAACCTTCACGATTTCCTTCCTTGTGCGTCTAGTTCACTGTCTGCCCAGTACCCCAAGGTGGACAGTTTCCCCTTCCCTGAGGTCAGCGTGGGCAGCTACCTGTTACCTGACCTCCCGTTGGACCCCCAGCCACCCTCAGTTCAGCCCCTGCTGCTGCCCGTCTTGTGTGACATGCCCTGCCTCCTTCCGGTGCCAGTTTTCATTTCAGCCCCAGGGGTTGGCAGGGGGCTTCGTGTGACCTAAAGGTTTACAGTTCCCTGTGGCCCCACACGTGCCCGTGTCGCTTGGGCTGCGTGTTGCACTGTGGCCTGGTCTCTCGGTGCCTGTGGGGGCTGAGGGCTGTCCGAGTCCCACTTTCCTGGCATCTTCCGCCAGGGTCTCTGGGCGCAGTGCCGCAGGGGCGTGGCGTCTGCGTGCAGCCCTGCCTCACCCTTCACTGCTGTCG